AAGCCTAAGCCTAAGCCTAAGCCTAAGCCTAAGCCTAAGCCTAAGCCTAAGCCTAAGCCTAAGCCTAAGCCTAAGCCTAAGCCTAAGCCTAAGCCTAAGCCTAAGCCTAAGCCTAAGCCTAAGCCTAAGCCTAAGCCTAAGCCTAAGCCTAAGCCCTAAGCCTAAGCCTCAAGCCTAAGCCTAAGCCTAAGCCTCAAGCCTAAGCCTAAGCCTAAGCCTAAGCCTAAGCCTAAGCCTAAGCCTAAGCCTAAGCCTAAGCCCTAGCCTAAGCCCTAGCCTAAGCCCTAGCCTAAGCCTAAGCCTAAGCCCTAAGCCTAAGCCTAAGCCTCAAGCCCTAAGCCTAAGCCTAAGCCTAAGCCCAAGCTCAAGCCTAAGCCTAAGCCTAAGCCTAAGCCTAAGCCTAAGCCTAAGCCTAAGCCTAAGCCTAAGCCTAAGCCCTAAGCCTAAGCCTAAGCCTAAGCCTAAGCCTAAGCCTAAGCCTAAGCCCTAAGCCTAAGCCTAAGCCTAAGCCTAAGCCTAAGCCTAAGCCTAAGCCTAAGCCTAAGCCTAAGCCTAAGCCTAAGCCTAAGCCTAAGCCCTAAGCCTAAGCCTAAGCCTAAGCCTAAGCCTAAGCCTAAGCCTAAGCCTAAGCCTAAGCCTAAGCCTAAGCCTAAGCCTAAGCCTAAGCCTAAGCCTAAGCCTAAGCCTAAGCCCAAGCCTAAGCCTAAGCCTAAGCCTAAGCCCTAAGCCTAAGCCTAAGCCTAAGCCTAAGCCTAAGCCCTAAGCCTAAGCCTCAAGCCTAAGCCTAAGCCTAAGCCCTAAGCCTAAGCCTAAGCCTAAGCCTAAGCCTAAGCCTAAGCCTAAGCCTAAGCCTAAGCCTGCTCAAGCCTAAGCCTAAGCCTAAGCCTAAGCCTAAGCCTAAGCCTAAGCCTAAGCCTAAGCCTAAGCCTAAGCCCAAGCCCAAGCCCTAAGCCCAAGCCTAAGCCTAAGCCTAAGCCTAAGCCTAAGCCTAAGCCTAAGCCTAAGCCTAAGCCTAAGCCTAAGCCTAAGCCTAAGCCCAAGCCTAAGCCTAAGCCTAAGCCTAAGCCTAAGCCTAAGCCTAAGCCTAAGCCTAAGCCTAAGCCCTAAGCCTAAGCCTAAGCCTAAGCCTAAGCCTAAGCCTAAGCCTAAGCCTAAGCCTAAGCCTAAGCCTAAGCCTAAGCCTAAGCCCAAGCCTAAGCCTAAGCCTAAGCCTAAGCCTAAGCCTAAGCCTAAGCCTAAGCCTAAGCCTAAGCCTAAGCCTAAGCCTAAGCCTAAGCCTAAGCCTAAGCCTAAGCCTAAGCCTAAGCCTAAGCCTAAGCCTAAGCCTAAGCCTAAGCCTAAGCCTAAGCCTAAGCCTAAGCCTAAGCCTAAGCCTAAGCCCTAAGCCCTAAGCCTAAGCCTAAGCCTAAGCCTAAGCCTAAGCCTAAGCCTCAAGCCTAAGCCTAAGCCTAAGCCTAAGCCTAAGCCTAAGCCTAAGCCTAAGCCTAAGCCTAAGCCTAAGCCTAAGCCTAAGCCTAAGCCTAAGCCTAAGCCTAAGCCTAAGCCTAAGCCTAAGCCTAAGCCTAAGCCTAAGCCTAAGCCTAAGCCTAAGCCTAAGCCTAAGCCTAAGCCTAAGCCTAAGCCTAAGCCTAAGCCTAAGCCTAAGCCTAAGCCTAAGCCTAAGCCTAAGCCTAAGCCTAAGCCTAAGCCTAAGCCTAAGCCTAAGCCTAAGCCTAAGCCTAAGCCTAAGCCTAAGCCTAAGCCTAAGCCTAAGCCTAAGCCTAAGCCTAAGCCTAAGCCTAAGCCTAAGCCTAAGCCTAAGCCTAAGCCTAAGCCTAAGCCTAAGCCCTAAGCCTAAGCCTAAGCCTAAGCCTAAGCCCTAAGCCTAAGCCCAAGCCTAAGCCCAAGCCTAAGCCTAAGCCTAAGCCTAAGCCTAAGCCTAAGCCTAAGCCTAAGCCTAAGCCTAAGCCTAAGCCTAAGCCTAAGCCTAAGCCTAAGCCTAAGCCTAAGCCTAAGCCTAAGCCTAAGCCTAAGCCTAAGCCTAAGCCTAAGCCTAAGCCTAAGCCTAAGCCTAAGCCTAAGCCTAAGCCTAAGCCTAAGCCTAAGCCTAAGCCTAAGCCTAAGCCTAAGCCTAAGCCTAAGCCTAAGCCTAAGCCTAAGCCTAAGCCTAAGCCTAAGCCTAAGCCTAAGCCTAAGCCTAAGCCTAAGCCTAAGCCTAAGCCTAAGCCTAAGCCTAAGCCTAAGCCTAAGCCTAAGCCTAAGCCTAAGCCTAAGCCTAAGCCTAAGCCTAAGCCTAAGCCTAAGCCTAAGCCTAAGCCTAAGCCTAAGCCTAAGCCTAAGCCTAAGCCTAAGCCTAAGCCTAAGCCTAAGCCTAAGCCTAAGCCTAAGCCTAAGCCTAAGCCTAAGCCTAAGCCTAAGCCTAAGCCTAAGCCTAAGCCTAAGCCTAAGCCTAAGCCTAAGCCTAAGCCTAAGCCTAAGCCTAAGCCTAAGCCTAAGCCTAAGCCTAAGCCTAAGCCTAAGCCTAAGCCTAAGCCTAAGCCTAAGCCTAAGCCTAAGCCTAAGCCTAAGCCTAAGCCTAAGCCTAAGCCTAAGCCTAAGCCTAAGCCTAAGCCTAAGCCTAAGCCTAAGCCTAAGCCTAAGCCTAAGCCTAAGCCTAAGCCTAAGCCTAAGCCTAAGCCTAAGCCTAAGCCTAAGCCTAAGCCTAAGCCTAAGCCTAAGCCTAAGCCTAAGCCTAAGCCTAAGCCTAAGCCTAAGCCTAAGCCTAAGCCTAAGCCTAAGCCTAAGCCTAAGCCTAAGCCTAAGCCTAAGCCTAAGCCTAAGCCTAAGCCTAAGCCTAAGCCTAAGCCTAAGCCTAAGCCTAAGCCTAAGCCTAAGCCTAAGCCTAAGCCTAAGCCTAAGCCTAAGCCTAAGCCTAAGCCTAAGCCTAAGCCTAAGCCTAAGCCTAAGCCTAAGCCTAAGCCTAAGCCTAAGCCTAAGCCTAAGCCTAAGCCTAAGCCTAAGCCTAAGCCTAAGCCTAAGCCTAAGCCTAAGCCTAAGCCTAAGCCTAAGCCTAAGCCTAAGCCTAAGCCTAAGCCTAAGCCTAAGCCTAAGCCTAAGCCTAAGCCTAAGCTCTAAGCCTAAGCCTAAGCCTAAGCCTAAGCCTAAGCCTAAGCCTAAGCCTAAGCCTAAGCCTAAGCCTAAGCCTAAGCCTCAAGCCTAAGCCTAAGCCTAAGCCTAAGCCTAAGCCTAAGCCTAAGCCTAAGCCTAAGCCTAAGCCTAAGCCTAAGCCTAAGCCTAAGCCTAAGCCTAAGCCTAAGCCTAAGCCTAAGCCTAAGCCTAAGCCTAAGCCTAAGCCTAAGCCTAAGCCTAAGCCTAAGCCTAAGCCTAAGCCTAAGCCTAAGCCTAAGCCTAAGCCTAAGCCTAAGCCTAAGCCTAAGCCTAAGCCTAAGCCTAAGCCTAAGCCTAAGCCTAAGCCTAAGCCTAAGCCTAAGCCTAAGCCTAAGCCTAAGCCTAAGCCTAAGCCTAAGCCTAAGCCTAAGCCTAAGCCTAAGCCTAAGCCTAAGCCTAAGCCTAAGCCTAAGCCTAAGCCTAAGCCTAAGCCTAAGCCTAAGCCTAAGCCTAAGCCTAAGCCTAAGCCTAAGCCTAAGCCTAAGCCTAAGCCTAAGCCTAAGCCTAAGCCTAAGCCTAAGCCTAAGCCTAAGCCTAAGCCTAAGCCTAAGCCTAAGCCTAAGCCTAAGCCTAAGCCTAAGCCTAAGCCTAAGCCTAAGCCTAAGCCTAAGCCTAAGCCTAAGCCTAAGCCTAAGCCTAAGCCTAAGCCTAAGCCTAAGCCTCAAGCCTAAGCCTAAGCCTAAGCCTAAGCCTAAGCCTAAGCCTAAGCCTAAGCCTAAGCCTAAGCCTAAGCCTAAGCCTAAGCCTAAGCCTAAGCCTAAGCCTAAGCCTAAGCCTAAGCCTAAGCCTAAGCCTAAGCCTAAGCCTAAGCCTAAGCCTAAGCCTAAGCCTAAGCCTAAGCCTAAGCCTAAGCCTAAGCCTAAGCCTAAGCCTAAGCCTAAGCCTAAGCCTAAGCCTAAGCCTAAGCCTAAGCCTAAGCCTAAGCCTAAGCCTAAGCCTCAAGCCTAAGCCTAAGCCTAAGCCTAAGCCTAAGCCTAAGCCTAAGCCTAAGCCTAAGCCTAAGCCTAAGCCTAAGCCTAAGCCTAAGCCTAAGCCTAAGCCTAAGCCTAAGCCTAAGCCTAAGCCTAAGCCTAAGCCTAAGCCTAAGCCTAAGCCTAAGCCTAAGCCTAAGCCTAAGCCTAAGCCTAAGCCTAAGCCTAAGCCTAAGCCTAAGCCTAAGCCTAAGCCTAAGCCTAAGCCTAAGCCTAAGCCTAAGCCTAAGCCTAAGCCTAAGCCCAAGCCTAAGCCTAAGCCTAAGCCTAAGCCTAAGCCTAAGCCTAAGCCTAAGCCTAAGCCTAAGCCTAAGCCTAAGCCTAAGCCTAAGCCTAAGCCTAAGCCTAAGCCTAAGCCTAAGCCTAAGCCTAAGCCTAAGCCTAAGCCTAAGCCTAAGCCTAAGCCTAAGCCCTAAGCCTAAGCCTAAGCCTAAGCCTAAGCCTAAGCCTAAGCCTAAGCCTAAGCCTAAGCCTAAGCCTAAGCCTAAGCCTAAGCCTAAGCCTAAGCCTAAGCCTAAGCCTAAGCCTAAGCCTAAGCCTAAGCCTAAGCCTAAGCCTAAGCCTAAGCCTAAGCCTAAGCCTAAGCCTAAGCCTAAGCCTAAGCCTAAGCCTAAGCCTGCCCAAGCCTAAGCCTAAGCCTAAGCCTAAGCCTAAGCCTAAGCCTAAGCCTAAGCCTAAGCCTAAGCCTAAGCCTAAGCCTAAGCCTAAGCCTGCCTAAGCCTAAGCCTAAGCCTAAGCCTAAGCCTAAGCCTAAGCCTAAGCCTAAGCCTAAGCCTAAGCCTAAGCCTAAGCCTAAGCCTAAGCCTAAGCCTAAGCCTAAGCCTAAGCCTAAGCCTAAGCCTAAGCCTAAGCCCTAAGCCTAAGCCTAAGCCTAAGCCTAAGCCTAAGCCTAAGCCTAAGCCTAAGCCTAAGCCTAAGCCCTAAGCCTAAGCCTAAGCCTAAGCCTAAGCCTCAAGCCTAAGCCTAAGCCTAAGCCTAAGCCTAAGCCTAAGCCTAAGCCTAAGCCTAAGCCTAAGCCTAAGCCTAAGCCTAAGCCTAAGCCTAAGCCTAAGCCTAAGCCTAAGCCTAAGCCTAAGCCTAAGCCTAAGCCTAAGCCTAAGCCTAAGCCTAAGCCTGCCCAAGCCTAAGCCTAAGCCTAAGCCTAAGCCCTAAGCCTAAGCCTAAGCCTAAGCCTCAAGCCTAAGCCTAAGCCTAAGCCTAAGCCTAAGCCTAAGCCTAAGCCTAAGCCTAAGCCTAAGCCTAAGCCTAAGCCTAAGCCTCAAGCCTAAGCCTAAGCCCAAGCCTAAGCCTAAGCCTAAGCCTAAGCCTAAGCCTAAGCCTAAGCCTAAGCCTAAGCCTAAGCCTAAGCCTAAGCCTAAGCCTCAAGCCTAAGCCTAAGCCTAAGCCTAAGCCTAAGCCTAAGCCTCAAGCCTAAGCCTAAGCCTAAGCCTAAGCCTAAGCCTAAGCCTAAGCCTAAGCCTAAGCCTAAGCCTAAGCCTAAGCCTAAGCCTAAGCCTAAGCCTCAAGCCTAAGCCTAAGCCTAAGCCTAAGCCTAAGCCTAAGCCTAAGCCTAAGCCTAAGCCTAAGCCTAAGCCTAAGCCTAAGCCTAAGCCTAAGCCTAAGCCTAAGCCTAAGCCTAAGCCTAAGCCTAAGCCTAAGCCTAAGCCTAAGCCTAAGCCTAAGCCTAAGCCTAAGCCTAAGCCTAAGCCTAAGCCTAAGCCTAAGCCTAAGCCTAAGCCTAAGCCTAAGCCTAAGCCTAAGCCTAAGCCTAAGCCTAAGCCTAAGCCTAAGCCTAAGCCTAAGCCTAAGCCTAAGCCTAAGCCTAAGCCTAAGCCTAAGCCTCAAGCCTAAGCCTAAGCCTAAGCCTAAGCCTAAGCCTAAGCCTAAGCCTAAGCCTAAGCCTAAGCCTAAGCCTAAGCCTAAGCCTAAGCCTAAGCCTAAGCCTAAGCCTAAGCCTAAGCCTAAGCCTAAGCCTAAGCCTAAGCCTAAGCCTAAGCCTAAGCCTAAGCCTAAGCCTAAGCCTAAGCCTAAGCCTAAGCCTAAGCCTAAGCCTAAGCCTAAGCCTAAGCCTAAGCCTAAGCCTAAGCCTAAGCCTAAGCCTAAGCCTAAGCCTAAGCCTAAGCCTAAGCCTAAGCCTAAGCCTAAGCCTAAGCCTAAGCCTAAGCCTAAGCCTAAGCCTAAGCCTAAGCCTAAGCCTAAGCCTAAGCCTAAGCCTAAGCCTAAGCCTAAGCCTAAGCCTAAGCCTAAGCCTAAGCCTAAGCCTAAGCCTAAGCCTAAGCCTAAGCCTAAGCCTAAGCCTAAGCCTAAGCCTAAGCCTAAGCCTAAGCCTAAGCCTAAGCCTAAGCCTAAGCCTAAGCCTAAGCCTAAGCCTAAGCCTAAGCCTAAGCCTAAGCCTAAGCCTAGTTAGGTCTGCCTCAACCCGAGTATATAATAAGCTCCCAATAAGCCTAAGCCTAAGTACTCGATCGTATAATCATCATGTATTATATAGCAAGGTTATATTTACATTACTGTAACTCAACGAGTAATACGGTTAAGTAGCAAATGATACAGTTTCTGAAAGCCCATGGAAAATGACGTCTTATGTTGGTTTTGCGACAATATCTTAAAAAGAGTTTTTTTGTGGTACTCGATCGTATAATCATCATGTATTATATAGCAAGGTAATATTTACATTACTGTAACTCAACGAGTAATACGGTTAAGTAGCAAATGATACAGTTTTTGAAAGCCCATGAAAAATGACATCTTTTGTTGGTTTTTCGACGCTATCTTATAAAGAATTTTTTTGTTGTACACGATCGTATATTCAGCATGTATAATATAACATGGAACAATTTACATTACTGTAACTCGACGAATAATGGTGTTACAACAACAGCCCGCACAGATTCTGAAAGCCCATAAAAAATGACATCTCACACTGGTTTTTCGACGTTATCTTATAAAGAAATTTTTTGTAGTACTCGATCGTATATTCAGCATGTATAATATAGCATGGAAATATTTACATTACTGTAAGTCGACGAATAATGGAGTTATAATAAACAGCAGCCGACACAGATTCTGAAAGCCCATAAGAAATGACATCTTATGCTGGTACTTCTGTAGCTGCGTTACTCGTCGATTTGCAATACGACAAAACAATCTCTTGCTAGTATATACAAAGTAAATTTACGGCCAATTACCGTTAAGTTGTTTTGAGTCCTACAGTAAACGGTCATTTTGAATGGTCTTTCGGAAGCTGTATCGTCTGCTATTGTATCTTTGTTACGTTCCTAACTAAATAATTACTTGTTTTATTGCACAAACTAATCTAAAATATTTATTCAATTTTAGAATTACACTATATATTAACAACATCTTAAATGAGAACGTTCTTTTCGGTTTCATTTTTTCTGCAAATATATGTTAACTAATTTATAAAGATGAGTTTGTTTTCTTTTTCTCTTGTAGTTTTTCCTGACGGTTGAGAGTACGGCCCGTACGATGACCTATACTGTTCCTCAACCATTTTGGAATGAACAATGTTTGTTAGTATACTACAGTACCCATTAGATTGAAGGCATAATACAAGTTCTTCAAGCCGAAATGTTACAGTCTGAAAAATTTGATGTAATTAACCGCTAAATGTAGACATGAGAAACGGGCCGGGCCGCGCCGGCCTTGAGCAAAATTCCGATCGGGCCGGGCTTGAAGATTGGGCCCGGCCCGTTTCTCATGTCTAGCTAAATGTTAGCTTATAAGAATGCTGCTTTATAAAACGCTCACCTCAATTTCATTTAATAAAAGAATCAAATTTCCCATTCGGATAGCAACATCATCAAAATTGCTTTCATAATGACTTCTTAAGCAATCAAATACTGCGTTTAAATGAGGATTTAACATTGAGTTTTCAGGAAACGCTCGAATAGCCATTTTGATAGTTAAAATATGTAGCATAACTGCCAACTCAGTATCATCTAAGCGCGCTATATGCAGTTTTTTGGCTGCTGCTAATGAATAATGGTAATATTGAACGCAATACTCTATTGATTTAGTCCAATCAATGCTATCCACAGGTATTCCAATAACAGCAGCAAAAGACCGAACGTATGCGCTAATAGCCGCTTCACTGGCAGGGTGATGGCTTTCATCAACAAAATAAAGTTCATTAATATTGTGTCCACCATTACGAAGCGTGTTTGATACAGACGTGAAACATAACCATTGGTAAAACAAGGACACAGCTAAACGGGTCTGCAATATATAGTAAGTTAATTATAAAAATAAATATTCCGTCATAAAGTATGGATTTTCTGTTTTAAATGAAAATTTTAAAAACAACACATGTATTATACAAAACTTACTAATGCTAAACCGTCAAGACCAAATTTTCGAAAACCAGCCATTTTTAGATACTTAAGTACTACCATAAATTCAGCTTTAGCTGCTTTCACTGTATGTTGCGCATCGTAGTACCGTGTTCCAAATTGAATATCACTTTGTCTGCCATCATTTATTTTTATGTTTGCACTGAATCTTTCAACAAACATTGCATTGCGGCAATGTACTAGCGTTTGTAACAAGTTCCTTTCTTGTATTTCTTCCACTTCTTCACAATTCGTTGGCCGGGAAAAAACTGCTAAAATGTGTGATCAGTGAGTTTCTACTTATAAAGCGTGTGGAAAACGTGTATGTTATAGCTTTGTTTATGGTTTTTACAGGCACTATATTTATAAATACATGATTGTTGACCTTTGTATGATAAAAAAGTGTAAAATTAAAAAATATCGTGTACTGTAAAACATTTAAACAAGTTCTCATTTTTTAAAACGCAAAACTTACAATTAATGCACATTCCATTCCAGATACAACGTTGAAACCTGCAAAACTTGCACATATGTCTTGGTTCGCCAGCAACAACATCGCAACGCTTACCACGTACGCACAAATACGTTTTTCGCAAAGCTACAGTACGACGAAAAAAGGCAGCACATGCGTTACAACATAAAACACCAAAGTGCTTGTTCCATGCTCCGTCGCCACAAATGGGACACACACTTTGAAAACCATCTGAATTAGCACCAGGAGAAGAAACCGTAGTTGATGCAACAGAACTCGTTGAGGGCGATGCATCAATGTAACCATTTTCAGACATTATGTCAAATCGTCTTTTCAAAGAGCGATTCATTAAAGCACTGTACACTTACTTGTCTGAAAACAAATCATTATATAAAATCATATAAAACAATAAAAAATATTTAAGAAATCTTATATTTAAGCAAATAATGACACGGAAATATCGTACTACTTATAATACCGAACATATTACTTGTTGAATGACTTTAAATGCAGAAAGTTAACGCAGCTAGATAAAATGCGTATTATAACTAAAAATAATTTTAATCTGTTATACAACACCGCGGTCTGTTAAATGTTCCTACTGACATTAATCAATTTTAAAGACACAAGCCATAATTTCGTTTATTCATGGTTTGAAAATTTAGTACTTCAGCATTATCACAGCACCAAAGTACGTGAGCACTTAATACGTTCTTAAAACACAAGCTAGAATTACATTTATTGTGCACGTTTCTAGTTACGTAATTGAACATGAACAAAGTTTTAAAGTTGTATTTCAAAACTAAGTTAAAATAAATACTAAACTTATCTTTTAATACTTTTAAAAAATTAAATTTTGTAAAAGCAGATTGCATTGACAAACACGATTAATGTTATTAAAATAAAAAATACTTTAACGCTTCTGAAAGGCACGCTCATATAAACGAAAAATTCATAATCTAGGCTTTTTAAAAATTAAAGTACACCAATATGATCTGAATGAACCTTTTCCTCTTTTTTTTCAACCCTTTCAACACTACACTTTTTCCGTTTTTGTTTCTTAAAAAAAGAAGTGAAACAGAACAAATGCAAACGTAGAACGTAGTCAGTGCACTTACAATCGAACTCCGCCTTTCTGGTCTTTGATTTTTTAAAAAAACAAAAATAAATAAACTAAAAAAATCTTATTTTTTAAATAGTTACAAATTAATATAATAAATTGAAAATAAAATTGATAATAGAAAAAGATGTAGAGGAAATGTTTAATATTTTTAAAAAATTTAAGAGCACAAAATTTTAACACTAAACTTTTTAGGTAATCAAGGTCTTAACTTAATACATAACACATTAATTAATATTTCCTATGAACTCGAATATTAAAAAAATCTTTAGTGACTATTTTTTGCAGTAGATATACGTATTTGTTAAGACAACAACGTAGGAATCACAGAGCACTTAAAAACTTTTCGGGGCAAACCCCGCCTCTTCGCGAGAAACACATTTAAAATGAAAAATATTGAATCCAACTACATAGCAAACACCACACAAACCTAAAAGTATCTTAGAAATGAGGAGACAATTTATAAGCCAACAATTGTAAATTCCAATTTTTACAAAAACGCTAAAAACGTTACAAAACATTCAATATTATAAAATTTCACAAATGTACGCAACTTTCAAATTTTTTTGAAATTAATTGCAGCGTTTCGATTTAATATTAGTATTATGCCATTACTTAGAGAGAATATATATTGTAGGTGTTATTTAAAAAGACAACAAGCTTCAAACCTTTATAATATGATTTTTCCGCTCTTATAAAATATTATTGGTTTTTGTTAATTTGAATAGTGCAGTCAAGTTTTCTGTTTTATATTTAAAATTTAGTTAGACATAAATTTTAAGATTTGTTTAAGTATAATTTAGAAAATAATTATTTAAAATTTTGTTTAGTTGGGAGAAAAAATCAAAACGTCGTCTAAAAGATCCAACTTCTCTCTTTTTCGTGCGGGTTCAGAGTTCAAATTGTACGAAACAAGTCTTCGACTACTTAAAGCGAGTATTCACAGAGTCCCTTTTTAGAGTGAGAAGAAATAGAAGAAACGCAGTCGATTACAGAATTAGAAACGCTGCGTAACTCTTATCTCGACAACAAAAGAAAATGGAGAAACAAAATATCGGAAGGAGAGACACTGAAGCTGATTTTAACTTTTGGTTACTGAAACATGCTCTCAATGATCTTTTCGGTTTGCTGAAACTTAAATTAAATTTTGAACTAACAAAATATAAATTTTTCATATGTAATTGGCAATTATAAATTCGTTAAGAGTCGTATCTTCAAAAAATCAATAATTTAAAATGAGTATTAGCATGTAGTTAATACAGAAACTTGTAAAAAAATGCACCTTGCACAAATCAACCCTGTTTTTAGGTTCGAACCAATGAGCATACTATACCTTTTGAAACTTTGTTTTCATTCACTTTACTCTTGTATAAACAAAGATGTCGTTCGGGACTACAAAAAATAATATTTCTGAACAAAACTATTACACTATAAAGGAAGTTTATGATACACGCAAAAAAAATTAAAACTGATTAGAGCACGTTCATATAATGTAGTCCACCCTATTGCTTGTTTTTGAAAAACTAAAAATTGATAAAAAAACAACAAGTTGACAAACCAACTTGAATTATATTTTAAATATAAATATAATTTTGAACTTATAATGCAACTTATTGACATAATTCAAATTATATTCGTATATTCGTTTATTTTTTATGTATTTATCAATTTCGTCTTTAAAAACTATAAACTTTATTGATTATAAAATTTGTTTTGCAATAGTACGTTTTCAAACAACTTTTATCTTTATTTCCTTTTGTTGTATTTATTAACTCTCAACTCAAATTTTTTTGTCTATTCTTATTTATTTCAGCGTTATTCGAAATATTATATTTCTCTAACGTTTATAGCTGTTTCGATTTTATTTTAATCTTTTATTAAACAAAAAACTTAAAAGACAAAAGTATTTATTCCTGCGATGTAAAACATATTTCGGTTTTAAATTTTAGAATCATTATATTTAAATTTTCTGCCAATGGTCTAACTTGGCATTGTGGTGCAGGCACTTTTCTTTATTTTCTAGATAAGCTAAGCTTATAAATTTAAAATTACAGGTTCTTTTGTAGCTTTTCTGTCATTATATCAATGAAAAATAGTTAAAATCCAAAAAATGAAAAATTTAAAAGCTTTAAACACCATGAGTATTTGGCGGGAAATTCGAAACGCGATTTTGTGACCTCGATTTTCTTAAGTCTGGCCGCAAACCGCAACTTAGAACGTTGAATAAGATCTTCAATTTACAAAATCTTTCAATAAAAAAATTAAACGAAATCTAAGCGTTGCCGGTCGGGTACCTTCCTTTTAAGCGTATGCTAATGTTGAAATTAACAAGGTATTTTTTAGAATGCTATAATTATGACTTTGCAGTATTTTATATGAACTATTTAATACATCATTTTCAACGATTTCGATTAACTTCCACGTGTTTGAACGTTCACTGATTTGAAATTCTTCTTGGTAACACAAAGAACCACCAAAACGTCCATATCTATCGTTCATGTGACAAGAAAAATAAAACAGCTCGCATGTAAACACATATTAAAGATTTGCACTATTACGTCTTTGCAATAAATTGATCTTTGTCGCAAATTTCATCCACTTATATATAAATAGACTACCAAGCTTAAAAATATTTTCTGTTGGTTTCACAAAAATAAGGTAAATTATATATACATAACATGTAAACCTAACATTTTATTTTGTAAATTGTAACCTCAATTAAAAAAATGCAGCAAGAAATAATGGCCAACATCGCGTAGATAACCAGCAAACCTTGATACGGCTGATCAACTAAAATCAAAATAGATAATTACAACGTTTTATTTTTTATACGATAAAAATGTTTCTAGTTTTACAATTTCTTTTTTTCATTGACAATAAATAAAATTATTCTATTTTTTGTGCTAAAAACTGAAAACCGGTTTTTTTTACTTCATTTTCATAAACCGCATACCGAATTTATACACTGCAGGACAACTTTGTGGAAGTTTTTGAATCTGACTAACATATCTGTTATGAATCATATTTAACAAAAACGCATTCTTGTCTATAGCATCATCAAAGTACTCGACCAACTTTTGATTACCATTTTTAAATATCATTCGTGCATTTAATTCTAATAAAGGACTTGATGGTGGCACAATACTGCAGTAAAATTGCAACGTTCGACGCAAAGTGCTTTCGTCGAGCAATGGAAATACAGCATTCGAACTATTTGACCAAGCCAAACAATCGCGTTGTACTTTGCAAAACTTGATTATGTTTGGCTTTTCTGAAATTTTTAAAACAGATTTTTCTGTCTATTTTGCGTTTTGCTACATATCGAATATAATACATATTAAATTTTTAGTTTACCTCTATACAACTGAAAAAGAGTTGAAAACGGCTGCACTTCTGCTTCCAATAGTCTTTCATAAAACCAACTTTTTTCTGGTAGAGCCAGATAAACAATACCTTGATCGAGTTTCTAAACTATTTTGAGTGATTGTTACAACGTTATACATAATATTTTTGTTACAAAAAAGTTCCACTGTATTTTTTATTTAACTAATATAATACATATTATAATACTGCTTAAGTAAAGTAAAATTTTTATCTGTTGAATTTCTACACAACTGCAAACGGATGTTCAAAGTATGTTCTAATTATTTTTAAAATTAAAATAAAAGCAAAGAAGTTCGAAACATTGTTTCTATTTGTTTTTGCTTAATTTTAAAATTTATGCAGTTTTCAAAATATATCGCTGGAGACTTATACTTCAAATTTTTTTCTCAAAAATATTTTTTTTCTCACAAGGGAATGTTACCAACTGCCCATTCGCTTTTTAAAAATAAATGGTACCATGTGAAAGAGCGGCGCAGGAAAGTACAAAATTCTGCGCCATTTTGACAAGAGAGCACAATAAAACGAGAGACGCTAGAGAAAAGACTCTCTCTCTTCCAAACGATATTTTTAAGTCCCCAGCCATATAGGAAGAAGTTTAAAATCCCATTTATTGCCACAAAATCTACCAAAGGCATAAAATAGTAGACTCACTTGAAAAAAATCATTCCACCCATTAAAGTTCTCGTCATCTTTTTGTAACCGTTGTGAAACTATCCACGAGCTGTACAAACCCAACACAGTAACAACATGCATTAATGATACAAACACGGTGTTAAATCGAACAGCTAATCGATGATTTTGCGGTTGGACCGGTCGGCCAAGATGGATTTGTATTGAATACCAAAATGCCTGTTTGCATAATTAGTAAAGGAAAGAAAATCTTTTGCATTTTTTGTTACTTATAATTTTTTTTAGCTTGACAACAAAGTTTTTTAGATTATAAAACTATTTCATGCATTTCAAGATTTACGTTTTTTAAACACAACTGCAATTTTTTTTATAACTGAATATAGCATATACTACTATTTTTATTATTTAAATTATAATAATTCGCAGGCGGGGATTTCTCACCCCCTCTTCCATCCCGCTTAGCAAATGTCGTTAAATTAAGAATTAATTAACATCTTACATCTCCCATGCTTTGTAAATTCAGACCTTGCTCTAGAGCGCTATGGATGACATAAAAAATAATTTGAGCCATCATTATTGCACCGATAAAACCCCATATTTGATCATCGTAAACTTCAAAAAACGACCATTCACGGTTCTTATTTTCGTGAAAGTGTCTGTGCAGCATAAATAATTTTGCCTAAAAAATTATAACCCGTTGAATGAATAAATATCCAATTTTTAACAAACCTTTTTAAAATTGCTAGCTGTATATATCTCACGTGCGTTACAATTATGATTAGATGGTCAGTGAAAAACTTCCAGTTCTTGTCTCGAACCCTTGAATGTAATCATTCTTACTTCTTTTCTGGAAGATAAGAGAATATGTTCTCTCTTCGCGAAAAGAACGTCTTTTTTTCTCTGCTTAGCTAAAGCATGCTTAGATTCTTGCTTATCAACTTTTGGACAAGAATTGACTGTTTTCGACTGACCAGTCAATAATAAGTTTAACGCACATAATATATACAGTGGAACTCCTGTATAACGAATCGCTCGGGGATTTGAAATTCGTTCATTATAAAGGAGTTTCGTTATAGAGGAGTTTTAAATGCACTGTGTAGTGGTAGACGGGGCTTCAAAAGTTGTTCGTTATACGGGAGTTTCGTTATAGAGGAGTTCGTTATACAGGAGTTCCACTGTATATTTAAATAAATTGTGACTTACTGTATACAATTTGTGACTGTATAAAACTCGTTTGCTTCGCAATTGGGTTCTCTGAAATGCGTATGCTATGGTATCGACACCCTCGTTTTCCACTAGGCGAATCATTTCTTCATCAATAGTGTCATTTTGCTAAAAATGTTTTTTTAATTTAAATTTTTTAATATTTTTGTTTTTAAAAATCGTTTTTTCGATGCTTAAATGAACCTTCTTTTTCATATAAAAGTAACTCATCCTTGGCACATATATAATAACAACCTTTATATTTGACTCATAAAAGGAGTTTTAATAAAAGTTAGATTTTAACATACCACAGCAAAACGAAGTATTTCAAACGCTTGAGTAGATGTCATATTTGGTGACACGTCGGCTTTAGATTTTTCGATTTCTACATTCATAGTATTTGCAAGTAAATTAAGAATCTAAAAAAAAGTTTTTATTTTATTCAGTTGTATATATAATAAAACCATAGTGTTTAAGCTACTAGCTTTAAAAATCTTACCTCTACCATCATTCCAGGGTACAAACATTGTGCTGACCTTCCAATATTATTTGACATGTAACAACTTGGATTGACTGCGGGGTACTCGTTGGGATAGTATACTTTAATAGTTTTGAGCGGCATGAGGAATAACGTGTGGGATACAAATTTTGTTAAAAATTGTATTTAAACAATTGTAAAAACCTTTTTTGTTAATGTATGCGCAGTTTTCACAAATACTAACGTTACTTACTTTATACATACCTTTTTGTTTTAGTATCTATTTTTTGTTACGTCACTGCGTATCCATCCTTTAGGTTGCCAAAAACGATGTCAACACTTTAAAGTTAAATATTAAGGAACGATCAATAAAATTAAACATCTGTATCAGTGCAATTTTATAAATCGAATTTTGACTAAATATGCCGTTTTTTTAAAAACAAATAGCGTTAATAAAGTTTTTTAATACTTTCTTTTAAAAAAGCTTTATAACCTCAGACATATTTTTACTTGTTTTTGCGTTAAAGTAATCTTACAATTCAATCAACTTGACAGTTTCTTGTCTTTTATTATATGTATATAAGAAAACATTTTCCTCTCAGCTTGATCATGACTATTTTTCTTATCGCCGTCCAGCTCACAAAACGATACTAATTTCAATAGTTTGACTTGATAAATGCAAACTACTTTTTACTAAACCACGGTTATCTATGAATTAATCAACATCTATATACAATAATAGTGTTTGAGTTAGTCTTTTGCAAAGGGTCTTTTTTGAACCCTCAAGTAGGGAAATTGTTTTGTGCGATCAATGAAACGAAGAGGTAATAACTCAAAAAAGTTCTTCAAACGCTGTTTTACGTTTGAAAACAAATTTTAGCCATGCTTCTGTTACTAATAACATTGGCAGTTTTTACCTACACATTGACTGCAAACGTAATTCAAGTACGTTTTTTTATTTATCACTCAATTTTATGATTTATTGTCATACTTAAATTATATTTATTAAATTAACAATGCGTGTTTGAATAACAGTTATTGCAATTTTAGTTGCCACCAAAATTTTTACACCCGAATAATATTGATCCTAAAGACTTAGTAACAATAAAAGTCCGTGCGCACGTATCTGGAGTCAGAATAGAATGGCCTCTGCATACAAACGCTTTTCACAGCTACGAGTATGTTATCGTGTTTTGTTGTATTATAGGTATCATGTTTTTTAGTTCTGCGCGTATGAGCGTTGTAGAACCTGACACAACCGTAAAGGTCGTTTTATTTGGCTTTTGGTTAGAAAGAGTACAGTATGTCACATTTACTGTTGACAATTGTCTAAACTCTGTAATGAATATATCGCATACTGAGTTTCTTAGTCAGTCAGAAAAAATTATTGAAATCAGCACAAACTTCTTAGAATCAGAAGACCCATATCGAATATGTTTAAAAGAAAATCCGTATTTATTACATGAAATGGATGACCCGGAAGACATGATTTTTGTGGACGAAATGAGGTCTTGGATTATGGCAACAAGTGATCCACCGGTTCATTATATGCCAGATGAGTTACAGTGGTTTATTATATTTTGTTTGTTTGGATTTTCGGCAGTTTTCAGTGGCTTAAATATGGGTTTAATGGCGTTATCACCGCAGGAACTTGAGCTTATAATGAAATCAGGTAAAATACGGATTTTTGAGTAATCTTTGGCAGTGTTTTAATTTTTATATATTTTATTTAGGTATCTAACAAAATTTACACTCGTTAAGGGTCTTTAAAAAACGGCAGTGTTTTCTAATGTTTAATTAGACTATTAAAAACGTTTGAAAGAATTATGAACAAATTGATTTGCTAACCTTTAAATAAAACTACTTATTTAGGTTCAGAGACTGAAAGACGTTACGCTAAAGCAATATTGCCTATACGACGGTGTGGCAACCGTTTGTTATGCACAATTTTATTAATGAACGTCTTGGTAAACTCAGCAATATCGATTTTAATGGGTGATTTAACATCTGGTGTAATAGCTTTTGTAGCTGCATCTACTGGAATAGTATTATTCGGCGAAATCGTCCCACAAAGTGTTTGTATAAAAAAAGGTTTGTATGTTGGAGCCAATACAATAGGATTAACACGCATAGCGATGCTAGTTACGTTTCCTCTAGCGTATCCGATTGGAAAAATATTAGATTGGCTTTTGGGTGAAGACTTGATTGGATACGATCGAAGACAGTTACTAGAACTAATGAAACTGACACCCAAATGGGACAAAAATCAAGAATTAGCCGAAGATTTAAAAATTGCAGTTGGTGCCATGGAAATAGCAGACAAGTCAGTACAAGACGTTATGACGCCAATAGAAGATGTCTTTATGTTATCTAGTAATGCAGTTTTAAACAAAAAAAATGTCACCGAAATTTTGAAACGTGGCTATACTAGAATTCCGATTTACGAAGATGGAGATAGGAATTGTATTACAACCTTATTATTTGTTCAAGATTTAGCTTTATTAGACCCAGAAGACAATTTTACGGTCCAAACTGTTTGCAAGTATTATAATCATACACTGAGATTTGTAACGGTAAGCGTAGGTAAACTAAAAAAGTTATATATATAAATTTACAATTTCTAAACCAATATATATGAAAATGAGTAGCTTACAGGCTGAAACATCTTTACACACAATGCTTGAAGAATTCAAAGAAGGTGAATATCACTTAGCGGTAATTATGGATGACGAAGAAAACGCAATAGGAATTATAACCTTAGAAGACATAGTAGAAGAAATTTTACAGTCAGAAATTATAGACGAAAGTGACACTATAATTGACAACAGATATCGCCAAAAAAGGGCAAGAAAAGTAAGTAATGAATTTTTGAAATTAAAAAGTTATGTAAGTGATAATTAAAACTGAAGCTATATATTACAAAACAACGTTGAAAAAAATTTACATTTTTAAATTTTTATTAATCTTCCCTTTAGATAAGCCGAGTTGATGCTGGAGTCGACACAGAATTTAAAACAATGAGCGAATCTGCAATTACCGTGATAGCTCATTGGTTAAGATCAAATTTTCCTGTATTTCAAGAGCAGTTCTTAGAAGTACGAGCCTTGGTTCAGTTAATAAAGAACAACCTACATCAAGTGGACTTTAGCCGCGAAAACGTGTTAGAACACCGGCATAAACACCACAAATTAAATTTGTATACCGACGGTGTTGTGTCTCGACGATTTATTTTGATACTTGAAGGTTCGGCCATGGTTGAATTTGCCGAACTAAAGATGAAGTTTCAAGTAGGCCCTTGGGAAGCATTTGGAAAGTCAATTATTGACGCAATACAAGGAAACGTTTCATTTACAAAGTTTAAAGGGTCTACAAGATCATTATACAATAACCAAAACGAAGCCGTTCAATTTGTTCCCGACTTTACGTTAACTGTAACTACGCATTGTAAATATTTGCAAATTACTGTTCCTGCATTTTTAGCAGCGCTGAAAGCTTCAAATACTGTGAGGTATATTTTATTATTCAATTTATTATAAATTTCAAAATTTTCGTACTCAAATACATAGTTGTTAAATTTAAAAAATTTTAGAGACATACCCAGGATACCGCAACAAATTTTGCTTAAAAATGCTCTAACACGTTCAAAGATGAGTCTGGAGGAAAAATCTATAGAAAGACAAGAGACAATACCTTTTCCAAAAAAGCGTGCCTTAAGCATAACTGAACACCCGAAAATATTTCAAAAATAATGGAGGCGTACTAGTTTATATGTTATACAATAAAAAATAAATAAACTACGACAAATTATAGCACAAGTTTCAGCTCTTAAAATAGGGAATATTTTAATGTTGCTTAAAATCGGCGGACCGATTTAACCTGTAGTTGTTAGTAGGTGATTATTTTTAAACTTCCTGTAGTAAATGATAATTCTGTTCAAATACAATTTAAAGTACTAATTACATAACATAAATGTAAAAACAAAAAACAGGTTAAAATAGTTACATTATTGAGCAACATGGAGCGGTTTTCTCCTCGTCTTCTGTATCTTCAATTCGTTTTTTTTCGTGTGCCGCCAAGGTTCCGAAAGACGCGTTAGAAGAAAGAACATAATCTTCTGAACTTGTAGGACTCATTTGTCCACTAGATGTGGGAGAATGAATAGGTGTACGACGCCAAGGCTGTACTTTAATAAGCTCCACCTGTTTTGTTTCCGGCGGCTCCATTAGCATGCGATGGTGTATCCGGATCGACAAGTCGTACAACATCTTATCAATAGACTTTGGATCAAAAGCGCTTAATTCGTAAAATTGCGCTTTTAATTTCAATGCTTTGGCTTCTCCTTCAAGTGTGGAAATTTCTCGTTGTTCAAACATATCAGATTTGCTTCCAATTAAAGTAAGTAACGGTGTTTCTACTGCATATCTTTCCAAATCTAAAATCTTGTGATAAATTGTCACGAAAGAGATAAATAGAAATAATTAAGACAATTATAATATGATTTATAAAATTAATTTTATTCATACCTTGGAGCCATTTGTGAATTTCGTCAAAGCTTTTTCTGTCTGTGATGTCATAAACCAAAACTGCACCGATGGCATTTCTTAAATACATTGGAATCATACACCGATATCGTTCTTGACCAGCGGTATCCCAAATTTGTAGCTGAATTGTTTTATCTTCTACACACCTATAAGACAGCATGATGTTACTTGTTATGTCCCAATTGATTATAACGTTTCAAAAACAATGCTACGCTTTTAATTTTTTTCAAGAACTTGTGTTTTAAAAAAATATATTCAATAAAAAAATTCAAAACCAACTCACTTACATTTCACAATTTACATACGATGCACCAATTGTCGCGCTACATGGAGTAACGTCAGGACCGTATCTGTGACTGTAAAGTAAGCTTGTTTTACCAACGCCAGAATTGCCAAGCAATATAATCTTTGATTTTTTCATTGGCTGAACACTAATTGAGGTTTCGGGTTCCCAAACCGTTCCGCGACTGTAAACCCTTATTGAGGTTGGAGCCATTTCTAATAAATGAGAAAAACTAAAAGTTACAGATTTACATTAATTATATAATATAAATTACGATACCAAAAACAAAAAAACGATACTATATTAACAATAAGTAATTTGAATAATAGGGTCTAAATAGTGAAAAACGACAAAAAAACAATTTTTTAAATATTATTCAACAAAGTAGACAAGGGCTGTTAATAGATGCCCATTTATTTATCCTAATCATAAGCATTTTTCATATTCAACTAATTATTTTTTCCGTCTTTAATTAAAAGAAATTTGGTGAAACAAATTAAAAAACAAAACAAATTAAAAGCTTATTTTGCAAAAGAAATGCAATTAAAAAAACAAACGTTTACTGTTAAATAGAAAAATTTTTGGAAAAAAAATGTTATAAACATAATTTACAAAATAAACATAAGACTATTTATAAAAGCTGAAAAGGAATTGATAAACTCAACTCATGTACCCCTTTTTCTCCTCGTCTTTTAAAGTAATGAAAATGAAAAATTCATAATATATTTTTTAAACATGAAAACAATAATTACAACGTAGCCTATTTAACAACTCCGGTTCTATTTTCCAGCAATTGAATTTATGCAAAGTATGTCTACCGTATAACTTATTTGAAAAACAACTAAAACATACAGAAAATGTTTAAGCTTCTACTAGATCTAAAGAAACTAAAATAGAATAGATAATAGCACTAAAATTAATGCTATTGCATAAAGTCAAAACAAACAAAAAAAATTTAGCGGCGGGCACCGATTGTGCACAATTAAAAACTAAAAAACATCAGGCATCCCTTTCAATGAAATGGTTTCTCTTTATTTACGCGTTAATTCGCAGTTTGGGAAAACTGATAATATTGAGATCAAGTATCATAATTCCTTTAAAAACAACGAAAATTGCTGTTCAGAAGAATTAGTATAAAAGCTCCTATTGTATTTTTTTTAAGTTAGAAAAAATGTAACACCTTTTTAAAAAAAAATCTTTAAAGTACGGTTTAATCAATTTATACGTTCTTTTGTGTTGCGGGCCATCCTATTTATTGATTGTGGCTAAAGATATTGCGTATAAAGAAAAAAGCGTGTGTTTTTTCATCGACAGGTACGATTATAGCAACGCGCATATTTTCACTTTTTTGTTTTTATAATACATAAAAAAAGAAATTAAATAAAAATGATGTTTATTGTAAATATAAAAAAAATAAAATGACATTCACATAATGGCAAATCGTTTATAATAAGTCGCGCAGTGATGAATAAATTGAAAGACTGTAAGAATTAAAGTGAATTGGGACACAAATAAAAATAATCAAGCACATACGTTTAAAAAGAGCATTTATAAGTTGACACAAATATGGATCTTAAGTGCACATATAAGAGTTATGTTAATAAGTTAAGCTGCAAATTTTTTACATTGTCTATGAAAGCACAAAAAAACCAATTTTAATTTACTAAAAAAAACTAAAACTGTTAAGTAATAAAATCAGGTACGTGTACCTATTACTAAAAATGATTGACGGGACAAAATAAGATACAGACTTTTTTTAAAGCAAACATATTTTGCTTTTTCATAAAACAGACAAAAAGAATAAACTCGTCCTGCCAGAAATGCCTAACAATTACACACTATGTTAAAGATGCGTTGACTTTCTTGTTTGAATCGGAGCCTTTGCCTTAGAATTAGAACCTGATGATTTGCGTCTGGTTAAAACAGATGTTTCAGCCTGTTCTGGATCTGAAGGGCGGCGAACTGAATTAGAAGATGGATAACGTATTGGGGTTGACTGCGATGTTCGCCCTGGCTCAGGCTAAAAAAATCATAAATTTTTAACACGATTTTCACTCACTTCCTTGGGTGAACCTTCCTGGTCCAGGCTCTTATTTGGTCGAACATAATGTTTACGCCATGATTTTCGTCGCACAACACCCATTGAGCTCACTCGGTTAAGTCCGCTTCGTTTAGGCGTTGGACTGCTGTGTACAACACTAGTCTGTGAGTGATTCGACGACGAAGACGAACTTGAATGTTGTGGCTTAATTTTTAAACCAGTTTCTAGTTCTCCAGCAAAAAACATAGGAGGGTGTTGCCGGGCTGGTGGCGTTGCTACGATGGGTGTATCGTCATCATCCCCGCTTTGATGTTGAATCATTTGAAAAGGTAAACGTGGTGTTGTTTCCCCAGTAGAGGAAATGTTTAATGGGACAACAGTGTCATCTTTCTCTGATTGTTCTTCCGTTCCAGAATCTATAGGCATTGGGGAAGGCTGTTGCTGCTCTACGCTTGAACTCGGTGATTGACTTGAAGTTAATGACGAGACAGTACGCATTTCTTCATTTGAACTTTGTCGGTTCATTTCTATTTCTGGTATTTTCAAAGTCATTGGCGATATGTCTCTAGTCATAGTCGTTTCCACAATGTATTTATTAGCCTTAAACTCTACTGACTTTGAGTTGCCGTTGTTTTTTTGTGGCATTACAGGCGACAAAAACCATTCTGAGCGCGTTCGCATACGTTTAGTTTGTTTTTCGTGAACCCATTCAAGGTAAGTCAAGGATCGAGTACTTTCTACTGAATCATTGCCACTCCGCAGTGTGGTTAAACAGAGCCTTCGTCTCTCAATTTCATACTCATCGTCAGGTCGACTAAGCATTACTTCACCCATAGAATATGAAAGCCGTTGTTGTTCTTTTAGATCCGCAAATGAACCAAGTTCTTGTTTACTCCATCGTTGACCTAAATTTTGTATCTTTGTTTAATCATTAACAATTAAAATTTTAAAATAATGCTCAGCTCAACTTTACCTCCAGAAGACGAAGCTCGTCCTCTTGCTGAATGCAGAATACTTTGATAAGCCGGTAAACATTCGGAATATAAGTCTTCTTCTTCAACATCGGTGACTTCAGCTTCTGTTATTGCCGGATCAGTGTGGTGCTCTCGTGCAGTAGCTTTCTGAAGTCCTGATGGACCAGGTTGATCGTCTGTTTCTTCTTCTTCATCATCTTTTTCATCTTCGCGGGACGGATAAATCTCTGGTTGACTGAACGTTCCTAAATATACTTTTGGTAAAAAAATTATTGATAAAAGTTGATTTTTTGTAATTTAAAAAAATTAATTTTTACGCGATGTTATACAAATTAAATTTTAATTTTATATTTTAAAAATGGTACATAATTAAAACATTTTTTAGTTTTGCAAATAAACCAAAAAGAAAGTATCAAAACAATAAACAGTAGAAACATACAAAAACTAGTAAAAAGCAATTTTAAAGCAAACCACATGAACAGTGAATAAGGTAATAAATTAAAATTGTATTATAATTACAACAGTTCTCAATAAGAAATAAAAAACAAACACACAAATTTTTAATTTCTAAATAGATAAACTGGTGTATGAAGTAAAAAATATATATAAAGCTAAAAATCGCATGAGTTTGAGTTGTTTAATTCAGATTCTGATAATTGTCCTTTTTGCGACTGCGTTTGTACTGGGGGTATTGGGGGTGGTCCATGGGGTGGAGATTCCGAAACTAAAACACGTTTTGCGTATACCAAACCACTACTTTGTTGTCGTTGTACAAATTGTTTTGTTGTTGAGCTGTTTGAAGGGTTTTGTTTCAGCCATGAAGGTTTGTTCATACATTGAGACAACGGCTGCCGTAAGTCTTTTTCTACCAACTGGCTTGAAAAAGAACTTTTTGGCTGGTTTATTTTACTATGTAACGCTACCGTATTAAACGAGTGACTTTTCCAGGGGTTGTAGTTGTTTCCGACACCTTTGTTTATCAATATGTCTGTCGTTTTTAATGAACCTCCACGTTGTATTGTAGATTTTAATGAAGTACTAGCCAACTTCGTTGTCATTAGCTCATGATCTAAGGTGTCTAGAGAATATGAGCGTGATGTTACAGCGGCGGATATTGAAGATAACATAGTTGACAGAGTCGTTGGATTAGTTCTATCTAAAAATCAACAACCATACCACAAATTAAGCAAACATATACATTAAGAACTACAAAACTACAATTGAATTATAAATATTACACAAACACCTACATACTACGCAAAAAAATAAACCAATTTTGTACATGCTTTAAAAAGTCTTACAGGTAAAGTACCCTATCTGCCCTGTTCAGAAGCAGCTCAAAATTTTTATACGAATTCTTTGTACCACCAATAGTACCCATAAAAAATTTAAGATCGCGCTTTTGAGTTTAAAATTTGAATTATTTGAGTATCTCGCCAATTTAGCAAATTTGGCATTGTGTTTCAAGCAATTTTTCAACTGTCCAGACAAGCTACGTTTACAAATTAAAAAATGTAGGTTTATTTAAAGGTATTCTATTAATATATCAAAAAGATTCTGTTATCAGCTTGAAACACAATGCCAATTTGGCGGAAAATTCAAAACGTAATTTTTTGATCTCCATCGATATTTCATGAAAAGCGCGATTTAGTAGTTAGCTGCAGATCTTTGATCTTTTTTTATAAAAAGTTTGCAGTCAATCAGAGCGGGGCAGGTCGGATACTTTCCTTGTTAACTAAATATCACGCTAAATAAAGTCCAAATTGGTAACAAAACAATATACAATTACAAATACATCCAGGACCCAACAGCAAAAACCTACTTACAAATAAAAAAATCAATATTTTAAAGTCTCAATATATAAAAATGTGTTTTCAAATGCAAAAGTAAAAAATATTTTTTTTCATAATATGATATATTATGGTGCCCAAGCTTTAATTTGATTCATTTAAACTCATATTCCATTTAAATTACAAAGACTATTTTGTATACCTATTTTATTATTTACAAAAAACAACTTACTTGATGGGTACTGGAATGTAAAATTCCAGTCATCACCAACATGCAATGTTCTGCCTGTAATTCTAGCATAGAATTCGTAACATTCACGAGGGAACAAATTAGTAAAACCAAATGATTTTATTATTACTGAGATCACTTGGGAAGCTAACTTAAAGCGCATTACATCTTCCAATTTTGCCTAAAATAGTTATAAATTACATATAATTAAAACTGGTATTTTAAACACAATAAATAAACACATTTTTGATAAAGCATTAAAAATCTACCCGTTGGCCATCATGTATGCAGGTATGAAACAGTGAAGGTGCTACACTAATTCCAATTGCGTCAGAGCTCATGCGCGTATTAAACGTTTCAGCAGAGTCAGCTATGATTCGGAACGTTCCAAAGAGAAGCACCAATAAATGTTGAGAAGGAATTGAAAGTGATGAAATAGCACGACAAAAAATTTGGCGTTGTTGTTCTGAGTCTGGTTGCTGCATCATGCTAAATAAAAGTTGCTCGTTTTCAGCGCCAAACACGCCACCTGGCAGTTTAGATAAAAACTTTTTTATAACACTTGCAGCCGTATACACACTGATATGCGATATGTTGACCAGTCGTCCGTGCTGCATTATGTGCGACAGTTTCCGAACTTGAGCTTGATTTCCCGGCGCTCGCCATATATCTTTTTTCAGTGGACCTTCCTTATTAACTTTAAGAAGCAATACCAATAAGGTAGCAGGTATGTCGTGACTGAAGGCCTCGCTAATAGGGACTCCAAATTTTACTCTAAAGTTTTAATTTTTAAATACATGATGTTGTAAGGATATAATACGATAAAATAAGTTTATTTTAGAAACTTACTTTTCTATTCTGCCGCGATAGCGGTGATGTAAATCGTCGGTACCACAAATCACCATCCCGTATGTAGCAACAGTCATATCTGGCAAAGTATGACGCCGAACGTAAAGCGATGTTTCCGAAGAGTTTGCGTCTTCCTCTGTTTCACGTTTACGTTTTTTTCTGTTAGCTTTTTTAATAGACTTTTTATCGGATACGGTTTTGTTTTGTGTGAATGAAGACTCCTTAAATTGAACACAGGACGGTATAGCGCGAATCTCGCAGTAGTTTTCTAAGCTGTTGATGGACTGTTCTAACGACTCAACAGCGGCTTGTATATTATCTCTTACTTTCAAAGAATATCTAAATTTTTAAGTTTAAAAAAATTAAGATGTATTAAGCGTTTTTATGAAATTCGCAAAGAGTGCCAAATTCCTGCCTTTTAATTCTCTTAACTTTACGTGCACAGTTCGTTTACTTAACCGCTTTCATTGACGGCATTCATGCCCGTGAAAAAGCAGTGGCAGGAATTAAACAATTTTTGTTTAAGCTCAACAAAAAAATATAACAAACGAGAATTGTATAATCGTTCCGTTTGTGGATACGACGTAAAATCATATATAAACTAATAAAACCTTAAAAGTACTTTTCATGATATTAAACACATACTCTGTGTCTTGTCTGGTTGACTGGTCGGTTGATGTGAAAGCCGACGGTGAAAAACGTGACTCAAAAATAAGTTGAACGATCGTTTCTTTTTTGGAGGACTTGGCACTGAAACAAAAACAAGTAATGAAAAAGAATAGAGAAGCAGTACGTGTTAAAAGCGTGTTGCGCAGTTGAAGTCGCACCTGAGGGCAAATGCGGTATTTTTGGAGAACCGCTATCTGTTTCTTTGGTTATTTCCACTACTTTTTGTGCTTTTGAAGAAGTTGACGGTGTAGTAGCGCTTACAGCTTCTTCACGTGTCCTATCACAATCAACTAAATCTACTGGCTGACCTTCAGTTACAAATTCAGGCGAAACGCCTGTGACACGGCGTAGTTCTTGATCCAAACTTTGCACAGCTTGAATTTGTCGGTGAACAAGCTTAATTTCTTCTTCTTTGCTAGAAAGTAAAGGCTTAGGCAGTGTTGGCCGGTTGTATTTGTGCACAGGCTCATTCCCTATGCTTTTTGACAAAGTAGATACATTTGAGTTTTGAATTGTCGGGCAATGCGAAATAGAAGATTTGCGTGCTAAAAATTATCATTTTATTACATATTTATAAAAATATACGTTAAGTACTAAAAAAATTATATTATAATCTATAAAATTTATACTCCTAACCTTGTTTTTCAAAACGATGAGACACTGATGTTTCAGTCGGACAAGGTACTTCCTTAACACGTTTGATGCGCTGTTTTGCGCTTTGATCGTAGCGTTGTGGGTCACGCTTACCACCAGATTGCGAAGCTAAAATCAATCATATCATAAAGCAAATTCAAATTTTTAGTTAAAAAAGAATATTAAGCACAGACGTCACAGAACATTTTAACTTTGCCACAAATACAATAATTTCTGTAAATTAACCCGTAATTAAACATTTAACTTATTCACAAAAAACGTAAGTATTAATAAAATTTGAGCCAATCGATTTTTCCGCTTTTGAAAACAACCTCCATCGGTATAGTCATTATTTGTTTTTTCTTATTTAGTAATGTAAAAAACTATAAAGTGTAACTTTTTAAATTTTATAAAAATGAAAACCGTATATTCATGAAACATTAAAATGGTTATTTTTGTATAAAAGGAAATTTAAAAAAAAAAACTGTCAACTTCGATCAACCTTAAAAAACATTTGAGGAAGAAAAACGAGAAAAGACTCTGTTCTTAACCCCACTTTTCTTAAACGAAGAAAAATGGTTATTGCTATAAGGTAGTGAAATTATAATCAAGGTCGCGATGAAATAGCAAAGTAAACCGTGCGTATCCGTCAGGCTTATTTTCTCATATTTTTTTCAGTTTAATAAATTAATTTGCTAAAACTTTCACCGATAAGCTAGATAAAACTTTTTTTTAAAACCATTTTGCACAAATTTACAAAAAGCTTTGTGTACTCAAAAGTATAAAACTACAATATTTCTAAAATCCAGCTGTTTTTGTGATCAAATACAGGTGTTAAAGGTGGTATGAATAAATCTATGAACTTATTTTACATTAAACAGGTGTCTTAATGTTTTGCTCAGTAACAAATTTCATGATTTAAAATTCTTTCATGAAAAGAAAGAATTTTAAATTTTTAACACACACTACAACGCAACCTCGTTTGTTTTGTAGATTACGAAACAAGCTAAACTAATGTAAATTTTTTTAAAATACAGATAAAAACAAACGTTGAGCAGAATTAATTTAAAACTAAAAATTTAATTCTTAGTCTTTCCCTTTACATTCCATTTTAGCCATAACACCGCAATTTGGGAATACGAAACCCATTGTGTAGGGCATTAAAAATAGTAAAAATGCGTTGGCCCATCCTTGCAAAAAACGAAGAAAAATTTTCTTTTTTTTGGCTCCGTAAAAGTCCAAATGCCTGGGTCTGAGTTAAGCCCTTTTCTGCTTCAAAACGCACAGAAGAGAGGGAGAAAGAGAAGAGAAGAGGAAAACGGAGGGAAGACAAATCGAGCCTTCCCTTCCATGTATTCCGTCTTCGTTACGCGCTCTTCGTGCGGTCATTCCGGGACCAACCGACCACTCTGGCGAGCAAATCGCCACCCAAAAAAAAGCGCGCAAAACAGGGAGAGCAGCAGTAGAAACTGTTTTAATACCGTGCAAATAAAAAACTAGTAGAGCTAAAAAATAATAGGTTTTAAACTTAAACCTAAGTTTTATACTTACTTTTATTTCGACTGCGCTAGGTTTTACAAAACCACAGTTACAAAGGCAAAAGTATTACTACTAAAAATGAGAAACTTTTAAGTAAAGCAGAATAAAAAAACGAAGAAAGAGCCAGTGGCTACGTTAAAAAAATACTCTTGCTGTTTTAGTGTTTTTAGTTAATTTTTCACTTGTTTTGAGGACGCCTATGGGCGTTGTACGAAAATAATGCAAAGCTAACGATAACATTGTTTTTTAACAAAGGTGTTTTATAATTTTTTTCAAGATGGAAACTTGAGCTGTTTTTCGCAATACACTTTTAACAAAAGGTATTTCAGTATGACTTAAAAAAGCTACTTATTTTTGAAAAAATAATGATTGAATAAAATTACAGTTATAGTAAGCTTTGTTATAAAATCCCTGGTGCAGTCAAAAAACCTTTAGTACAGGAACATGATTTAATAATAAAGAATAAGCCGTTGCAGCTAAATTCTTTCTATACGTCATCCTTTTGACTATAGCTGGCCTAAAAACAAATAAAGAATTGCTTGGTTTGTCCATTTTCAAAGCCGAAGCTCGGAAAAAATGTGAGAGAAAGCAGCACATAGAAAACGGCTGAAAAGTAGCCTTTTGCTTTTTAAAATCAATTCTATGTGCATTAAATTTTATCTATACAATTTTTTAACATAATAATTATAAAAACGAAATATTTATATCAGAATATTTTGCGGCTGAAGTTTAATAAGTAAAAAATCACATCTGGAAAAATTAAAACAATTCTATGCGGTAATGTTCGCCTATTGACTGCCAATACGTTTTGTTTCATCTTGTTAAATATACTTTAACATCACAGTTTAAATTTTTAATGTAAATAAATGCACAAAAATTTCTTTAAAAGCTTCACAACATAAATTGTAGATTAAAAATGTTCAGAAAATTAGGATTATTGATTGTATAAAAGTATGAAACTTCTAGTAATTTTTAGCAAAAGCAGTACCACTTTATTACCTTGTCCCATATTTGAACTGGGAATTGATTTTTGCACAATTGCAGGCAAATATCGTTTTAGTTCCACCAAACTGCTAAGTGAGGATTTTCGCGAACACCTCTCTTCGTAGCCTACGCTATCACGTCTCTTATGGTCGGAAACAATACCGGTCGGCAGTGCAGACGTCGACTGTGAGCGCCGATGGTTAGCGTTACGCGCCAATTCGGTTGTAGAATTGCGGCGAGATTGTACAAGATGAGTGAGTGAACTCCACTTGACGGGATAATTACGGTACGCAGGTGCGTTGGATGGGTGTGGATTAAATGGAATCATGCGTAGCTGTTTCTTAAATATTATATTGTATTTGAAAAAGTGTATTTGAAATAAAATTGTGTGTTGAACAAGTGGTATCTGGGTAATTTGGCTTGAAACAAACGTATAAAAACCTTTGGAAGGTGTAGAATTCTAAAATAGAGAGAGTTTAAACGTCAGAACTGAATCGAAACAATGTAACGGCAAAAAACGGTAAAAAATTTTAATGAAAAGAATTAATTATCAAAAAAAATTTCATTGTTAAAGTGAATTTATATATTTTTAAAAAAGAGTAAACTTAATTGTTTTTTATTTCTCGAAAAGTGTGAAAAAAAACTGTTGGATATTTACTTCAAATGTCACAAAAAAAATAAAATAAAGCAATCAAACTGTCAGAATTTGCATGGACCAATGCAACAAGGAATAACTTATAAAAATTCTAGAAACACCAACAAGTGTTATGGGCGTTCAGACGAAACAAATTAGTCACTATCTTACTGCGGAAATAATTATTTGAAAAAATTAGGCTGTATTATTGAAAAATATCCTCATACGGTTCACCAATTGCCTTCAGTTTAAGTGCCAATCATCTTGAAAGTTTAAGATGACAATGTTCCAGAAAGTTATATATAAAACATAAAAACTGTTACAATACATTTACGTCTTAAACAAGGCTCGTTTGATGTCAATATAAGCTGCCAATATATCCAAATCACAAAAAAACGTTGATAACCTAAAAAGATTTTTTAAATATAAAACATTCAGAGAACAAATTTTAAAAACTCAAAAGCACGAGCTAAAATTTTCTAAGTCAACTATTAATGGAACAAAGGGATATGTAAAAACTTTGAGTTGATTCTGAGTGAGGGTGGGTACTTTTGTTGTTAGTGTAACGTAAGAACTACACACTAGCAAATATTCAATAAAAATTGCAGTTTTTAGTGCACAACAGCCTCCCTAATCTTTATTTAAAAAATGCCAAAGACCAGAATAAATTTGTAACAAACAGTCAAGCTACCCTATTTGTAAATCTTTAAAATTTATTCTATTCGTTTCCGTGTTCTTCACAAATTTTAGAAAACTCCATGGACGCATCTGTCGTATGGCTTCTTTTACGCTGAGCCGGTTCCTCAATGGAGCCGTCATTAGTAGGCTTGCCTAGGTTGAACGACCGGTAATGTTTTAGTGGCTTTGTTGGCGCAGGTAAAGATACCGTATGAAACGAATCTGTTAACTCTTCTAATTCCGTCAGTTCGTAGTCATCTTTACTAAATGATGGTGGCGGGACCTGTGCCGCCCAAGGAACAGAACCCAATATTCGTTTGGCTAACTCAATTGCCAGCTAAAGATAACTGCGATTATTTGATTCAATAATTTTGTTAAAAAATAGACAATGGTTAAACGTAAATAAATTACCGTTTCAAAGTGACCATCGTCTAACGCTGCGTCTTCGTCAAAAGTGCGGACACAGTTTTGTTCTGTTGCAGTTTCAAAAAATTTTAAATCTAAAATATTAATATTTCATCAGGCTACAGTTTTCAAGCAATTTTAAATAGATTTAAAAATTAAGCTTTTAAGCAACTTCTTCAAAACTTCAGAATTCGAGACTAGAACATACGGTTTTTGAAAATGAGGTGGAGTTTTTTTTAATACAGAAATACCTAAATAATACTTTATACATAAGCAGCCTATCGGTGTTTCAAAAAATTATAAATAAAAAAAGTAAAAATATGAAAATACTATACTCTTACTATAAGCCATTAAACAACCAGCTAGCTCCAACGCCGCTGGATTAAAGTTGTTCATCGGCTTTGCACCTGTATGACACTGTCTTGGAAATATGTAAACAGTAACAAATTGTGATGCTCCACGTTGCTCAAGTCGCACAGGTAGCTGAGTACGAAGCGGCGCTGCTCTAGTGAAAAAAACGTTATGCGCAACGTTGTGTACCGTGAGAAAGTTCAAAGTATGCCATACGTTTTTTACAAACAAATCCAGGCCTTCAATAGCTTTAAGCTGATAACAAAAAGCGTGAATATACCAATCTGGTCGTCTGATAACGAAACAGTCGCCTGCCAATAGTTCAAACTTCTAAAAAAATAGGTTGTTGTCCAAAAAAACACCACATATTTCATTGGAACAAAAGACATTTAGGACCAAACGACGTTTAGATGCCACAAGTGTATAACACGGTTGGTTAAAGTAAGAGTAGTAAAATAAAAAGCCTTTTTTGTTGTCCCAAACGTCGTTTAACGCAAATGTCGCTATCCCAAACGCCGCACACGGTTATTATAGATTTTAAAATCTACTTGATTCGTAATAATAATATTTTAATCTAAAAATAACTTATAAATATTTTGATTAAATTTAAAAATTATAACAGAAAAAAAATAAATACTCTATGAACTAAATCCGACTCATAAGGCCACCATAGACCGTGCAAGTGTAGATGGTTAAGTGACGCTTGTCCCAGCAACGAGTTATATAAGACATGAAAATTTTCGTTTTCAACAATTAACATTAAGTCAGTAGCCATTCGTATTCCTGTTTCAGTCATTATCTAAAGCATAATTTTATGACATTTTTTATTTTAAAAAATTAAAGTCATTCTGTTTAATTCTATAATTTAAAAATGACAAAAGCAAACAATACAATACTTCCAATGTCAAAAATACGCATACTATGTCAAACCAAAAGATACTTTAGTGCAAATTATAATTTTCCCAAAGCAAATTAATAATTTAGGTTAACGTCTATTTTGTTTGCAACTCATACCTGCGGAAACCGTTTGCTTAATGACGGTACTATTAAAAAATGACCACTTTCTATTGGCGAAGCATTTACGCATACAGCATGAACATCTAAAGGATCCGTATTGTAAGCGTGGTCGGCGCAACGAGCATAATACATAAATTCATAAGGTTTCAGCCTCGTGAAATTCCAACGGTGACTATTAAATGGTTGTACGATGCTTTGAAAACGCATAGGCTTGCGCCGCAGCGTTCCGCGCTCAATATTTAACTGAAGTATTTAAAAAGTTTAAATATGAATATAAAGTTTAATTTTTTAGTATAAATATATAAAAAGCAAACTTTACCTGCATTGACAAATTGTAATCTCCGTCCAACAACTTATACATACAATTCAAATCGTAGTTAATAACACCACCGTCTTTTTTGCATTCGTGCCATTTGTTTTTTAATTTTTGTGAAAACTAAACTACAGTTTATTGAAACGCACAAACATACATTGGTATCAGAAAAACGGCGATCATCACAACATTCGTTTAGATCGATAATGTAATCTTTCGTATTATATTGAAAAAATTGAACATGAGCCGGTTTTTCATCAACGTCCAGCTTTGGTGGCTAAATGTTTTTAAAAATGTACAAACTTTAATCGTTTTTGTAATTTTTTAAAACAATTCAATTTAATGCAAAAAATTAGTTTATAATTTTAATATATTTTAATGTTTTTTAAACTTTTCTAAAACATACATGCACAGTAGAATGTGACCTACGAGTCCGATAAAGCGCAATATCAGAATTCATGACAAAACTTAAAAACATAAGCGACTTCGGGAAGTCTCGAGCATTTCCTTAAAACATGATAATTACGTAAAAGATATACAAAGTTAAGCATAAGTCTTTACCATGCAAGAAAACATACAAATTCGAAATTTACAAATACGTTTTCTTAACATGAAGTATCAGCATCAAATAAAAAACACATAATATATTCCAAAGTCGACATTAAATCTTAATAACAATTAAAAGCATAGCAATTTACCAAATAAGGCAGAATAAAAAATAATTTAAACATCTTTTAACCTATTTTCAATTTAAAAAATACACAATTTAAGTGTAAGAAAGTAAACAACAAAAAGAACCAAGCTGTGGTAGAAGGAAAGTAATGGCACATTTCTTTTTCTTTTTTTTGCCCACAAAAACTCTTAAGACACGAAATTACTTTTCAAATGCACGGAACCTAAGCTTTTTTAAAGTAATTTTCCTATAGCAAAATTTTTTTTTACAATTAACATAAACGGAAAATTTTAGAAAAAACAATATATTTAACGAATTATGTAGAATTTTAGTTTTGTTTAAAAAATCAGATGAAAAACAACAAGACCACAAAATTTTTAGTAGTAATTGTTTAAAAACAGTAATGGTGTGAATATTAAAAATTAAAATACTAATTTATTGCGTAAAAAAGCAATATCAAATCCAAATTTGGCAAACTAATATTTTTCACTTCTTTACGATTTGTGACATTTCGCGCAAAAAGAAGTACACTTCGTGTCATTCCATCTTTCCGCTCGATCGGCTTTATTTGGAACTGCGACATAGCGCAAATCCGTTTTTCCTACTCTAAAAAATCTTAAAGCCTTGAAATACCTTGTTCAGATATGTCCGGACATTTGAATATTATTATTCAATCACCTGCGTTAGAATGCGGTTCTTTAAAACAATTTTCTCCTTCAACATTGATGGTCGAATTAAAAGTAAATTAAAAAATATTTTTTGAGTCTTTTTAAGTTTATTAAAATTAGATTTTTATTTTTTTATTCTGTTCGCTTTTTTAATTATAAAATATTTAGCGTAAAGTTGAGCTTGTTGTTGGGATTTATAAAGATGACATGATTTTGACTTTACTGACCCCTGAAGGGAGGTTTATTAAAGATATTACTCATACTACGGAAACGCTGGAACAACTTGGAGTAAGGAACGATTGGATTATCAAAGTGACTAGTAAGAGTGGAAAAGTTCTAGACTTTGAAGAGTCCGATAAATATGTTATTCCTGAAGAGACTTATTCAAAACGTGAAGGTATTTTTTGTGTTTATTTTTTGTTTTAGGGTATAATAAATTACATAAAATCAACAATCAAAATTTTTATGTTATATATGATAATGTTAACATTTTTGTTACATATACATTTTTAAACTTGTTTTCAGATAACGCCCGCGAATTCCTTGCCAAAGTTAAAAGCAAACCACAATGCCATATCAATGTTGGGAGTCGAGTTGTCGTTAAAGTAAAGGACAAAGAAGATAGAGTAGGGACTGTTCGCTTTATTGGAGAGGTCCATTTTAAAGCAGGCGAGGTAATGGTTGGTGTTGAACTAGACGACGCCACTGGAAAAAATAATGGAGAAGTAGATGGTCAAAGGTAAAAAATTTTTTTTCTTGAAGTTTAGGTATTAATGGATGATAGTATACGTGATAGTTCGAATTTAAGAAAATTTTTTAAACGTTTTATCGGAAGTTACATACATATTAAGTGCAATTTTTACTAATTAAAGCGACATTTATAAGCATATGATTAATTGCAATACAAAATATCAAAAATAAATTTTAGGTATTTTGAGTGTTCTACGAACCATGGTGTATTTGTCACAAGCCGCTCAGTTTCTCCACTTTCCACTTTTTCACCATCCGAAGCATGTCAGGATGTTGACGTTCCAATGGAATTATGATAGTTTTGTTCTCAAAATTTCGTTTTAACCTATTTTTGGCCTATTAAATTAATTTATTCTTAATTTAGCGGCTGTTGAGCTGATGGTCCTTGCTAGTTAATGGTACATAAATCACACCATAAAGGTTTTTGGAAGTGATTTTATCATTTTCAGATTTGTCGATTTGCAAAAATTGTTGTTCCGTTGTTCCAACCGGTATCAGCATGCGACCACCACGAGCTAGCTGGTTGATTAACTAAATTTGTAAAGATTTTACAATTTAGCTAAACAAAATATTAAATAAAAATTTATCTACGTTGTATCTTTAGGCGTGGCTGATGAAACTTTGATTTAAAAAAGTTAAACATACCTCTTCTGGAATTTTTGAAGCGGCAGCGCCAACATGGATCGCATCATAAGGTCCTAAAGCTGCATGACCGAGCCTACCATCTTTAGTGACTAAAACAATTCTTTCAGAATCAAGATACTCTTCATGATGTTTTCGTATGTTCCTTTCAGACAAGGCCACTAGTTCGGAAATGTGATCAATCCCAATCACTTTTCCTGAAGGTCCTATCATTTCAGCAAAACATGTCGTCAGATAACCTGATCCACATCCAATATCGAGAATGCGGGATTCATCTTTGATAACATCGGCAAGCCGTTCAAGCGATTGGGCGTGCTATAGATGCAAAAATATACTTAAAATAATAAAACTAAAGTAAAATTATATATTTCAAACATATTTACCATGTACGGTGCACTTATGGTGGCATTATATCCAATACTTTGGGGTGAGTCACAATATGGTGATACTCTTGCAAAATCAGCACGATCGACAGATAAAAGTACTTGTTTGATTCTATCTGACGAAAATGCACCCTTAGCTGAAAGTTAAATTTTTTAGTACGTTGTAAGTATACGATTTGATTCATGAATGTATAAAATTATTGAAAAGTGTAAAAACAAAAAAAATGTGAATTAATTAGTACCTTTTAACAACTCAACCAAATCTGCATTACGTCGAGGAATCCTTTCAAACATTTAGAGCAGTCTGTGTATAAATAAACAGTGCAAACAAATAAACCCCGTGTGACTGTTGTTTTAACTAAAATGTAATTTAAAGTAATTAAAGAAATTTGAATTCATATGATATTTCGCCCTCCTATTGAAACATTTGATTTTAAAAATTGCATAAAATTTTATAAAATTTTTCATCGTAAATATACATGTTTACAATCGGTAGGTCCTACAACGATTAATTTACGTGGCGTTTTGCATTCAAAGGATTCTTTTTGCGTTTTATTTTTCAGAAGGAAGTCTTACTTTAAAGTTTTTAAATGATTTAAATTATTTTATGAAATCTTGTGTTAAAAACTTGTATTGTTTAATTTTTAGTCATGTCTTTTTTTCTGAACGGAGGCGGAAACAAGCGGCGTGGTAAAACAGCGAAAAATTTGGGTAACAAAGGAAAAAAGCTAAAGCTTGACGAGGAACTGTCGTCTGATGAAGATATTGTTGACGAAAGACACCCATTTGCTGCACTTAGTGATGAGGATGAGTTCGAAGATGTGCATGCGAAAGCTTACAGAGAAGCTAGGAATGTTCTGCAGAAGCTGAAGGTAACATTTTGTTTTATTTATTATGAAGTTTAGATTACAGTGGAGTCTTTTTAGGTCAATCTGATAGACATTAACATTTTTAATTTCTTAGCGTTTTTTTTATTTTTTCGAGTTTTTAGCATGATGGTCGACAAAGAAAAAACGAAAATGAAGATTCAGATGAACAGGAAGATGTCGATTATGACGCGATTTCGCATCGTCTGAAGCAAAATGCGTTTGAAAAAACCGTGAAGTATCACAGAAGAGTGGCTGATTCTTTTGTCATTAACGATGACCTTACAATTGTTTATAGACCACATCGTTTATCTACTGTTTCTGTGGCTGTTTCCAGAAGTGGAAGGTATATTATTAGCTGTTCAAAAGACGGAAGCATCATGAAGTGTGAGTTTATTTTTTTTATATTGACGATTTTTTATTTTGGTTAAGTTTATTATTTGATACCACTTTTTTGCAACTATTATATTTGAAAATTTATTAGGGAAAATTTTCATTTGACAACATTTTGTAAATACATTGGAATTCTTTTATAACTCCTACATAGATGTATTACATTTTTTACTTCTGCTTTTAATTTTAGACGATATGAAGCTTCATAAAGTTGTCGCAAAACTAGTTCCACAGAAGAAAAACTTTGGAAAAACTTTACACAAAGGACAAATTTTGTGTGTTGCCATCTCTGGTGATGACAAGTATATTGTATCTGGTGGGGACGATAGTATAATAAGAATATACTTGTTGTCAAATTTGAAACACGTCAAAAATTTAAAAGGACATAGTGGACCGATAACTTCATTGGTGTTTAAATCGGGAACAAACGATTTGTATACAGCGAGTTGGGACAAATCTATTCGAGTAAGTATTGTTGTTTTAAATGAGGTTATATTTAAAATCAATTGATTGGTTAAATATTTTTTTTCTTCATTATTAAAAATTTATCGCGTTATTTTTATAATACAGCTTAGGAATTTCAAAGTTATAGTTTTAGTATATTTTATTTAACAAGCAAATTTTTTAAAAATATTTATGATTTAACTAACTTTTTTTACAGTTTTCATAATATATTAACTTCAGTCGTGGAATCTTGATCAAATGGGTTTTGTAGAAGTTTTATATGGACATTCTGACCCAATCACTCAAATTGACATGCTTAACAAACCTAAGCTGGTTTCTGCTGGTGGTAGTGCTCGAACTATTCACTTGTTCAAGATCGAACATTCCAGTCAACTCGTTTTTAACGGAATGACAGATTCGGTTAGCATTGATTGTGTATCGATGATTAACGAAGATCATTATGTGTCTGGTCAAATGAATGGGTATGTTATCAGTTGTTTAAAACTATGACTTAAATAATAGTCTAAAAATTATTAGCCAAACTTAATTTAATAATTTTAATTGTAATTACGCAACAAATTTGTTGATTATTTTTTTAAACTTATTAAATGTAAAAACTATAATTAATAGCTGGGAAAAATAAAACTAAATATTAATTTTTTAGAAATCATTGTTAAAAGTAAACAATTTTTTTATAGATCTACTTATTGAGTAAAGATATTATAAATTTAAGGTCTATATATGTTTGGTCTGTTTTTAAAAAGAAACCTGTCTGCATGGTGCGAGAAGCTCATGGTGTTGACGAAAAAACAGGGGAGACTCGATGGATAACAGCAGTGACAGCACGACCGTATAGCGATCTTGTTGTCAGTGGTTCTTCGAATGGACAGCTGAAATTTTGGAAAGTTGCTGAAGATTACAAATCATTAACATTGGTTGATACTTTTCTATTGGTAAGTTCGCATAATTATAGATGTGTTTCAAATAAGCGTATTAATATAAAAAGAGCAAGGTGAGGTGACGTAAAATATTTTTTGTTATTATGAGTTTGACTCACGAATGATAATATTTGACAGGAAAAGAGAGGAAACGGATTTTAATACGTTTTTAAGTGAAATAAAATTTTTAATCGATAACATGAGCACATTTTCACTGTGTTTTTTCTTGGGGTCTACTTTCTTGTTATAAAATAGTGTATGGAGTTTTGAGGTGAGGCATGGAGTTGTGATGAGATTATCATCTACGAATTTTAGAAAGAAAAAATATGAACATTTTATAATTATAGAAAATTTGAGAAAACGTTAGCTTAAGGTGATGGCTTTTTTTAATATATGCGTACTAATTTTACAAAAAAAATCTAAAAGCTGTCAAAAGGAAAGTTTAAATAAAAATATTCACCTTTGAGATTATGTGGGAGTGAAGACGCTGTTATTTTTTCCCTCGACTCGATCAAAGGAAGGGCTGAATTCTGACAGTCTTTTATTCTAGATTTGTACAGCAGAACCGTCGTGCGAGACGAGAGTGTTGGTTTTTTTTCATCTATTCCATGTTTTTCGAAAGTCGATTGCATTATATAAACTGGGTTAAGGAACAGAAAACTTTGTCTACATTTTCTTCTGAATTTAGTTTTTTATTGATTAGGAACTAGTTAAAACTAATGGCAAATCAGTTTTAACATATTAAAAGTTTTCTCAATAATTATTTTATTTTTTAAGTTAATATTGCTTTTTAGGCAGGATTTTTGAACGAAATGAAGTTCAGCGAAGATGGAAAAACTTTAGCAGTAGCAGTTGGTCAGGAACACAAAAACGGCAGATGGTTCAAAGTTTTTGAAGCACGAAACAGCATTGTACTTCTACGACTACAATATGATACGGATGGTGTAAATGATAAATTGGCTTTCGAATCTGAAGAGGAAATTGGAGAATCATCTGACGAAGCGATGAGTGATGCTGACGTTACAGTTACTAAAAGCGATTTGCGCAATAAGTTAAGCGTAAAAGCTTACAGCGACTCAGTTCAAGACCAAAAAGGTCCAGGACATATTCAGGATGATTTTGAAAAAAATGGAAGTGACCTAGAAGATTAGTTTCTCACGAGTTATAAACTTGTTTATTGTTATTGTTAATTGTTGAACTGAATACATTGTTGTTTTACACAGAGGGCTTAAATACATAATCGTGTAAAATCTATTATGTTTTTAATTTGAAATTTTCTTTTTAATTTTGTGGTGATTATTAGTTGCGAAATGTTTTAGGTTCGGTTGGTGTAATTGGAAATTTAGTTTTTTTTGATAAATTTGCAACCAAAGATGTTTAAAGAGTCTTCACGAAAACGCGTAACAAACAGCGCCGAGTCTACTCCAGAAATACAACGTACGGTTTTAGAAACCATTTTTTAACGTTTATTTGGCAGTTTTGTATTTTGAGACGTATTGCATAATTGTATTTTCTTACATTTTTACGTGTACCGTGCATAATTGTCTTGCCGGCTTGAGAGAAAATTGAAAACGGGCCGGGCCTAAACGTTGGGCCCCGGGTCTGGGCCGGGCCTAAAAAGTGGGCCCGGCCCTTTTCTCACCCCTACGGGCCGGGACCGACCCGATCCTCATGTCTTGGCTACCGTGAAGCGATCCTTTTTTAATCTATTATTTGTATGTTTTTGAGGTGTATTATATCCTTCTTAAATTTTTATTATGCTCTTTTGTGAAAGCCGCGACAGTTTTGTTTCACCTTAATATATTCTGCAAATTGCGGTAGGATGGGCGCACTTTGCCAGGAATATCATTTTTTTGCTAATTTTCTTGATTTCGTTGTATAAATTTATATGGCTGTATCTTCGTCAGCTTTGTCGAGCGCCTAAAAATTCTTTTTGGTTTTTCCGGGTTATTAGGGTTTTTGAAAAAATTTCCAGTCGGTTTTTGACTTGTTTAGTAAACTATAAGTTTACCCAAATTTTTTGTAGCGATTATGGTTTATCTTATTCAATTGTCTGTTTTTTAACCGTTTCGCGACTTTCTGAATATAACACATCATTAACTCAAAAGTGTACAATGCACATTTAGGGCGACGAAAAGGCCGAAGGCTTTTGCGGTTTCTCAATTTTTCTGTGTTAAAGCTACTGTTCAAGAATCAGGTGTTATGCCCAAGTAAACAGTTTCTTCGGCATCAACGTTTATGTGCTGGAGGAATGCTTTTTCAATATAATACACTAGTTGTGCATGGTGAGTTTTCTTACTATTTGTCATTTTTAAATGATTATTAAATTTTAATCTTTTTTAGTTTATTGAACAAAATTTTAAGTATGGACAAAGTAATATGAAGTATTAGAATTTCGTACTTAGGATGTTTTTGAACTTTGTTTCAGTTATTCGTGTGAAGGACCTGAAAACGAAAAATGGAAAAGGTTTGGGCGCTTACTGTTCATTGAATTTGGTCGGACATAGCAAATTGCGGGCGAAAGTTGAAACAAATGCGAATCGACTTGAAAACGGAGTTTGCGATTGGGACGAGCATGTAGAATTGTAAGTTTAGTTGCTAAAAAAATAAAATTAATTTCTTTTAATTGGGAGGTAAAAGTTGAGAGGATTTTTGAAAATACGCAAAAAAAAATCTAACGAAAAATTTGTTTTGGTCTTTCTTTACTTTTAAATTATATTTAATAAATTTCTAAAAATAAAATCATTAGATGCGTTTTAGTTCTATCAATGAAGCATTTACGGAACTGCAACTTAACGTCAAATGTAGGACAAAACTTGGAATTTCAGACACACTGGCTACAAAATCTTTACGGCTTGCGGAAATGCAAAAATCCCAATCTATTAAATGGTTCGATCTGTACAAGAAAGGAAAAGAAGGTGTATTAAAAGGCCAGCTACTAATGTCCTATGAGTTTTCAAACCAGTACAGTTCGTCCGTTTCGCAGTTTTCATTGAATATGATTGAAAAAGGCATGTTTACAATTTGACACATTTTGGTTTATGTTACTTAAAAATAGGAATTTTCATGATTTAACTACAGAAGAGTTGACTACAATAAAAAGAAGTATAATGTTCTTCAAATTATAATATACTAATATTTGAAGAAATACATTACTGTCGACTTATTAAAAAAGTCTCACGGAGAAATTAGGGATATTTTCAGAAAGCAAGATGGACAAGTTAAAACGACACATTCCGTTTAGTAACAAGAAAAAAGCACAGCTTGATCGTGCATCTTTGGCGTCCTATGCAATGTCTCGTCGCTCATCCGTTTGCTCTAATACCTCGGCCATCGCATTTTCGCCGGTACCGTCACCTAATGTACAATCTGAAAGTGAAGTACGTTTTGCGGTTTTGTATGGTTGAATTTGCGGTAATAATACAGTATCGGTTGACAGGGAAAGAAAAATTAATCAAAATATTTTAGTAAAAATCGGAAAACTATGGTTTTGCTAACAATAGAATAATGAATTTGCAGTTCACGCGTTATACAAAATTTTACCTTTTAGTTTCGCGTTCATTCGAATCCCGGTTTGCACTCTCCGTTAAAAGAAGAACCTTTGCAAAACGGTGATCCAGCACGGAGTTCCTTACAAAACAACACTACGTTAAATACCGCAAGGTGTGACTCAATCAGCCAATGTTCGGTAAATATGGCCGAAGAAAATTCTAACTTAGACAAAGTAAAGAAGAACTTTACAGCTAAAGTAAGATTTCTAGTTTCGCTTTGTTTCTTTTGCCCAGTTTATATGAGTTCGTAAGTTTAAATTGTAATTAAATCACTGTCGACGTTCATAATTTCGTTTCTGAATTAGTTAGTTGTTTTATATTTGGTATATTGTGGTAAAACGAACTTCACAATAAGTCGCGTTTTTAGATTCGTCAGAAAGCTGACAAATTGCTGAATGGCGGCCCAAATCGTCAGTCGATGCTTTCTATTGACGAAGCTTTGCTTGACATGCCCACATCCAAACTCCATTCTCGCGCCCAGTCAATCGCGTCGTCATCTGGCTTTGCTTCAAATGGCGGAGGCGGCATTCTGGATGGTCTGAATGACAACACTTCAAATGAACATTTGCTCAATGTCATCAAACAATTGCGGAAAGAGCTTGAGCTGAAAGAAAACCGGATTCGCGATCTGGAAGATTACACCGGTAAATTGCTTTCGCGAATCATGGATGTAAACCCTGACCTTTTGCACATCCAATAGCAACTCATAAGTCTGCATGTAAAAAAACAAATAACTATTTTCAAATGAAATATACAATGATTATTTGTAGTTTTAACGAGATACTGGTATTATTTTTTAATTTTTATTTTCTTCCCACACTAACACGAAAGTTATATCGTACTATTACAGAAAATGTTATTGACATGTAAATACATATAATATATCACTAAGTGTCTTTTGTGTTGATAAAACTACGTAGTGCCTTACATTATTTTATTCATCTGCCTTATTTCAAACTATTAAATCTTGCCAATAAGTTAACAATTATTTATCAAATAAACCCGTTTTAAATGAAGCAAACATAAAGTGAAAATTTCTGAACGGCTTTTTATGATTTGCCTCGCAATTGATAATCTTTAAAACAGAAATTTGATTCCCAAGTAGTTATATATAGATATGTTAAATACCGAAAAAAACGTTTGTTACTACAACAAAAGCTACAGGTCTAGTTTTTCAGTATCATGAATCCTGTTATGAGCAGCGTCTTTACTATAAATATGTCGTTTTCTGTGCCCTGACCCCAATTCTAAAGCGGCGACTTTCAACGGCCATCCACCAGCCAGCACGTCGGCCTGAACAGCTACACCTGTGACAACGGCTAATTCGGGATTGATTCCAAAATTTGGCGTTTTTCTAAAGTTGCGTTATTAATATCAATATTGTTTTCAGCAGGGACGTCGTTGGGGGGGGGGTGGTTCGGGGTGACTCCCCCCCCAGAGCCGATCCGAAAAAAACCACAGGTAGATGGTACCTGTACGTGAAAAAACGAAAAAAAAAAACATTGTCTTATAAGAAAAAATATAATTGAAATTTTTCAACATACCCAAACATTCTACCCACAATTTGTCGAACTTTGGGCATTTGGGTGGATCCGCCAACTAAAACAATCTCGTCAATATCCGTCGGTTTTAACTCAGCATCTTCTAACGCGGCTTCAATTGGATCAACAACGGCGTCAAACAAGGAATCACAAACAGTTTCAAATTCTTCTCTGGTGAACAAGTATTCGAAGCGGCCAGTCTGCTTCAAATTTATTCTTATCCATGTTTCATGTCGGTCCGTGAGTCGGATTTTCGCTTGCTCTATAGCTAATCGTAACTGTTGTAAATCTTCCCTGTTAGTCAATTTGGTATTCGATTGAAGTTCAATTTTCTAAAATTTATATAAACTATATTTGATAGTTGCTTACATTTAAAAGACGCTTTCTGACACCGTGAAGCAAGGTGTGCCCTAGAAATTTACCCCCTGTTTTTATTTGATAAATCGATGACTAGGACCGTTCTAAGACACATGGTAAAGCGATTTTGGCTAAAATGCCGTTTTGGCATTTTTATGCCACTTTTTGACATAAAACAGTTTAAATTTTGTAAAAATCCAAAAATGCTTCAAAAGCTTTGAAAATGTGCATGCGTACGTTTTTGACCATGCTGAACAAAATTGTAATTGAAAATTTTTTTCTAGGATTACCGTAAACTACTGTAATCCAATCGGTCGGTTATAAAAGTGCAAATATCTAAAAATTTAGCACGGATCTTCATGGACAATGTTTACATATTCAAAATCTACATTTAACGTAGATATTAATAGACTGTACGTTTACTTCTAGGGCTGCGTATTTTGGGGAGTTTTGGCCGTTTAAAAAATTGCCGTATCTTACGGTCAAAATATTAAAAAATCATAACTGCGTTTGTACTTCTGTAAATAGTGTCAAATTTAGTATAGTTATGTTTTTGACTATTCTAAACAAAATTGTAATTAATTTTTTTTTCTATGATTACCGTAACCTACCGTAATCCGGTTGGAAAAAAGGTTGGTTATAAAAGTGCAAATATCGAACAACTTAGTGAATTACATATCAAATTGTAAAACAAATATAAATGTTTCTATAACTTTAGTAATAATGCCAATGTTTAAAACATGTTATAAAACATGAAAGGTTCTAACTAAACGTTTTAGCTATAATTATTGTTTACTACTGTAACCTTATTAAAAACTATAAAACTTATCAAGAAATAAAGAAAATAATGTTACGTTTTGTTGCTACTGTAACAATTTTAACTGATTTTATACCTTCAACTTATTTTTAACAATAGCAAATGTTCGATATTTGCACTTTTATAACCGACCGGTCGGATTACGGTAGGTTACGGTAACAATAGAAAAAAAATTTTTAATTACGATTTTGTTTAGAAGTTTCAAAAACATAACCATGCCAAATTTGACACTATTCACAGCAGTACAAATGCTGTTATGATTTTTTAATATTTTGACCGTAAGATACGGTAATTTTTTAAACGGCCAAAACTCCCCAAAATACGCAGCCCTAGAAGTTAACGTATAGTCTAACAATATCTACGTTAAATGTAGATTTTAAATATGTAAACATTGTCCATGAAGATCCGTGCTAAATTTTTAGATATTTGCACTTTTATAACCGACCGATTGGATTACGGTAGTTTACGGTAACCCAAGAAAAAAATTTTCAATTACAATTTTGTTCAGCATGGTCGAAAACGTACGCATGCACATTTTCAAAGCTTTTGAAGCATTTTTGGATTTTTACAAAATTTAAACTGTTTTATGTCAAAAAGTGGCATAAAAATGCCAAAACGGCATTTTAGCCAAAATCGCTTTACCATGTGTCTTAGAACGGGCCTAGTCATCGATTTATCAAATAAAAACAGGGGGTAAATTTCTAGGGCACACGGCCGTTTCAGGATGCTTCATGGTCTCAGAAATCGTCTTTTAAACAAAAAAAAGTTATTGAAAAACAAACGTCAAAATATACTTGACGTGAAACGAAACATTACCTAACAGGACATTAATTAGTGTTAATTAGCTAGCAAAATTTACCGCAAAATTAACCTACCTGAACAATAAAATTTTGCACTAAATTATTAAAATCTTGTCCACCCAAACGATTGTTCCCAGCTAACGACTGAGTTACAAACATTCCACCTTGCAGCATTAGTACCGCTACGTCCATCGTACCGCCGCCAAGATCAACGACAATCACAAACGTCACTCCTGACTTCTTATCCAATCCGTAGGCCAAAGCGGCGGCAGTCGGTTCACTGATGACCCTCCATACATTAAAACCTGCCATTTCTGCCGCCTCTCTGGTTTTGTTGCGCTGTGAGCCAGCAAACTCAGCCGGAACCGATATCACCAGGTTCTTAAACGAAATTTGTCGTGCCATTTCGACAGCATTTTTAAGATATGTTATTATCAGGCTGCCGATTTCTTCAGGATACAGATTTCTACAAAAAATTATTATTTTGTAAATTCCCACATAAACTTGTCTTTTTGGCAGCCTCGTCAAGCACTAAAGTAAAAAACAAAAATGAAAATCATACCGTTCACCTTCCTCCAATTCGACTCTAAAATAAGCACGTTTGTTCTCATCCAATTTGATTTCAAAAGGATATCTATCTCTGTCGGCTTTAAATTGTGGATCTGATTCATCAAAAGTTTTCCCAATAAATCTTTTTGCATCGTATATTGTGTTCTTAGGATATACCTCTAAATGTTCTACTGCTAACGTTCCAACAAGTACTGTTCCGTTTGGTCTATAAATTAGTTGATCAATATCAAACTGTTTTTTTATATATACCAAAAAAGACGTTTTGAATTTAAAAAAAAACGTTATATCCTTTTTTTAAGATAACAATAATAAACTAAAAAAACAATAATATTTATTTATATTATAATTTTTACTGTCGTAAAAAAATAAGAACAGTTAAAAACTTACAAAAACGAGACAACACTTGGAATACTCTTTTTTCCCAACACGTCATCGATAATATCCGTTTTGCCGTTAATAGCTTGATGTATGGCAACAGAGGAAAAGGTTGTACCAAGATCAATCCCCACGGCCTTCGGTTTTGGAAGCGGTAAATTGTATCCCCAACGGTTTGCCAAGTAACCTACGAACACAGCCAGAAAAACTGACGAAACTGAAAAACGACCATAATTAGATATTGTATTAAACGCTCGAATTTATTATTTTAATAAATGGATATTCAAAAAAATATACAAAGAATATTACTATACTGGAGCATCAATAAAAAATCCTCAAATGATCTTCTTTTAATAAAACTAAATATTTAAAACTTTCGCTCTTTTGAACCTTATTTTTTAAGGTGTAAGAATCAAAACATTAGTTACTTACAGAAAATTGTTTGTATGTACGCCATAACATATGCCGCTAGAAACCCTATAACATGTACGTAGCCTTTAGAGCCTAACTAATGTCTTTATTGTATAATTAAAATAGACAATTTTATTTAAATAACACGTTCCATTAAATATTTTTAAATATATTTCAGCCGCGTTTATTAAACAAAAACGCGCTCACATCGCGTAAAAGAAAAGCAATACGAAAAAATCATTATAGTACACGTGTTCCACTTTTACCATTAATTTAAAAACAAAGTGTTGTTTCTAAGAATAGAATACATTTAAAAAAGTACATGATATTTCTACCAACAACGTATTATTAACAGTTAAAACGATACTTTTATCTGTTATAAAAAGCAAGAAATAAATAAATGCAAAGTATCAATTTGTTTTAAAAACCATGTTATATAGTACAAAATATGGGTTCTTTCATTTATTGTAACAATTTAACAAAAAACTTAACAAAACGATATACTATTTTTAAAAATCTAACAAAATAATTGCCAACAACAAATAACGAAAACACGCAAATATCAACAAAAAATTTTCATCATTTAATGCATCGATTTGGTAAATGACACCTAAGACATGTAATACAATGTTTATAAGATGGTTTCACACATTTTCCACACATGTCACAATGCCGGTATGTTGGTCCTAGTTCAGTTGCGCATTCATTACACTTTTTACAATGCTCATTTTCATCACTTACGTACCGTGAGCACTTCTTGCACAATCTATAATTGCAAATGCGTTAATAATAGCCAGATTAATCAAATTTAATTTGCAGCCTCAACCCCGCCTTTTTTAAATTTAAGCTCCGGATCTGCCCCGGGCCTGGCTCCAGAGCCTTCGAAAACTCTGATAATAACTACTACTATCATTATAAAGTAAATTTTTAAACAACCAAAGTATAATTTAAGAGATTTAATTTTTTTTCTAAAAAAATATATTTAAAACTTTACCTGTAGCCATCTTGCAGTTTGAAAGTTTTTAAATCTTTCATGTCGGTAAAAATACGAACAATAGTTTTCCTTTTTTCAGAGAATTGGCGATGGTTTACATATGTAACCTATAAACACGCTTTTTTATGCAATTTTGTCAAAAACTTTAAGAGATTATCATACCTAATAAACAAACCACATGTTTCGTAAACGCATAAAAAAGTAAAAAATAAATAAAAACAACACCTTAAAGTCCAACATCCTGTAACCATTCATAAACCTTTTCATAAACACCGGTGAAAACAAAAATTTCGTAAATTCCCCACAAGGATTCAACTCCGCGTGTAAATCCTCAATCTTTTTCAAACTTCTTGCCAATGGTTCAAATTGAACACCAAAAGGTGGATCACACACTAAAGCTGTTCTAAATGCATTTTTGAAAAACTTTGTTGTCCAATCAACTCCATCAGCCTCATAAAAGTAATTAGACAACATATTGTAGTGTGCAAACTGTGTAGGATCAAAGAAGTTGGACTAGAATAATATTAAATCAAAAAATTGCATTTGAACAATGCAAATCAAATGAAACGCATCGTTAAATGCGGCTGGCAAAAACCTACACTATTTAGCGATCATAAAAAAATATTAGTTAAATTAAACACACCAGCCTATGATCATAATCCAGAACAAAAATCTTCTTTCCGGCTTTCCTCATAAATTCAGCTACTGTTGGACATCCAATACACAAAATTGAATCAAAGGTCTTCAAATTCTCTGTCAAAACTCTTAGTACTTCCCCTGTGAACCAGTATTGCTAAAAATATCATAATAACAAAACAAAAAAAAGTTATAACAAACAGTTTCATCAAAACCTAAACGGAAGGCACTACATACCGCTTCGCCATCGTTTTTTGCCTTCGGAGCTTTTAATAGCTTTCCAATCAAATTTAGATCCCCCGACTTTAAAAGCTTTTCCACTGGATGTTGATGTGGCAAACTGACATACGCAAAACATCGTACACACCAATTCAACTCATTCTTATTCTTTGTTTCCTCAAACGTCCTCCTTGAGTTTCCCAAACCGTATGTATACACTATTTGTAAAGCGTCTTCAAAATCATGAGTACCACCCTCGGTAATAGTGACACGATAATTACATAGCTCATTTGCACGATAAATAGAACAAGAAAACCAATTTTCAATTCCATCCGTAAATAGCAAACAGGGACCTAAATATGCTTTTAAAAAATTCTATATGAAAAAAAATAGAAAATTATGTTTAAATCAAAAAAGATAATAAAAAATTTTAATCAAGATATCAACAATATCTAATTCTAAACAATAAAATTAAGAGTTGGTTTTAAGTAAAACGTTAATATGTGTAATATTCACAGCCTAAAACAAAAAAATGCAATAAAAAACTTACCATGAGGACATTTAGGAACTTTCATAGCTTCGTCTGGCTGAATACATCGTATCCCTTTTCGTTCACGAATGTTGCCAACTTTCGTCGCTTTTACTTCAATTTGTTTAGACGTTTTACGAACAACAGGTAATTTTCCTTTGCTTTGCTTTTCTTTTTGTATTAATTTCTTCGCCTTCCTCCTTTCCCTAATCAACTTTCCGTGAAGTTTGCCCATATCAAACCTAAAAAACTTTAAATAAAAAAAATCTTAAAACTGCAAAACTGCAAAACTACTAACAAAATTTTTATGCACATTCGATCGAACCAAACTTACAATTAGCTCGCGAATTCTAAAAAATCCTGTCCACCTATTGCAGAAAGCCAAACATTTGTGACGTTCGTTTTCGTACCAGGACCCATGTAAAATAAAGCGTAATTAAATAATTATGTACCTCATCTTATGACTAGCATTTAAAAATGATTAGAGAAGAGCATTATTAAGAAAATAAAATAAAAATTTTATAAGTAAATTTTTTGATTTTTTTAGATGGATTTTATTAGATAAAAGTTCTTTATTATGAAATTTGTTTTTATCTATATTAAACAACGCATTACAAATAAATAGGTAAAAGTGTAATACAAAACAGAAGGTCACATTGGGAAAGCAAACAAGGTGTATAGTAAAACGGCTATTTATTTGTAAGAAATTAAGGTTTTTGTTAATTGAAGGTACATAAAAGTTCGACGTTTGAGAGCTGTTTTTTGATTGTAATTGTGTAAAGCCATACACATTTTTTGTCATTTATATATTCTTACGAATATATGACACGAATTTATAAATAAGCTTGTACGAACCTTGGCCATATACTACTGCATAATAGACGTTTGGCAATAACAAGATTAATTACAAAGCAAAATAACCAATTTTAGGTTACAATTGTTCTCTATGAAGTCTGGGATATTATATATTACCAAATTTAATAAAGTTGAAATGTTGAATTATAAATGTGTTTTGTATAACTATCATATATTATAAATAATACTAGAGTACTTTTAGGTTAGCCGCAAAACAGTTCATTGGAAGTCATGTTTTGTAAAACTGTCGTTTTACTTACCGCATTTGCTTCAATTCTCGAATCAAAGCCTTTATCTTCAAAAGATGGACTAGAATTCCCTGAATTTCATGATGATATTAACGAAGACAAATTCCCGACGCCTCCGAAAATACTTCTTCAAATGCCAAACTTGGAAACTCCAATTAGTCAAGATACTCCAGACGAGCTAGATGATGTGTTGGAGAACTTAAAGCACGGACAAGAGCCTGAAGCGATACAAGATATTGAAACGTTGGGGCTGATGAAAGACGTTTTGTCGAAGAAGGAGTTTTACATGGCCTTTAAATTTGTTATGGATCGATTAACTGGGAAAGCAAAGGTGAGCTGTTTTTTACTGCATTTAACTTTTAAATTTTATCCATATTTAATGTTTACATTATGAAAACTAAAAAAATTAGAAATATGCAATGGAGCAACAGCAGAAGCATTCACTTTGGATACAGAATTTGAACATGGCACTAGCGGAACTTAGTCAAGAATCTGTGGCCGTATTAATTAAACTAGACGTAAGTAATTGCTGTTCTTAAAATTACAGTATTTCCAACGTTTGGTATAAATGTATGCGAATTAAAAAATCTTTAAATTTGTGGATCGAAAATTTTATTTTTAGGCTTTACAATTGTAACAGAAACTAAAAACAACCCCTTAAATATAAGATCAATCAAAAATAACTTTTAAATCAAATCTTGTGATGTCTTTAACTTTCTGCTTGTTATTGTAGGAATTCGTTATCAGTACATAATTTTAGGAAATCTACCGTAACGACGAGCAATCACTGACCGAAGAAGAAAACCGTATGAGTGATGTTGTAAACGCTGCTTCGACCGATGTAAAAAATGACTTGAAAAAACTTGGTTTTAAATTACCAGGCCTTTAAAGTTTAAGACATGATTTTGTAAGAGGAAGGCAAAATTTAATTACTGCATTGTTTCGTAGTAACCAATATAACCTTTTTAAATAAAACTTATTTACTTCAAAGAAATGTAAAAAGTCTTAAGCCTTTGTTAAAAATCGATATTAGTTAAAAAAAGTAACAAAAAATCAATTGAAAATATACATTACTTTGGCAATTTATTCCTTTTTTACGACTGACGATGAGGTAGTGTTGTACTCGGTGAGGAGATACAATTTATCGCTGGATTTCTGTTACAGTTAGCTTCCATATCAAGTTCAAGCACCAGTCTTGCTGCCCAATAACAATTTCCGTCGTACAATGCACCATTCATTTCGTAAAACTCACCGCCTAAAAACACGTATTAATTTATACCATACAAAAAAAATTAGCTATGTTTACAAACCTACCTGGAAATGGTTGACAACATCTACTACAAAGCAAGCATTCGAAATGATACGCTTTGCCTTTAGCTTCAATAAATGTTTCGAAAACAGGCTCCTTGCATCCTAAAGATAATTCTAGAAATATAGCTTATACAGGAAATTACCATTACATATGGGACCTCTAACATCTGATTGACAATTCAAACAAATCACAAAATCCATTTTTTTCTCATCGCCAAAAACGTAGTAATTGTAGATATTTAGATTGCACAACGTACATCGAAAATGCTTTGAATGATAAAGCTTTTTGTTGGCTATAATAACATCACCATTTTCAATGCTCTTTTTGCATTGGGCACAACGACCAGTCATTTTAACAAAATGACAATGACCCATTCAAATTGAGTGGGTAATTAAATTTTTTTGTTACAAAAGCTGGATAAAATTTTAGAAAAATTACTTTTGCAAATATGCATATTCAATATTGAATTCAGACGTTGCTTCTATTCAGACATTGAACGGGCCGGGCTTGAGTGCTAGGCCCGGCCCGATCTAAATTTTTGTCAAGGCCGGCCCGTTTTCATTTTTCTCTCAGGCCGGCCCTAAAAAAATTAGACCCGTCCTGGATCTGTTTTAAAAAATTTAAAATTTGAAGAACTTAAAAAATAAAAGAAATTCTATTTTTACAAAAAAATCAAAAAATATTAATGGCAATTAAAGCAAAAGGTTTTAAAAATTTTTAAAAATTTAGCGCCTGCCCGTTCTAACTTAATTTCAAGGCCGACCCGTTTCTCACCCCCTACCCTAATGTCTACTTCTATTTTTAATAAAAGGAGAATACTTGGCTCTTTTTAAAGTGTCAAGTCTCTTTTTATAATAACTTTTTGTTTTCTCCATATTTATTTAACATTTCTTCTTACGGGTTTTTGCTTTATTTTGGCTTTAATCATGATTCGTACAAAAGCAGTGGAACGATATTTAGAGCAAGCAACTCAGAACGGTGTCAAAGGGGCTATTTTGTTTGATAAAGATGGTAAGAAATTTGTTACTTTTTAAGTTTTAGATATGAACTCACAAAAAGTTGTAGTATGCGCCGGTAAACGTGTAATACGCAAATACTAGCTTTTTAAATACAATTTTCTTGTTTAGGACGTATTGTTGCACGAGCTGGATCCGGATCTCACGATAGTATACTCGCTGTGTTCACGGCCAAATTGTGGGAATCGTTCGATCGACAAGGCTCACGGGACCGCTTACGTGAGATCGAGCTACAGAATTCAAATCACATTCTAATGGCTGCACGAGTTGTGACTATGATTATGGCCGTCGTTGTAGAGAAGGATCAGCCCACCGCGGTCGCCAAAGCAAAATTGAATCGTTTAGTAGAAGATTTACGTGAACCAATGAGTATCTTTTGCTGATTTTTTATAGTTTTTTACTTTAGTGCTAGTTTATTTTTTAACAGAAAAAAATGTTTGTCGTATTATATTATTTAGTTAAAACTTAGAAATATTATTTTAAATACTGGTTTGTAGATAATGTTTGGTTACATCAATTATTTTTGCACGTTTTTATTGTAAAGAAGCCTAACGTTGCCTAAAATGTAGTTTTTGATTTAGTTTTGTCATTTATATCAAATAGTTTTTAATGTTTTTAAAATTAGTTAGTAAGTAGTTTATTTTGGGAAAATTAAATTCAAAGATAACAACTTTATGTTTTTATGTTTAACATGTGGTACTGTTTCACTTTCAAACGCTATTAAATTTATAGGTAATTTTGAACATAACATAACAAAAATATCTGAATTGTGGAAACACTAATATGTATACGTACAGTAATTCTTAAAGTATTTAAATGTAATTTGTTATTTCACCTGAAAAAATAGTATTTAAATAATGCTTTATATAATAGCATATAAATTTAATATAAATATATGAATTATATGTTATACATAAATACGTTCTGTCGCACGTTTGAACAAGAAAAATTAAAATTGACATAAAAACTGATTAAAATGGAGTGCATAATGACTGTCATCATTTATGGTCTATTTAATAACACAAATGCTAATTTTGTGCGTCAATGCCGAAACAGATTTGCCTAGATTACGGAATATTTTTGTCTCATAAGTCCTCAAAAAATTGTGTTTACACGGCTTAATAGAGGCTTAATTATCAGATTTGCCGATTATTTTGTTGTAAAGTAAGCCCGAATGGCGTAAATGAACAGCTGGGTTTTGAATACGGTAACGCTTTACAATGAAGTAAAAAGTGTTATTTGATATTTAGTATGTTACGTTGCACGAGCAATTGCAGCAAAACAGGCTACAAGGGTTAAGAATTAAGTTTTTACTTTTAGGTCTTTGGTTTTCTTTTATTTGAGGTAAACATGCAAATATATATGTAGTTAATTTTTTAAAACAGTAAAAGCTAACGAGTATGAGCAGATTGGCAGAGACAGAGAATATTCTTTTATAAGAGGTTAAAAATAATGAATTTAACAAATAATTAAGCCTTTTAAAATTTTTAATACTTAGAGACATCTTGAATAATATTTCTAAAACATTGAAAAGTAGTTATATAATTTGATACACAATCAGTGTCTTTAAACTGTAACCGGTTTTAAGAGGCAATTTACATACAGTTTTGTGTAAAAAAAGCTAAACGTTATATATGAGATAAATGATATTTTTGATGATGCATAAGTAAAAATACGTTTAAAATTCAGTTTTTCAATCAAAATACACTAAATTATTTGCTGCTAAGTACCAAGTCTTCCACGCGAAACGCTAGCTTTTGTGTTGGGGATGGTGAAGCAGAAGAACATACAAACTCTTGGCTGGCTGAACTAGTACACCGTTGGGCTTTTCGTGCTTTGGCGCGTCTATTCTGGAACCAAACTTGAATTCGGCCTTCGGTCAAGTTTGTCTTTAGGGCTAGTTGTTCGCGAGCAACCACGTCAGGGTACTGTGTTTCTTGGAAGACGTTCTCCAGTTCGTTGATTTGCTCGGTTGTAAAGGTGGTCCGACTACGGCGCCCGTTTGACGACGCGTGTTTTCGGATCGGTTTAATCTCGGCTTCATGCCCTTGTTTCGAATGCATATGCAGCAAAATTTTAAGCAGCATATCCATGTTGCTCGTCATTTCTTTTGCACATAAAGTTTGGTACATCATGCTGACATCACTATTAGCTCCAAAGAAAGCCGGTAGGTTACATGGTGACGTGCTGTTTTGGGGAACACATGGGCTTACTGACTGGATTGGAGATGTGGAATGAGATTGAAGGTCGATGTGAGGGAATAAGGGTACTTGTAGCCCTAGAGGAGCGGCAGAAAACATGCCTTGTTCAAACATTATTCTAAAATAAAGCATTTAAGTCATTTATGTAAAATAATATTAATCGCTCATACTGATCGAATTAATGAAGAACACCTAACAATTAAATAAAAAGCAATCGAGGAATTTTTGCTAACAAAGGTTTTTATATATTCAAAGGAAAAAGCGAAACAAAAATTTGAAAATATGATAATAAATCTACTATGCAACTTATAGAAACTAACATACAGTAATATAAGTTAGTATACAAATTATAAGGATTTAACGCCTATGTAACGGTTATTAATGCAAGGAAACACGGGTACAGGTCAAGCCCTTAAAAGTTTTCACAACCGTATTTATACTCGGCTGAGACCACGCCCCATTTTCTCGATTAACGTAATACCAGATTAATAAGAGAATGAAAGAAATCGTGGAAAATAATATGATAATTAAAAATTAAAAATGCGAAATAATGCTAGATTTGGGGAGATTTGCCAAAGCAAACAGGCCAAAACTTGAGGGAGGAGATTAAAAAATTAAAACTTGGCTAAAAAAGGTTTGTGGATTGGACGAGTGTGAACATATTTAGTAGCTGTTTTTGAACCTCTGCCATTTTTTTACAACAAACCAGCATTATTGAAAAACAATTTGTTTGTTTACTATGTGTTTTTAAATACATAGACTATAATGATAGCATCACGTACCGAACTCTTATTTGTAATTAGTTTTATTCATTGACCAAACTTAATCCTGTAATACGATTTCTTTTTTCAATTTATTCCGTATTTAATAAAATTTCGTGCGTAATTGAGCAAATTACACTTTGAATTTGTGTAATTAAAAACTGGATTAGGCAAGGAAAATTTTGTAGGTATTTTTCTAAAAATAAAATTACGTGTGGCGGTCTTAATCACTTGCGTAACTTTTCGGATCGTATAGTTAATACACTAAGATGATGTAAATATTGGGAAGTTGCAACTACTAGTTGTACAGACAAAAAATTTAGAGGTGGAATTAGGTAACATATGTAAGCTTTACATTCTATATTGGAATTTAAAATAGTTTTAGTGTTTTTCAGTTCTTGATAGTTTGCGTAGAAAAATTTTTTTTATTATATAAGGAAGGTTTTACAGAATGAAGTACGTAATTTGCAACAGAAGAGTGGTTTTTTATACTGTAGACTTATTGAAAATTACTTTATCTTACAAAATCTTTGTTTAATTAATATTTTTTTATCTTTTAAGTTTTTTATGACGAACTTTTACTAAAAGAAGGTTTATTAAAAAGCAAAATTTTTTACATAGGCATGTTTTAACCTTTTATACGTAGATAAAGTCATGCATTTGAGAATTTTTAATATCTGTGAAATTAATTTGTCTTTGTGATGTCGGGTGCTTTGTTCTGGATATGTACAGCTTCTTAATCCTGTGCGTAATGAAATTTTTAAGTAATTATTAAATCGTTCGTTTGGTTAATGATAAAAATCATTATGACGCGTTTTTAAAATTAATTATGTTTTTTTTTTCGTTTTTGGTTTGTCAAAAACAAAATTATCTGAGTTATAAAACTAAATTTTACTGTCAAAATCTTGCATATTATATTAACTAGAAATCATCATAATGTATTATTATCATAAAATTTAAATCTAGGTTGTTTTTTTAACTATCTGGCTTTTTGATGAGTACCCCACGAAATATCTACTTTTTTATCTTACATAGAAAAAAAAACGTTGGAAAAACGATAAATATTGAAAAGTATAGAAATAATAGAGTTAATTCGTTAAACACATGACCATATTGAAAGGTTACTTTTTATGTTTATTACAGAGTCAGTAAGTTGTAGGTAACGCATTTCTCATAAAGATACCATCTATTGTTTTTGTAAAACTTATATACATTTTGAGTAAATCATTTTATTAATTATCCGTTTTCACACGGTTCCAATTTACTTAATTTACACCATCTGTAAGTGTTAGTTTATTTTTCCCACTAACTTTAAACTCGCATATGCGGCGATGTTAGCATTTTCAGGCCCGGCCCGTCCTAAATTTGGGTCAGGCCCGGCCCGGTCCGTTCCTCATGTCTACATGCGCGTAAGCAACACCTATCAGTAAGTAAAACACTTGCAATTAACTTAGTATTATTTTACCGATAATGTGTTTTCATTAATATTAGCAATTAATACTAATACATTGCTTAATCTTCATGCGATTGTAATTTAATGCTTTCAGGATAAAGGCAGTGGCAATTTAATGCAATTGACGCAATTGTTCTTAATGTATGGCATTTATCAATTTTATAATGACATAATTTTTCTAGCTTGTTAAGTATAAATTTTAATGTAATACTTATGATGAAATAATCAAATAAATTCTATATTTATTGCGAAAGTTTTTTGTATAACTTATAAAAATTAAAATAAAAACAGGTAGGAAATAATTTTTTGATTTTAACTTATTTTTGACCCTGCTCAGTTTCTTAGTATAACTTGGTACGGTGGTCAAGATTTTTCTATTGTCTTTTTGGGTTTAGCTCAACATTCTGACTTAACGTTAGGCTTTTATAGCAAGAAATATATCCCAAATTTATAGTATAATACTACTGTTAGAACTGTATACAAATAAATTATCTTATATTTTTTATCTTATGATTGTGCGAAAGTGTGTTACAAATTAATCCCGTCTTTTTAATTAGTTCTATACAATCATACGTACTTGTGGAATGGCACATATTAATTAAACATTGCAAAAGACGATTAGTAGGTTATAATAATACGGTAGTTTTAATTTATTTTTTTCAATTTATTCATTTTATTTTAAAAGTGTTAAGTTATAAGAAGTTCTTTTTGTCAACAATATTTTACTTAAGTATTTTACTTTTTCGAAACAGCGTTTACAATTTTTGTATTTCAAACGTCAAAAAACGGTTTAATACTAATATAAACATATTAAATAGTGTCGTAAAAACGGCTTATTTGAGAGTAATATTAGTGGAATCTTTGCTTATACAAGATTACACCCACAAATTGACGACAATGATAAGAACATCGCGAGGATTTCAATAAGGCTAAAAACACAAAGCGGACTTTATATTGAAAAAAACGTTAGTGTTGACAAGTTAAACTTACTTTTTCAATGAGGAACATATTTTTTTAAAATACAAGCATTTAATTTTTTTAACTAACTTTTGGTTTTTTAAATAAAATATAATGGAAATTCAGAAATTTTATAACATTTTACGAACTATTGTAATCTATTAGAATAATTTCTATCATAAAAACGTATCTTACTTTGCGCAGATTTTGTTAGCGTGATGTTTAATAAAACTTTAATGCCATACTCTAATACACCCTCACAAATTACACGCAAAGTTGACGTAAAGAAACAAAACAACTACTATAGCAAAAAGTTCGATCGTCATTAGGATATATGTTAATTAATTTTTGCTGATGTCATGGTAAACTAAATTTAAACTGCAAATTACCGTAACGCACACCTAGGGGCGATTTTTTTTATGGGCGATTTTTTTTGGGCGATTTCTTCAAGGGCGATTTCTTTATGGGCGATCCAAAATATTTTTAAAAAAATACCCTTTTGGCCTTACCTGACCCCATTCCTGACCTTTTAGGCCCTACCCAACCTCACCCCTGACCCTTTTGGTCCAACCTGACCCTACCCCTGACCCTTTTGGCCCTACCCAACCCTACCCCTGACCCTTTTGGCCCTACCCAACCCCTACCCCTGACCTTTTTGGCCTTAGTTGACCCAACCCCTGACCCTTTTGGCCCTACCTGACCCTACCCCTGACCTTTTTTGGCCTTACCCAACCCCTACCCCTGACCCTTTTGGCCCTACCCAAGCCTACCCCTGACCCTTTTGGCCCCGAGAATAGTAGAGAACGTACGATATAGTATGATATGGTATGGTCTGAGACACTATGGTGTACTAGGTAAGTGAGGTATGGTATAGTAGGTAGCATAGAGTATGATAGGGTAGGGTTAAAATAACCAGGGGTAGTGTTCGGTAGGGCCAAAAGGGTCAGATGTAGAGTCAAGTAGGGGTAAAAGGATCAGAGATAAGGTCAGGTAAGGGTAAAAGGGTAAGGGGTGAGGTTGGGTAGGGCTAGAAAGGTCAGGGGTAGGGTCAGGTAGGGCCAAAAGGGTCAGGGGTGAGGTTGGGTAGCGCCTAAAAGGTCAGGAATGGGGCCAGGTAGGGCTAATAGGGTCAGGGGTAGGGTCAGATAGGGGTAAAAGAGTCAGGGGTGAGGTTGGGTAGGGCTAATAGGATCAGGGGTGAGGTTGGGTAGGGCTAATAGGATCAGGGGTGAGGTTGGGTAGGGCCTAAAAGGTCAGGAATGGGGTCAGGTGGGGCTAATAGGGTCAGGGGAAGGGTTGGGTAGAGCCAAAAGAGTCAGGGGTAGGCTTGGGTAGGGCCAAAAGGGTCAGGGGTAGGGTTGGGTAGGGCCAAAAGGGTCAGGGGTAGGGTCAGGTTGGACCAAAAGGGTCAGGAATGGGGTCAGGTAGGGCCTAAAAGATCAGGGGTAGGGTCAGGTAGTGCCAAAAGGGTCAGGGGTTGGGTCAACTAAAGCCAAAAAGGTCAGGGGTAGAGTCAGGTAGGGCTAATAGGGTCAGGGGTAAGGTTGGGTAGGGCTAGAAAGGTCAGGGGTATTTTTGGGTAGGGCAAATAGGGTCTGGGGTGAGGTTGGGTAGGGCTAATAGGATCAGGGGTGAGGTTGGGTAGGGCTAATAGGGTCAGGGGTGAGGTTGGGTAGGACCTAAAAGGTCAGGAATGGGGTCAGGTAGGGCTAATAGGGTCAGGGGTAGGGTCAGGTTGGACCAAAAAGGTCAGGGGCAGGGTCAATTAGGGCCAAAAGGGTCAGGGGTTGGCCAAAAAGGTCAGGGGTAGGGTCAGGTTGGACCAGAAGGGTCAGGGGTAGGGTCAGGTAGGGCCAAAAGGGTCAGGGGTTGGGTCAAGTAGGGCCAAAAGGGTCAGGGGTTGGGTCAAGTAAGGCCAAAAAGGTCAGGGGTAGGGTCAGGTTGGACCAAAAAGGTCAGGGGCAGGGTTGGGTAGGGCCAAAAGGGTATTTTTTTAAAAATATTTTGGATCGCCCATAAAGAAATCGCCCTTGAAGAAACCGCCCAAAAAAAATCGCCCATAAAAAAAATCCCCCCTAGGTATGGGCAGCCCAAATTACAAATTGTTGTTAAAGTTTGGAATAATGACGTTTAGTATTATTTTACAAAATTAAGAAATTATATCATAGAAAAAACACGTTTTTTGTGGAGGGGCGGTTATTTATATTGATTATGACAGGCACCGCAGGTTTAAGTTCTTATTGTTGAAGGCAGATCAAGATTCTCTGTTGATAAAAACTAAAAATATATAAATTTTAATATGTTAAATTTAAGTTAAAAATTGGGAGGTTATTGTAAAATAATGAGTTGTAAACTCTTTTATAAAAAAATTCATACTTTTAGCAATGTCCACCCATTAGCTTGTGTTTTCAATACATACGATGGATCGTCGCCCCTGTAATTTATTCTAACTGTACGAAGGCCGTACAATAAGCTGCAAATCAGCCGTGCACACATTGCTAACTGGCAGTGTTTTATCTAAAGTATTTCGTAAACTTATATAATGGTTACAAATACCTCTTTAATAAAGCTGTTGTTCTTCCGCTGTTTTTTGTAAGCTGTTAAAAATGCGTTGGCAAGATTTTTCATGTTTTTTACATTTTGTGAATGAATCCCAAGGTATATATAAAGTAATGTTGAGCTTATGTCAAACAACCGCAACGAATAATGCGTATCACCGAAATCCAACAACGAACTAACTTTTAATGTGTTGTCGCCTTCTTTGATCAGCAAAACGTTGGTTTCGTTCAGGTCGGAGTGAATAAGGCCTAAATTATTTAATTTGTTTTTCAATAGTACGCAAATCCGGACTGTGCTTTAAGTTTAGAAGATAAAGTTGGCTAGAAAGAACGTAACAAAATTTTACCGTATTCAAAAAAATCATAGTTTCGAAAAATTTCAATTTCCAGTTTTTTAAGAACATCAGTACAAATTTGCGAATTTTCATTATCAATCATATTTTTGCCGAACAGTAAATGAAGTTCTCTTAATAACCCTTGGTAATTTTCTATAGCAATTGGTACTCCATGTTTTTTAATAACATCGTCTTGAAAATTGTCTGTTACGTTGTGAAACTTTGCTAACAAGTCACCAACTATTGAGGCTGCTTCTTGTGTAAAACCAACGGATTCTAACGTTTCTCCTTCCATAAATTCAAACACACGAACTGGCAAGGACACTAAATGAAAGTTGAAAATATATACTATATACATATGCCAAGTGCGTTACAAAAAAAATTAGACGTTCAGTCAAAAACCGCGAATTCTTGTCTAAAAGGCATTTAGACAAGAATTCCAAATTTCTTGTCTGAAAAGATAGAAGAGACCATGCTCTCTCGCCGCGAAGAGAACAACGTCTTTTTCTCTCTGCGCGCTTTCAGACAAGAATTCGCTGTTTTTGACTGAACGTCCAATTTTTTTTGTAACGCACCTGGCATATATCTAAAGATAAATTACATAGTCAAAAAGATAAAATGGAAACTTGATTAAAAAGATGAGTTTACCATTTTTACACATCTCCACGACAGCAAAGTTTTCATCAAATTTGTTTTTGATAACTCTCGGACATGGTATTCCGTTGGACCGCAGAAAGCTCATCAAATTAATTTGGGACTCTAAATTATTTCATCGTTAAGTAAATTCGAATAAGTAGTTTTTAAATAGACTGTTTAAAAAATTTACAAGTTTAAAAAAAACTAATATTAACAGTTTAAATTTTTTTCTTTTTTAAATTAAAAAACGACATACCCATTAAATTGGTAACACGTGCTTCTATTGGATTACTAAACTTGACAATTAGTTTTTTAGTTTTTACTTTGTCATCATATTCAACTTCTTCTAACAAAAAGTTTAAATCATCGTATCCAGTCAACCGAGTACACTTTGCGGATTTTATACCATAAAGGTTGTTTAAAATTAACAACAACAAATCATTCTCTATTAACGGAGCTTGTGTGATAAAGTCATCTGGAACGTTAAATGCCATCTAAATTCTTAAATATAAATTTATAGACAACTTACTTAAAATATTTTAAACAAAAAAAAACAAAAAAATACCGTATTATTAAGTAAATATGATGAATTCTTAAACTAGTAAGTAGATTGCAAAGTATATTAAAGTAAGCATTTAACAAAATGAACATTGGACTTTTTATCTGTGTGCTTAATAGAAACTGATAAAAACATCGACAATTTAAAAAAATTTTGTTTTCCTATTTTTATACACTTGTTACAAAGTCTAAAACTTTAGATTGTTAACACATATTTATTTATAAATGAAGGCTTTAAACAATAAATTTATGTATAAAACACTCATTAACACATATGCAAGAAAACACAAATGCGTTCAGGGTTGATTTTTTCTTCTTCGGCTCGGAGCCATTCAGTCAAAGAAACTAACGCTTGGTCGACAAGCTTTTCGCAAACGCGGTCCAGAAAGCTGACGTTGTGGCTCCACTTCTTGCAAGCAGCCTAAAAAATAAGGTGATTTTTTGTTGTAAAAAGTTGTTCATAAGGCGTTTGATAAAAGCGAGAACGTTACAAAACGCTGGCTATACCACATAAAATCATTCAAAGTTCTCTTCTTACAAGCTTAGTTAATTAGGCGAGAGTGTGTTGTACGTATTGTAATAGCTTTTGTATTAACTTACGTCAACTTTTGGGCGGACAATCTCTAAGTTCAAACGGCTTTCTTTGATTAGTTCATCGCGGATAGTTTCAAACAAAAAGTTGCATGGTTTGCACAAAAATTTGTGACCTTCAGCGTCGACATATTCACTCGTTAATGTTTTTGGCACTGATGAAGCGCGCATTAAAGCAGCAGCTTTAAGTTCTTCCTTACGAACTTCAAAAAGCTCGGCCTTCAGTTTTTCAACGGCATCCTAAATTTTAGATAAAATGGGTTTTAAAAATTTAAAAAAATACAACTAGAAAATTTTAAAAAACTAAATTTATTTCAAGAATTAAAGTTCATGAAATTTGCTTCAGCAGTTAAGCTATTAGTACTTTTAATGCAAAACTTAATATTATAACATTTAATAATTTGTGGCTCACTTCAATTTCAAGCTTGGCTTGTGACCATTCCTTGCCGTCAGCCTCAACGACGATTGCTTTAGGTTGTTGAACAATTGCTCCTTGAACGGTGAAAAACAGCAAGGAAAGAAAAAGAAGGGAACGCATTATCAAATTGTTTCAAAAAACTTTGACAATGCACAAACTGTCGCACCATTCTTTAAGTAGTATTGATAACTTGTTATCAATTTGTTCGTTAAGTCATGCGAAAAGTTTTATTACAATTACGGTAAAGGCTCACATTTTTTGACTTTGGTATGACATAAATAACATTCAACAATTTTTTTTTAAATCGTTAGCCAAGGTTGCACACGAAAATCGATAAAAATAGCTTGTCTACTAAAACAAAAAATGTTTTAAAAAAAACAAAAAGCTTTAAAAATCTATTTAAAGCAATAAAATTTATCTGATTAACAACTGCAAATTTTATTTCTGATAAAATCTATTTCAGAACAACTTGGAAAAAACGTAGAGTTACGTTTATTACTGATATCATGATAATATAAAAACTTTTCTTAACACAATTAAAAAATAGTTGTCTTCTTTCCTGGTCGGTATTCCACTGGTTTCACTGCGTTTCTTCCTCGACGGATTGGAGGTCTATAGCCGTTTACAAAAACTGCAATATATTGTTATTTATTAATTTCTTATAATCACAATGAGTATATAGGTAGAAACAACAAAAAAAATTTAAATTCTTACCAATAGTTACAAAAAAAATAAAAGGTAATATAATATTCAAAATGATTTTCATTCTTTCCAAACTTAAGCCAGATTTGGATGCTTCAAAACACATATAAAGAGGTCTCGTTACACGACAATATTTATATAGAAAAATTTATAGCTGGATATTTAGAAATAAAACATAAAATGTGTCGACAATGTTTACACAATTACAAGTTTGTGGCTAAAGTATCGGTCATGCTTTTACTAATTAGTCATATTTTTGAATAATTTCGTGTTTTTAGTAAATTTTTAACAACAATTTAAAAAATAATTTTTAAGTGAAAAATGTTATTTCTTATATAGTTAAGTTTTATGATAAACAATTTTTAACAATATATTTTAAAAAAATCAAACAATGTTTTGCGGCTGATTGTTACCCGTTTGGTACCCGTCGGTGTTTGGATTATTGTAATGTACTGTGCTCTGATCGACATTTTGTTGTTCCCACTGCACTCGTTCGTAAATCATTGAAGCTGGAATGGCGTACGCAGATGCTTCCAACAGCATGAAAAAGCCTGTGAAAATATAACCCGTCGAATGGCCACCTTCTGGAACATGACTTGAATATCCAAAACTTAGCCACACACTAACTCCGCACAACGCTGTTAAAACCGCCGAGTAGACAAATTCCTAAAATTATATGAACCAAAAAACTGCCTATAACTAACTCACTACGACATTACTTCTTAGAGGCAGCTTTTTTAAACAAAAAAATGAAAATTAAAAGTAAAAAAAATGTTAAATTTCCTTACAACTACTGAATATCCAATTAATCCGCCGCTTAGATTTTGAATTAAAGTTTCCGTCTGGTCTAACATAAACAGTACAGTTGCTGTCGTGCTAACAAATAGGCAAGTTAACGTGACAAACCATAGCACTCCACTACCATCGACAGGGGTTGCTGAACCAATGGCTATCAACAGCAAAACAGCTAATGCCTTTAAAGTTTACCATTATAAATATTTAAATAATTTTTGAAGACTGTATTAGGTTAAAATCGGTTAGTTATTTTGCAAAATATTTTATATGGGAACTTCAAGCAAACCACGTTTAAAATAACTCGAAAAATACATGTAAAAAATACTAAATTCAATTACCGTTTGTGTCGGCTTAAACAAATGCGGATATCGAATACAGACAATGTCGTTGAACTGTTCCATAGTCCCGTTAAAGAGTGTTTTTAATGTTTAAAAACTGAGCAAAGAGAAATTATTTTTTATCTAATCAATAATATGATAAATTTCTATGCGTAAGTAATGTCAAAAAGAAAATTGAATGTGTCAATGTCATTATTAGAAAAAAAGACGCAATGTAATAATAATCTCTTTACATTAATGTAGCAATCATGTTTAAAAAAACCTATGGCCAAAGACATGCGGAAACTATCTTTTGCGCATAGGATACACATATAAATTTATAGATTCTTAGTCGTCGTCGACGCTCAGGAAGCCCCGTAAGATGTGCTACCAACGCTCAGTAAACCATCTTGACCAAGTCCGTTTTGTTGGACATTAGCCCAAATTCGGCCAAACAGTACCGTATTGAATGCATGCGAGGATGAGACAATCAAAGAGAATATCTAAAATAAATTTTAAAATAGCTAAAAATCAGATATTGTATAGTGAACAGTTTCTTTAAATATTACAAAACTTTAGTAAGATGTTTCTGTAGAGATAATAATAAACCTAAACACTATACATTTTGTATACGACGTTTTTTGACGGTCAACATACCCCGGCAATTGTGAATGCTGTTACATTCCCATAGTTAGCCGCACTAGCACATAGCCAAATTGAAATAAAATGAGTTATAGCAAAAAATATTGAAACAATGCACTCCTAAAAAAGGTTCCGTCAGAAAAGGCCATGTATAAACAAAATAAAAATATTAAAAAAATTGTGTTTCAAAAATACTAGAAGTAAAGTTTGCTAACAGCTAAAAAATAACTTAAATCAAAGCCGTCTGTGAATAAATATCTTAAACGAAACTGACCAATAAAGCCCAAGAAAAGAATCCTCTTGGCGGAAACACAACGACATCAATTTCTAAGCCCAATAGTATCACCTGAACAAGGCCTAACGTCAAATTTGATATAGCTATCGACCAAATAAAACCCGTTCCCGCCGGTTGAACATGGGCCGAGCCAATTGAAAAGATAATTACTACAACTCCAAACTAAATTTTAAATATTTTCATTTTTGTACAAATTATAATATTTACATTCACAAGCAAAGTTGTATAATATAAATTATAATACTTACTAAAGAATACAACTTTACGACGTTGGGTACAGTAGAAATACGTTCCAAGTTAAAACCCATCAGTCATATTAGTGAAAAAAAGAAAATAAGTAGGCAATAAAGAAAAAGAAAACATTAGGTGCTGATAACACAGCCTCTTATTTTTTAATTAAAAAATTTTATTGATTTTTAAACTGGTATTTCAATAGCAATTACTTGCGTTTAATGTTCACATATTGCAACTTTAATTTTCAAAAAAAAATTTCTTTTGCGTTAAACACTCCTTTTAAAATTTCACAATTTTACTTCAAACCAGCCAAAATATCGCGTTTTTCTCTTTCAAATAAATTATTGGCGTTCTGCAACAAAAAGGTTTTTATGAAAAAATGAAAAATTATTTGTAAAAATATTTTACAATGTTTAGCCGGTTGCCGAAATCTATATTAAAAAGTCCGAATTGGCATCTCTATTATGCTCGTGAGGTTTTGAAAACTAATTCTAGCTTTTTTTTGTGTAATAGTAAGAGCGATGAACGGTGTTATGAGTATTCTAAACAGTGCAGAATATTTCTGTTTGGATTATGCGGCTCGTTCTTTTATTTTAACAGGAAAAGGTAACTTTTTATTTATTTTTTTTTAATTTTAGATTAATTTTGTTGTCTTCAGAACAAATGAATAAATTTTATTAGTTTGTTTTTGTGAGAGATATAACTTGGAAGCTAAATAATACTTATTCATAAAATATCGTATAAATTTTTGTTTTTAGATTGAAAGACTTTAATTTTTACTTCCAAGTTTTCGCACTAGCTTCCGATAGCAATAACAATACGGGAGACGCTACAAATTCCGAACAAGACGAAGACAGTCATGACGAATGTGATTTACTTGAAGGAGAAGGCAAAAAGAAGAAAAAGAAGACGAACCTGTTCAGGCAAAAACGAATCATAGAATACGAAAATCGTTTGAGAACTTATTCAGCACCTGACAAAATTTTTCGTTATTTTGCGACTATAAAATATATCGACCATGACAATCAACCTACAATATTTATGACTCCTGAGGATTTTGTGCGGTCTTTGACCCCCGGAGTTATGCAGCCAAGGAAGTATGGACTGGACATGTTTAAGGTTTATCATGCTGGCGAAAAAATCGTGTTTCCTGACGATGGCATGATATTCAACTGGTTGGAGAAAGGCGGTCTTATTTTTTATGAAGATTACTTGTTTCTAATGACTTTGTTGTCTAGTAAGTCCATTATATTTTTTATTTGTAGGTACCTCCTATAGTTTGATTACCCACATGTTAATAATAAAAAAAATTTTAGCATCTCCAAATGAGTTTCGACTAGCATTTTCCGTGTTCGACGTTAATGGTGACGGTTTGTTGGACAAATCGGAGTTTGAGCGCGTTCAAGACCTGGTTTTGAAACAATCGAGTGTTGGGCAAAAACATCGAGACAACTTTACACAGGGCATTTCTTTTAAAAAGTCTTCGTCGACTTGTTTGACTCGACACTTTTTCGGACAAAAACATGATCAAAAGCTGACCGTTGAAAGGTTCTTGCAATTTCAGGTAATGTTTTACGTTGTTAAACAATAGACTTTTATTCGTTTTTAGCAAGACTTACATCGTGACATCTTAAGAATAGAATTTGAGCGTCGGGATCCGGAATCAATGCCAGTAGGTATAATTTCGGAGCGAGCATTTGCCGATCTTTTGCTGATTCACGCTGGTTTACCTGAGAAACGCAAAACGAAGATGATGAACCGGGTAAGAAGAAAATATAAAAAGTCTGAAAATACTCGTGGAGTTTCGTTTGATGAATGTTTGGATTACTTTACGTTTATCTACAACATTGATCGAGTTGATGTTGCATTGCATTTTTACAAACTGGCCGGAAAACCGTTGGATGAAAGTATGTTGAAAAATGTGGCAAAGAAGATTGCTGGTGTTACTTTGTCTGACTATTTGGTTGATATTATTGTCACAATGTTTGATGAAAACGGGGTAAGAGATATCATTTCCGGCAGTTACGTACTTGTTACATTATCAAAGAGATATTGTTTTTTGCTATAATTGAAGATGCGAATCCTCTAAAGAATTAAAATTTCGCGTTATTTGCATTTTCATGTAATTACGTTTTTAGGATGGTTATTTGTCACAGAACGAGTTCGTAGCTGTCATGAAAAAGCGCATGAATCGAGGACTGCAGCAACCTAAGGACACGGGAGTGATTCGTCTTTTTGAAAGTTTAATGACTTGCTCTAAACAACGTCTGGCACATCTTTTCCTGCCTGATTAAAGATTATACGATGCTTGATTTTGGTATAATTATTAGTTGAATGCAAGGACCTCGGAAAGAATCTTTTGTGTGGAGGGGAGGGGGGTCTTACTTGTGGTTTTGGATCGACTCAGGGGTGGATTCTTCCAACTTCATTTTACTTTAGCGACATTTCTGTTCACGTAACAGGCGTTGCAGGAAGCGGCCTTAATTGTATAAATATTTTTTAACAATTCAATGTAAATGAACTTTATTTTTGCAATTGCTTGATGTCATTTTTAAGACCAGAGTTATTTAATTGCATTCATTGATTTTCTTGCCAAAAACATGCGGAGCCGCGCGCGACACCCCATAATTTTGTACAAGCACGCAAGCTTAGTAGTAGATTTGTTAAGATGGAGTAGAGATGACTAGGTTGTTCGGAAAAAAGTATGGGATTGTTAAAAACATTTTTTTTATTGACAAAGTCTTGTCGTGGTAAAGCTGGGCATGGAATGGAGTTTTCTAATTTTTAACGGCTATTATGATGATTATATCCGAGGCACACACGAACCTTAAGGGTTTCTGCATAAAGAACTTCCTTTCCTTACTCCGCCCACTTTTCAGAAGACTGCGTTTTTATGCTTTACGGTGTTATTACATTGATGTTGTTGTTGGGATCAGTGTAGGGTAGACATGAATAATGGTCGGGAGTACGGTTGAGAAGTTATGCCGTGATCTGTGGGGACTTGGACATTCCCGGTATTTCCAATTTTTTATAACTAGTTGCGGAATGGAGATTTTTGTTATTATAATACAGAATTCGTACACCCCTTATACTCTTATTGGGTTTTAGTTTTTGAATATGAAATCATACTGCTTTTAATATTACACTTTGTTTTCGACACCAACAATATTTTTAATAGCATTCTAAAGCGTAATATCGTACAGTAGTTTGGAGATGGGGTGCATAATAGTTTGCCTTTAAAACTGATATCTGGTAAAGTGTGTTTATGAAGCGAATATTAAAAGTCTTAATTAAAAATTTCAGATTTGTTGCTGGCATAGTGAATTTGACATTAATACAAACTAAAAGGTAATAATAGACTTGATTGTATAGTGATACGCCAACTATAGTTGTACCAACAGGCTATTTTGTACTGTTGCGTAGTATTTGTATATATTCCGATAATAGAAAAGGTTGACACCGCCGAAATGCGAAAACAGTTAACACGGTAAGTTGCATTCCTATTTAATTTGTAATTAAAGTGTTACCATTAAAATGAAGATTTTCATCATATGTATTTTTGTTCTTATAGATTTTTTTTCACCAAATATTATAGGTACGTTACGACTTTACTGTTGCTATTTCAAGTATGGTTTAGCTTTATGGGTTCATGTTATATTGCTTCACAACCTATATATTCATCTCACTTGGACCAAATGGGTGTAAGTATCTGACATTTTAAGTTTTTAAAATTTGGCCAATTAGTTTATATAATAATATTTCATTTATATACCAAAATACTAAGACAGTTTTCGGCCGTTTTCCGTAGTATCATCAGTTTGAAAGTCTTACTTATTAAGTCACTTCAGAAGAACGACAAACTTTGTACATGTTTTTGTAATTTTTATCCAAAAGTTTTAAAACAATAATTTTCACTACCCACTGTGTTTGAATAGTTATTACTGACTTATCACATAAATTTCTAAAATATTTGGGATGCAACATATAATAAAATAAAGTATTTATCTATTAAAAATGCTGCGTTGAAGACATTTAATATGCACCCTCCACCTAGCATGTTTATTTTTTACTTTGCCTACTAAGATTATTGGCGCGTGGGAGAGGCTTTTGGCTAATATTTAAAAAGTGGGTTAGTTATGCTTACATAATATGTAGATAAGTCTGTACAGGCTATGTAACCCATAAGAAAATAAGCATCACTACTTTAAACTGTACATATTAGAAGCAATAATATTTAATTAGTCTTATTTACGACCATATATAGTTATGGGGTCTTTGCCACTTTTGGAACTGTACTACTAGCCAGAACGTTGTAACATCATTTTATACTTCTTTTGAATTTTTATAAGGAAAAAGCTATTTAGGGGCCCCCAGGGGAAATCGAAAAATTTGTGAAATTAGCATCTTTGAGACTTTAGCCTACTTCGAAGGCTATAAAATAAGAAGCGATACGATTATATTTATAATTTAGTTAGAAAAAAAAACAAAAGTATTTTCTGTGTTATTTTACTTATCTTAACTTCAATATTTTTACATTCGGAAAGATAAATAGAATTAAAAACTCGCGAATTACTAACAATAAGAGAAGCTTTCACAAAATAACATATTTCTTAAAATTTAGGTTTATCCATCCGAATTCAGTGTTTCATTACAACAATTCGTATCAGATATGAAATCATGCGAAGAGGAATGCCGTCATCAAGCTTTATCGATATGCCAGAAATGCCTGGTTACCGCGCGACAACAAAAGTTTGGAACTCGCGATGACTCGGACGTGATATTAAACAACGTCTTGCAAACACAAGAGCACCTAAATGGCAACAACTTGAACGTGGCGCTACAAACGAAGCGGATCAACGAGCGTGATGTCAACGATTTGCTTCGGAATACTTGGGTTGGCTAACAATCTACGAAAAAGTATAGCATTTTAACAATTAAAATATATAATATTAAAATTAGTGTTGGGCATTTGATAATGAGGATAGGAATTTTTCAAATTACGTTTTTTGTTTGTATTCATTGATAATTTTTAACTTACATTCCCGTCCAACTTTCGCAATAGCTCTAACTGTAAAAGGTAAACTTGTACGAATTTTAATTTAACGGCAAGCCAACTTCTGTTTTCTCTAATATCATGGCCGAATACAGAAACTGAACAAAGGGCGCTGACAAAAGTATTCATTCAAGTTATAAAATTTTTTGTAATAATATTGTAATTATTGTTCAAGTCGGCACTTCAAACGCATATACATAAAAATAAAAGTACATGTTTTACGTTTTCCTGTTAATTTGCAAGCTTTACATTCCATTTTTTACAGTGAATATGTGAAAATGTATATTTTGTTATTTTTAATTTTACTAACCGACAACATTATAAATTGTACTAGAGAAAACTTTGTATATTTCGGACATTTATCATGTGTTAATGGAAACACAGAGTATGAAAGCATCAAAATAAAAGTTATGTTGCAAAGCCAATGGATAATATCAAGATGGTGGCCCTGTGAGTAAGTTAAAGCTCAATATATTGACGTATTTAAAGATTGTAAGGGTGAGGAAATGATCTATAACCAAAATTTAGAGACGGACCAGTTCTCATCTTCCGTTTTGTCCTGTATGTATAAACATAGATTTGTAACTTTGGTACACCTTTCGAATACCCTGGTGCATGTTAATGTAAATAATCAGTAAAAAATATTTTAACTATTAATTCAGAAAGAAAAGTGGACACCATTATGAAGGATACGTCACGCACAATGGGAAATTTTATGTTAATTGTTGGTTATCAAACTCATATCGACTTAGTTTCGGATACAACTATTTATATTTAGTTGTACAACACTGTTGTACATCTACATCTGTTTCTAAACTTAATCAACAATATGTGCTTTTGCCGTGGACAAACAGTACGTTTACATCGCCTATACTATTAAACTAATCGCAACTGTTCAATACTTATTACCGAATAACTTTTACTGTAACTACATTTTTTATTGGATAAACAACAATTGTAACTCCGTCTACAAGTAAAATGTAATCGACAACTTACCACTGATACTTTTAAAATATAATAAACAAATAACAGCCCTAAAAAATTTCTAAAATTTATTTACAAACTTACATAACTTTTCAAATATTGAAAACATTGAAGTTGAAAAAATAGTAATGTTTTAAACATTGAGAGGATTGAAAATCTCAATCCAGTAACCATCTGGATCCTGAATGAAAGCCAATCCTTTCATGCGTCCCTCGTCGGGCTTCTTGATGAAAGAAACTCCAAGTTTTTCAAATCGTTCACAAGCTTTGTAAACGTCCGGAACAACAATTCCGATATGGCCTAAAGTATTAAATAAAAATTGAAATAACATTCTCAAAACATACCATAACCTTTAGGATCTTTGTTTCCATTGTGGTGCGTGAAGTTTGGATCGTTTTCAGTGCCCCAATTGCTGAATTGTAAAATATAACTATGTAAAAACTATAATAACGCAAAATATCTTCTGAGCAGGGACGTCGTTTGGGGAAGGGGGAGGGGGGGGGGTACCCCTCTCCCAGAGCCGATCCGAAAAAAATTGCTAGGTACCAAAATTTGAAAAATCGGTCCACAGGTCCCTACCTGTGGACGAAAATTTTTTTTTCGACCTCCCCTCCCCCAGAGAAAATCCGTAGCGACGTCCGTGCTTCTGAGCTAACCAGGGAGAAATAAGCCTAATAGCAAAGTCGCCGCTTTTAAAAAATTGGTCCACAGGTAGCTAAAAACAGTAGCGCCGGCCCTGCCTAAAGGCAATTATAGACATTTTTCCCACTAATTTTCAGGCCTGACCCATGTCTAGGAAATTATAATATGTTCTTTAAATTAACAATAAAGTATCGTTTTCGTGAATAGTAAATATTAAATTAAAAAGCTTACTGAGTTAGTTCAATAGTAGAATGAGTAGTTAAAGCAAACTTTTTTGCTTCATCAACATCAGATGGAATATCTTTGGGATCTTTATAACCCAAGAAAAACAAGCTGAATTCAGCCCCTTCGAAGTCCATTTGTTTTAACAAACTATAAAACAAAGATTAGTATAAAAATTTCGATACAATTGTGGTATACACTATACCATACCTCATTCCAAGCACATTTGTATAAAACGGAACACTTTTACGCGGATCTTTAATACGATACATGGTCTGTTGGAAGTAAAATCCGTCAGTTTCAGAAGGTCTCTCCTGAATCAGTGAGCGAATCTAAAATATAAAATACTGTAATGTGAAACCAAAATTTGTTTTCAACTAACTTAGCATTATAAAACATACCTCGGTTGAAGGAACTGGTTTCTTTTCAGCCATTGTCAGATGAAAACTTGTAAACTACCTAAAAACTTTGTTACTGATCATTCCAACGAGTTGGACAAGAAAAACTGTAGTAATAAACGATTATCAGCGTAAAAAAACGTTGTGATATAAAATTAAAATAAGGTTAAAATAAAAATGGTAATAAACCAAAAAATTAAATATCCAACAATAATTTAAACCTAGTTTATTCGGGAACATAACCAGAAGTAGTCATCTTTCTATAAAACTTGATAAACGCCTTTGTCGTCTTCTGCACGAAGTTTGGATTCGCCTTCTGTTCTTCTAACTTCTTTTCATGTTCAATTGCCCGTTCTGTCGCTGCTTCCATGTCGAACTCACTTGCTTTCATCCATTTGTTATAAAGTCCTAAAGGTTTAAAATTATTGAAATGATTACATACTTTTATGCCATGAATCTTCCGTAGTGTTCCAGGATATCATGACGTAGTTTCCAAGAAACACACAAAACGTAATAGCCCCATAGTACCACTAAAATAAATATATAACTGAAAAATTTAATATAAAAATGGCGTTACTAATTCCTATTTTTAACTTAAAACTGTTAACCCAAACATTAAAAACCATCATTTTATTTAAAAAAACGTACCGGACTGAAATGCGGATGAGGATAGCCTGGAGGAAGCTTTTTAAACGATGTCTCAACCCATCTCTTTCCACCCTTCCCGTCAGGAGCAACTAACTTCAATATTAGAGATAACCTCATTGTTTATTGACTATTGCAAAAAAAATAAAATAATAAATAATAATATTAAGGTTTCACAACGAAATATTGAAAAAGAAACACAATGCCACACTAAAAAAATTATTTTTTTTTGCCACATCGACGAAACGATAATAGAATGCGCGAAATTTTACATTGTTTATAGTATAAAAAATATGAAAATTTTACGGTTTTTTGTAGTTTATATAGAAATAGGCTTTTATTTATTTTTTTTTAATTAATTTTTTCACGCGTTATGATGCTGTTAGGAATTTAAACGTATAATATTTCTGTTTTTATTTTGCTTGTTTAGAAATTTTAGCTCTTTAGTAAAGTTAATGTACACTGTTTAAAACATGCAAGTTATTTCACAAATGTAATTGTTAAAGTAATATGTCGCTTTCCTTATTTATTTTCGAATTGTTTCTTAATTTTCTATAATTTTTAGTAGGTTCTATCAAAACGGCTACTGGAATTGCTGAATTCTTTTAAAAGGACATCATTTTATTTTTGTTAACGTTATGAATATTGAGATCTCCAACACAAAACAAATTGGTATTGGATTGACTTTGTTTGGATGTACTTTTGTGGGACTGGGCATATTGTTATTCTTTGACAAAGCTCTTTTGGCAATTGGAAATGTAAGTCTTTACGTTTTTTTAATTGTGTTTAGGGGTTTGTACTTCTACTGTTTATAAATTTTGAATTAAAAGGTATATTGGGTAATTTTTTAGTGAAAGTAAATGTTTGAACAGAATGGTATTTTTGATTTTTTTAAACAATATGTTTTTTAATAATTTATAATCATATACAAAACTATGTGTTATACGCAGGAAACAAAGAAGATTACATTGATTTTTAGTTATTATTTATTGTCGGTCTGACACTTGTGATTGGTGTTCAACGGACGTTGTTATTCTTTTTCCAACGGCACAAAATCAAAGGAACGGCTTTGTTTTTTGGCGGTATCTTCATTGTATTACTGGGATGGGCCTTTGTCGGCATTTGCATTGAAGTTTGGGGATTTGTATTGTTGTTTGGGTAAGATTTCGTGCTAGCAAGTATTTGTATGATTTTTGAATTAAACGGTTTTATATTTTATATTCATATAACTTTAATATAGGATTTTTGTGAAATTTTGCAAATATTGCACGAAATAGCTACGTATATTTAAAAAAAATCATTTAAAATTTTTTACAGAGGATTTTTGCCCTCAGCAGTGAACTTCGCTCGAAATTTACCGTTTATTGGAACAGTGTTAATGATGCCAGGAATTCGACAGGTAACTTTTTTATGTTAAACTTTTTTCGGTTTTTTTGAGAGGTTTTTCTTGATAATAAAGTGTAATTACGGACACCGTTTGGATAAGGGGATACCCTTTTCCTCAGCCAAATTGAAGTAATTTCCTCAGGTACTATCTGTACATGGTAAAAATGTAAAAAAAAGTTTGATCTTTTTTGCTAATTGGTTAGTTTTTCGATAACCAACTTGCATTTTCATAATTTTCAGTGTCTTGATCGCATTGCACCGGAAGCCAAATACCCTGTTTAGATGTCAAAACCAATACAACCGAAAGTTAAATTCCATCCACGAAGTAATTAGGTTTTACGCGACTTATTTGTATATTTATATACTTTATTTAAACATTAATTTATAACAACTGATTATAAACTATTATTAAATATACGTTTTAGAAAATTAATGTAAAGAATCTGAACTTTTCGCAGAGAAACTAGTCGAATAGACCGAAAGCTGAGTCAGTCACGAAAATGTACAATCTTCTTTCTTCAAAAATGTTTACAAATGACTTTTTTTATTTCACTGAAAATAATACGGTTATATACGACTTAATATTATAGTGAAGGCGTAAAATTTAAAATCTATTTTTTGCAAAATTTTCTTACTTTTTTTAAAAATTATGCATGGTCGACGTTTCGTTCTGCGTTTTTTAACACTGATGTTGCTTTTATCAACAATGTTTCAGCTATTTATTTTGTTAAATTCTCATATTAATAATACACCTGTAAGTTCTTATTTCTTATATGAATTTTATTTGAATAAAACACATCTGTAAGGGAGCTGAACCTGATATTAAAACTGCTTTAGAAGAACTTTATATTTTTCTTTAATATTGTTCTACTTATTTGGTTGGTTATACAGTTTATGGATTTGTATAATGGGTTTGAGAAAGGTAATGCAAAAATATTGACGGTCAGTAAAATTCCTATCGTCATACTGGGTAAGTTATAATAATTAAACATTTATAAAGTTGATTTTATTACGACAACTTTTAGCGTTATTTAAAGAATGCTTTTGAACACATTTAGAAGTGATTATTAACGGATTTCTAGCTTTTATAGGTATACTTCTTATTATTTTTAGTAGTTATTTTGGGCTTTTTGTTTCTAATATTGGCAATAGCATTATTTTTGTTGTATCGGAACTATTTCAATTATATTGGCGTATCATTTGGTATTGCTGGTGCATCAATGGAAATTCTGGCAGTTAAGTTGAATTTTCTACAACAAAATTGTATGCCAAGTGGGAACAATTTTGAAAGAGATAATTTGTTACTGGGTGCGAAATTAACAAACACAGGTATGCTTAATTAAGAAATTATGATATTAAATGTTAGGATTAGAAAAGACGAGGGATTTCTTGATGGTGGCTAACTACGACGATTTTTACGACAAAGAAAGTAAGGCCACTTTCTGAATTACTATATTTTTAAAAAATTATACTATATAAAAAATTTGTATTATAACATACGGTGTGGCAATTAATAATATTGCATGTAAATTACTAACCCGAATTTGTCAACGGCATAAAAATTTAATGTTTAGAAGATTACTCAAAAATAGCAAACGCGAAGAATTCAGAGCTTGTTTTGGCGGCTAAAATAGTGGGTGAAGAGACATGGAGCTGGGTACAAAACGCAATGGAACAACTTCTGGGTGGGCCTGTCATTAACAATAAGCAAAAGCGAAGTGTTTCGTTTGTGTTGCCTGAAAGGGAAGTAAATGATGATTCAGAAGATAGTTTTGCCAGCTTAGAGAAAGCATTGGAACGATTGGATTCTTACGTTGCTAACATGAATGAGCAAATCGAGTTTGACTAGTAAAAAACCTTATGTTGCCTCTGTTTGTTTAATAAAATTTAAAAAACGAGTCGTTAACAAAAGGAAAAATTAACAACAAAAAATAAAGTTTTCTCTGTATTAGCTGCTCAAAACAATAAACAGCCTAAGTTTAATCTGACCGAATAACGCAAACAAGGTGCGATAACTTTATTTTTTAGCAGTATTAATGTAAACATTTGAAACAGTAATTTCTCACTTTTTTAAGTTTTTGAAAAAGTGTTTTTTTATACTTTAAAATTTTTTAGAAATTAAATTCTAAAATTTTTTTTATAAACCTTGGAGAATTATAACGACGCGAATCATAAGAATTCTTCGTTTTTTGAAACCCCTAAAAGCCTTTTCAATTTGAAGACGCATGATATGTTATGATACAAAGGAGCGACCACAATCATGAAAGGATGTTTTTAATGATTTTGCTCGTTTTTTAACAAATTTTTGGATAAAAATTTATTGATGGTTTTCGTATATAGTTAATGACATACATTGTGTGGCGTTATTTTACTCAAACTTAATATATAGTGTAACTCCTGTATAACAAACTTCTCTATAACGATATTTCCGTATATCGGATATCTTTTAAATCTCCGAGCAATTTATTACACACGAGTCGACGGTATTAACACTTGATTAAGATTATTCAAATATTTTTTTATTTTGAATGTAATCATTTTTAGCATTACCTGTTTTTGGAAGTTTTTTTTTAAATTTTTTAACAGTGGAACTTTTTTGCATGTAACAATTTTTTACCGAGATGCCTAACAATGAGACATTATCTGATGATAACGACGGTTATGATGACCAGTGGGTTGGATTTTTACTATTATTAGTAGCATGTGCATCATTTGGCGCTATGTTTGTTCCATTAAGGAAGCAGCGGTGCAAAGACGGTAATATTTAAAAATGTAGTACATATTTTAGAAATATATAAATTGAAACCATTTTCCTTCTCTAAAAATGTCTTTGTTTGATCATATACTAGTTTCTGACAATGATATAATTTTTAAAGGTTTTTTTGTGCAATGGGTACAATGTGCTGTAGTATTTTGTTGTGGATTTGTGATTTACATTGTTCGCGACTTTCCACCATTTGATCCGATAGCCATAATTGGAGGCTTTTTGTACGCTACCGGCAACATTTTTTCGGTTCCCATTATTGAAAGTGAACTCGGAGTTGGCCTGGGAATGTTGATATGGACTACAGTCCAAGTACGTTGAAGCTTACCCAAATTTTTGGTTTTTTATGTGCTTATTTGTAAGAATCTTTTAAAAAATGACGTAAATTGTAAAAAACCAAAATTTTACTAAATAATATTAGTTTTAATGACAAATCAAAAATATGACTATATTAATACGGCTCGTCTAAAACTTGCATCTTTTAGATTATCGTAGGATGGTGTATTGCTCGGTTTGGTATGTTTGGCACAAAAACGCAAGAAGTGAAAAGTCTGCCCTTGAATTACATAGGACTGGGTCTTACACTAATAAGTGGTATCTTATTTGTTATGGTAAAAGGTGAAAAAAAGGGACATACTAACAACGAAGAACGAAAAGAGACGACAAGTAGACGGTTTATCACAAAAGCTAAACTATTGTATGTAATTTTTATGCAACGTTGTTTCCTTAAAACTAAAAAAATGTGGGAGGGGGAAGAACAAGACTGATAAGTAAACAATGTCCATAATTTTAGTTATATTGGTCTTGCAGTCACATTGGGGCTGTTACATGGATGTATGTTGACGCCGATTGTGTACATCCAAGACAATAAAACGGGAGCATCTAATCACGGTAATAACGCGAAAACATAGTAGAGGTTATAAAAATAATCATAAAATAATAACAAGATTTTTTAGGATTTAAAATTAGTAAATTTAAAAAAAAATTTAAAATATACATAATTAAAACTTTATTTTAGCAATCGACTATTTGTTTGTTCATTTTTCGTCCACTTTTTTCTTTTCTACAGTATACTTTGTTGTATATTGTTTGGTTAGGCGTACTCGTGCTGTAGTCAATGTTCAGTTGGTTGGTCCGTCAGTTTTATATGGTCTATTGTGGACATTGGGAATGTCATTATTTATTATATCAAACAGAATTGTTTCTCAAACTGTTAGTTTTCCTATTGCGACTAGAGTAAGTAAAATTAATCTTTAATAGCCTTGTACTGAAAAAGAAGAAATAATTCGTTGTTTTTAGCTATATGTAATTTTATTCAAGAGTTTACTCATAAATGAAAAATAACGTAGTAAAAAAACATTTTTTAGCTTCCTGCTATAATTGGTGCTCTTATAGACGTCTTCATATTCAAAACTATTAAGGTAATAGTAAAAAATTATTTAAAGTTTTACGAAATTCTTTCAACATCTAAAGACAAATTTTTTTAATTAAAAATTAAAGATATTCAAAACGTTTCAATTCTAAAAAACTAATAAATATTTTTATTTTTAAAATTTAGGGAAAACAAAACTTCATTGTTTTATCGTGTGGTATATTTATTGGAGTTGTTGGTGTTGTTTTGGTTGGAATTTCAAATCAACTATAGTTTATAAAAATTGCAGTATCAAAGATTTTTAACAATATTAATTTCAAATTAAAACTGAATAAAAGTGTAATTACTGTTTATTTGGCATGTCTTAGAAAAAATTATTGTGAGGTTAATTGTTTTAAAGTCTGTACAGTATACCGTAATTTTTTGTGTTTACCTATTTTGACATAATTTGCCTTTCTGATAAATTTACTTTATTAAAAGCATAGAACAAATGTGTGAGAACATTCTTTGTTATTATAAATAATGAAACAAAATTTTATTTGGGAGCACTTCTTACTTTCTGCTAATACATTTAAAGTTTATAGATTATGTTGTCCTGTTCACTGTTTTTACAAGTTTAAGTTTTGGTCCCAAAAAAGAAAGTGGGTGAGTAAAACGTTTTTATGCTTAAGGGGCGTAGGATTTTGTGATTTTGTAAATAATTGTACATTGTTTTTTATTGTTACATACTATTGATAAGATGTCAATGAAATATAGCAAAAAATGAACATAACTGAGTAATAAAGGAAATACTTGGAATTTATAGTCAAGTTAGCTATATATAATTTCTTTATTGTTATTGAAAAAATGTCATCAATATACAATTTTTTAGCTATGTCATATCAAGAAGACCATGTTGCTTTTTTAGTGCAAAACGACGTTCCTGACGTGTTTCGATTGGAGTTACTAATTATTGAACTTGTTTTCTTGCTACTTTCTTACATTAGCCTTTTTATTTTCTTTATTGTAATACTAAAAGTTAAAACGTTTCATATAAACCTGCGAATCGTATGCATGGTTAATATATTAGTGTTTGTGTCCGAGATTACACTTCGCATCCTACTGATTATTGACACCATCTGTTATTACGGCGCTTTTGTGGTCAATGTTAAAGTGCAATTGTACGACATCAGAAATGTTTTAATGACTTGCTGCAGTTTAGCACATTTGGGTATTATAATGGAGAGAACTATTGCCACATTTTATGTTGGTTATGAAAATGCGATCTTTTTGTTTGGGTTGCTTATAGGTTTTGTACAGGTAAACTTCAGTTCATTTTTTTACATATGTATAAGAATTATAATAATATTAAAATTGATTTTAGTGCGCGCTTGGTTATTTATTGAATTGGTTAGAAAGCGAAAGTAAGGAATTTAATTTTTTAAATTAAGAATTTTGAAAAAATATAATAATAATAATAATTTCCGGTTTGTCATTTTTCAAGATTGTTGTTCCAATTGTGTGCATAATACTTCCAGTCATAGTAAGTGTTTTATTCGTAACATTTAATATACAGTAGACCCCTGCTGTTTAAATTTTTCTTACAACGAAAACTTATAAATAAAGGTTTGTTTTTAGGCATTGGTTGTTGTAAAACGAGTAAACAGACGTTTTTACCTTAATAAAACGACACGATCGCTGAGTGAAAAATACCAGATCACGGAGAATGTACGCACTTTAAAAACGTTTGAGTTTGTTATTTATATTTGTGCATACTGTAATATCGGGATATCAATTTTGATGTTGGTAATTATTTTATGGTTCCAAACTACAGAAACGGTGTATGTTTTTCGAGTACTTAGCAATTTCTACGATTTGGTTTGCGCTTCGTACACGTTTTTATTTGCGTGGGTGTTACTCCTAAACCATGCAGACACTCGGAAAATTACGTTGTAAGTTTAAACGTCCGTAATAATTTCTTAAAATTGAAAAAAGCAACATTTAGCACATTTTTATTTTCAACATGTGATTCTTAGAAAGCTATTGCGTTTCCAAAAGTATTCAACTCAAGTCGCGCAAGTTAATAACGCGCTAGGACAACAAATCGTCCACACATATAACGATACACAATATTTCGAAAAAATGCAACAAAGCTGGAACACCAACATTAAAAAATAGATTCTGAAACTCCATAGACGAAGCTATCAGGTAAGACAATCTAATAATTCCATACGACTGCCTGATCTATACTTTGCAATTTAAAACTACTGTATCCCTTATAATTGAAAAAATTGCGATTTCATAGACCGCCATTTATTTTTACGATAAACACAAGAACATATTTAAAGCTTCTTGGACTGTGGACCATCGCCTCCAGGTACACCAGCAGCGGGAGCTGATTGAACGTTGGACTTCTTTTCTTTGCTACCAAAGTGATCCTTGGCCAAAACGTACTTGGAGTCATCATCCGCATTGGGGCCTTCAGATGCAGCTCCCTTATCGCCTTCCTTCTTCTCCTTCTCCATCTCGTCAAATTCGTCCATCTGAGCCAACTTGCGCATTTGTTGAGCAAAGAATCCACCCATGCCTTTTTCGTCTTTCTTGCTAAAATTTTAAAAATAAAATTATGAATAAATAATACGAATAATTTACGGTAGATTTGTAGAACTTGACAACTGAGAACAAAAAAAATACACAAACATACTCTTCGGCTCCTTCATCCATGTCTTTCTCTTCGTCCTTCTTGTCTCCGGCTTTGGCTTCCTCCCCTGGCTTAGGTGGACCGGATGACTTCTTCTTTCCTCCCTTATGTTTACGGTGCTTTCTTCTGTGTCGGCGTTTACGTTCCTAGAAATTGGGGTAAAACAGAAAAGTTAAAAATCCCAATAAAACAATTCTACTTGTGTAGCTGTCATAACCTTCTAACAAAGACGCGTTAAGGCAGCAATTGCTTCAAAAGCGCCTACCTTGACGCAGAACAAGATAACCATAACAATGATCACAGCGACCAGCAAAAACACCAACGATGTGACGCAGACTAAAACGATAGCAACAATAAACTTTTGATCCCATCCAGCCAAATCTGTCTCACAAGGACCTAAGTCAAGTTCCGGATTGCCACATCTCGCAGCAAACTCGTACAGTTTGCCGAATGGAATACCGTAAACGCCGTGGGTCAAGTAATGAACGTTGGCGTCAATGTGAACAATTTGTGGATGATGTAACGCTTTAGGCTCAAAACCCTTTATATCTCTGCCAGTAACAGTAGTTTCTTTTTCCATGATGTACGCATCGAGGACGCTACGGTAGTACTAAAATGTTTAATTGAGACACCTCTGCTTGCGACAGTAAATCAAAAATAGCATTTTTTATATTTTTTAAAAACTCACACTGTGTATTTTACCGTTAACCACCATCTCACCGTCTTTGCGAACATGGTGCTTTGGAGCCACGAAAATGTATCGAAATCCGTTAATAGATGTAGCAGCAGCTCCTTTCTTTGGATCAAAACTTGTGATGATGTGACGGGGAGGATTGTCCAGAGCATACAAAGGCAGTTCTTCCAGCGAGTGCTGAAAAATAATGAAAACATATCGTATACTATAATTTGTAAAAAAAGTAAAAATTAAAAACAATAACTTTTTGAATAGTTTTTACTTACATCAAAAGCACCGCCGCTGCCTAACTGAGCAACCAAAAAATGACCCGCATTTTGATCGTACATCAAGTTTGCAATGTCGCTAATCCTGTTGATTGGAAGTGAGATCAGAGGCGAGTCAGACATCAATTTGAAAGGCTGTTTGCTCAAAACATCATAGAAGAAGCGTTTGATACTGTAAGATTTATCTTCCTAAAATAAACAGTTACAGAAGTAAAAAACAATAAAAAGAAACAGTAGCAACCAAAGTATACATATTCTTCGCTCAAAATATTTTTTCTTTTGTATCTTTAAAAAACTTACATGTTGCACCAAGCAAATAACAAACGCTTGCAGATCGTTGAAACACCATTCATACCGGAAAACCAGCCTGCTTTCAGCTCTTTCAGTCGGAGCAAATTTTTTACTCTCTACTGAAACACCTTCTCCAAGGAATTTCTTATTCTTCAACTCGTAAACCTAAATCATAACAACTGAACCTTTTCACAAAATTTCAAATGAAAAATAAACTTGGGTATAAAAAGTAGTAGGATAAAAAAAGAACCATCAGTCTTTAAACAAACGAAATAAAGCCTTACACTGTACCCAAAACCAACTTCATTAGGAATTCTGCTCAAAGCAAGAATATAATGACCGTACATTATTGGAACGATCCCATTCACCTCACGTGTACAACCCTGTGTAGCTGCCTTTTTTTCTAGATTATTGACTTTAATTCTGTCATCCAGCTGAACAGGATAAAAACGTTCTCCAAATACGAATCCACTGATAAACTTGCAAGACTCGTCCTGAAAAGAAGGTCTTTAATTTTTAACTTTTAAAATTTAAGTACATAAAAATCGACTTCCTTAAGCTCTTGCACAAACTCCAGTTTATAAACTTAAACGTACCATCATATAAAAAGCGACAGTTTGAAGCATTGGGTCTATGGAGTGCCTGACCTCTTCCGTAGGTTCCACAAATCCTGGGTCACTAAGCGTGTCATCAGTTGAATCAGAAGTACCAGAATCATCACCGCTATTGTCTGCAGCTGCAGTACCATTAGCACCACCTGCCGCAGCACCATCACCAGTTCCTTCTTCTCCTTGGCATATCGACAAAAGTAGTGCTAATAAAAATATTAGCAAAAAGACGAAGCGCATCTTCCAGACTGGTTCACAAGATTACTTTTTCTTGTTTCCAATTCTAAGCAAAATCGTCACAGTGCAAATGTGGAGACGTTTTTGGCAAGCACTATAACCAATTAAGAATTAAAAACTAGCAACTTAAAAATTTAATAGAACTCATGACTTAAGGAATCTTAAACCTAATTTAATTTTAAATTTTTAACTCGATTTTACAAATATCAGAAGTTCTATAGATATGTTGATCTAGTAAAAGACTGCACCATAAACTCTGGTTTTTATATTATAGAACATAAAAAACGCAAGCCTAAAAACCCAACAATTCTAAAAAAGTTAAGCCTAACAATAGCAGTGGCAAAAACATAACTTTAACAACAAAGATTTTTTAAAAAACCGACCGGTACTTACCAAATGCCTATTCTATCGATAATTCGCTTTGTGGAAACCAAAGTTAAATTGAGCAACCACTCGGCAGCAGCAAAATGCGTTCAGACTGACCAATTTGACAATTTCCACGACAACTTTCCTTTTTTCAAAAAACTTTACGGTTTCATTCTAATTCAAGAAATTTGCATAATTTTTGATCAATTTCGCACGAGTTCTTAATTTTTTATTCAAATTTTGCTGGCTTTCTCATTAGTTAATTAAAATTTGTGTTTTTAATTCAAAAATTTTTTAAAAGTTTTTTTTTAAATTCGATTGTAGCAAACCGGTGTGGTTTTGCGATTTGTCGACTGACTGGGTGGCTAACCAAACTGATTTCTTGGCATGGTAACCCGTTTTTAAAGCTTTTAAGGCTTTTTGTGTTGTTGAGAGAATAAAACGTTTTTTTAAATTAAGGTTTTTTATTCTTAAAAAGAAACGTCAAGAAGTTAGATGAAAAATATAGTCTCGATAAAAAAAATTTTAAGGCGTTTTCCCTAAATTTTAGGTTGAGAATGTCTCACTATTGGAAATTACTGACAGACCTAGCTACAACTCCAGCCGACCAATAAACTTGATTGACTCAAAGTCCAGAACTGACAAACCCGAAAGCATTCTTTCAATGGTTGAGCGTAGAAAAGCATCGGATGATGATGATTCTGCGAAGGTACCGTTTCTGGTTTTAAATATTTTATCTATAATATGTACTACAGAAATGATCTTTCATCACAATTTTTTATAAGGCTATCGGGATTTTACAGTAAAATAACTTTTTTTTAAAGACAAGAAATTTAGCGCCCTAAACCTCTGCCACGCACAAAAAAGTCGGTTCGTTCCGTCTACTACCCCATTCACGAGCCGGCCAGAAAAGATTACGGTTATGGAACGGGCTCGGAGAGATTGGAATTCCGTTCTAAAACGCATGGCAAGATAAGCAAGTCCAGCGAAATAGCTGAAGATCCGACGCAGGATTCGCTTGTAACCAACTACGACACCGAACAGTTCGAGAAGGTTTTTGGGATGCATCCTCGCAGTTTGGCAACTGGAGTTTTGGATGCAACACACGTAGGTTTACTCCAGAATTGTTTATTTCACTCTTTTTTGAATTTTGAAAGTATTCGAATTAGGAAAACATCAAAATCTTCATTTTAATTCCAGGGTGATTTGGCTGAAGAGTTTACTCAAAATGAAACAGAAAAACACAGTTGTGCATGCAACCGTAAAGTAACCGTAGCCTCAGAATCAAAGAAGAACAGATGGAATCGGTTTAAGAACAAATTAAAAAATGGTCTTTTATTGACGGCACAATACGTTGCGGTAATAACTTTTATTTTATAAAGTATTTGAATGATTTTCTCTTTTTTGATATAATATTTTTCAAATACTTTCTTATAGTTTGTTAATATGTTGGTTTAGTCATGTTGTGTCATTTGCTATGTTGTAACACCTCCGATCCCGTCCCTTGTTACTAAGAAAGTGGCATTTCATCCACCAAAAGGAGCAAACTACTACTTTGTAATCAAGAAAGGAGACGGTGAAGAGATTGTAACGTCGGCAAAGTTTGCGTACGGCCAAACGATTCTGCGCATAGAATTGGAACTTCCTCGTGACTTTATCAGTTCCCAGGGCATGGATAGCCCATTAGAAGATATTGAAGGCTTTGTGGTGAAAACGTCTTTAAACAACTACTTGGCTGGTGTGTTGGTACGATGCAAGGTGGAAGTCCGTCCGGAGGAAATGAAAAAGAAAGTGAGTTTTGTTTTAATTCCTTTGGTTTTATGATAACGTTCTTAATTTTTTAAAATATGCCTTACAGTACGCTGCACGTATTTTTAAGTTCAAAAGTGGCCCAGGAATTGTATGCGTAACAATTGCTAGTTAAAGATTTTTAGGTTATTATTTTTTGCCAGCCAAACAGTTCAAACCTACAGTGTTTTATGTGGCGGAATCACTTGTTCTCGGTGATTAATTTCCATGATATGGCACAGTTGACGGGCGCCGATGTATATGCATTTGACTACAGTGGATTCGGAATGAGTACCGGTACAACATTAGAAAAAAATGTGTATGCAGATGTGCGAGCAGTGTTTGAGCATGTCAGGAAAGAAAGAATTGACTGCGAAGTAAGCAAAAATATGTGCTGTCATTTTATAAAAATTAAAAAGCTTATAACATTTAAAATATATCATTCAACATATTTTGATAAATTTATTGCTTTAAAACAATACTACAGTACTCTTTAGATATACATAATGGGATTCAGTTTGGGTACGGCTGCCGCAATCGACTTAGCAGCAAGTCAGCCGGCTGGTTTAGCTGGCATCATTTTGATGGCACCGTTCACATCGGGCATGCGAGTTCTGTGCAACACTCCCCTCAGGGACCAAAGATACGTCACAGACGCATTCAGAAGGTGAGTAAATTTTTAACCTGCCCTTCGCCAATACCTTAAAGCTTTATTCTTATTCCTCAAGAAAAGTTCAGTAACTTTAAGTAAATTTTCAATTTTTTTAGTTACGAGAAAGCTCCGTCCGTCGACGTCCCAGTTCTCATAAATCACGGTGTACGGGACGATGTCATTCCAATGAGTCACGGAATGTCGTTGCTGAGGAAGTTCCACAAACCCGTCCCGATTGAGTTGATCGAAGGTCGTGATCACATTACCATAATGCGACCATTAACAGCGCCCGTATTTTTGAGAATCACTAATTTTATGATGTTCGAGGCACCGGAGTACGCTGCAAAGTTTACCAAGGCACAGGTTGTAAAAGATATGGAGGAAAAAGCGGAAAAAATCAAAGCGGACGCTCAAAAGTCATCACTACGCCAAATTCGCAAGTCTCGTCGTCCGAAAAACTAACCAATACTATGGGGAGAATGTACTGACTACAACTAACACATGTTACAGATTAAATTTTGAACTGACTTCGTTTTTTGCTGATTTTACTGATTTCAGTCAAAATAAAATAAAAACTGAAGCAAAATACAAGTTTAAATATGTAATGAATTCTTGTTACATTAAAATCTGTAAAGCTTTGGCGGGAACACCAAAATGCACTTTTCAAACCGCAGAAAAGTGCACGCTTTTTCTTTTCGATTTTGCACTTTACGTAATAAAAGCGTCCACTAGCTGGATTTTTTTGAGTTGGCATCGCGCACTATTTATTAACACTTTTTAATAGTGATTTTTCATCGACTTGAATGTATAATTTTATTTTCTTATTTATTACATTACTAAAATAAGTGAAAAATTTTTTAAACCCAGTATTTTAAATTTTGTACTTTTTTTTCATTTTTTATAAAAATACCGCATAAATCTGAAAAATCAAAAATTTTAAACTCTCTGTACTTTTTCGTAAACATTACTACTTATGTTGTTTATTGATTTTCATTTTAAAACATTGTAAATAATTTTAATAATAATAGCCAATTTATAGACATTACCAAGCTATGTCCACTATTATTACCGCGGCTACAACATCAACACCTATTGGACGTCAGCTTTGCCCGTCATATCAAGATGAAAGACAGAGCCAGGATTGCTTGCCTAAATTAAAACCAGAGGATGAATGCATATATCTAGCACGATTGCTGCTTATTTCCGTACTTATTATTGGATTAAGTGTCTTGTACAAGTGCGTACTCCTTGGGTTTGCACTGTTAACGGGAATAATTGCTTACCTGTTTTACAAAACTCCGTTTGTAATGTTAACGGTTTGTGTGTACATAGCATTTGGGTCGTACTGTTACTACACAACTTATTGTGCTTTACTACTAAAAAGCTTTAAAATGTAACTTTGTAATAATAAACAGTCTTACAGTCGTTTTGTTAATAAATATTAATATTATACGGTTAATTTTTTCTGTTATATAAAGACAACCATGAAACATTATTCAAAAATTAAAATACGTAAAAATATACTATTTTATATATCATTTAATAAATCTTGTATTACTCACGTTTCCCAACATGTTTCGAACAGGTGATAAAACGAAAATTATGTCTAATGAATTGAAGACAAGACTACAATATTTGTCACCAGGTTAACGCGTTATTAAAGTTCTTTCCTTGATAAAAGTTATGTTTTGTGTAAATTGTTCCTATATATTTGACAGTTTTGTCTAGGTCGTGATAAAAAACTAAATTCAAAAGAAATAATAAGTTGTTTTCGTTTTTAAAATAAAACTGTTCTAAGATTGTCTTTCGGTTTGCCACTGTAACGAAAACAAGACTTATTTAAATATTTTAATACTAATTCTATTTTATAATACTGATATTTAAACTAAAACACTAAACTAGATTAAATTCTAAAGAATATATCATTTTTTAGTAAAAATGGCTACGCTTCTTAAAAACGCTACAGAATTCGTTGTAGTGTGTTTCTTCTTTACAAATTTTTTGTTTGTCCCATTATTTTACCCAGTAATATTTGGTTACGTAATCTTCTACACAACTTATTGGTGGTTGGCTTTTTTGTATATAGGTTGGGTCTTTTATCGTGCTAGAAACGCCGAGATTCCTAGCCGAGAACCATGGGAATGGTTTCGAAACCTGTCGTTTTGGAACAATTATGGAGATTACTTCCCAGTTAACCTGATTAAGACTGCCAATCTGCCACCAAACCAGAACTACTTTTTTGCGTAAGTTTTTACACAGGTTTCAGTTGCTTTAAAATTAAAACGTTTTCGTAGGTTTTTTAAACAAACGATTTCAGCTGGCATCCGCATGGAATCCTAGGATTTTCAGCTGGCGTAACACTATGTGGCAGAGGTGCAGAGTTTACGCGTCTTTTCCCTGGGATCACCAGACATATTGCAACACTAGATGTTCACTTTAAACTTCCTGGGCGCCGATTTTTAATGCAAATTTTTGGCTTCATACCGGTTTCTTTCAAATCTCTTACGTACAAGTTGTCGCGTAAAGATGGTGGAAATGCTGTGATAGTGGCTGTTGGTGGAGCTGAAGAAGCATTAGAAGCCCACGAAGACGTTTACAAGCTTTGTTTGAACCGAAGAAAAGGCTTTATAAAAGTTTGCTTAGCCACCGGAGCACATTTAGTACCTGTTTATACGTTCGGAGAAACAAGTACCTATAAACAAATCAGCAACCCAGTGGGATCGAAAATACGGAATATGCAAGAGATGGTTAAAAAGTACACCGGGGTGAGCCCACCATTGATTGTGGGAAGCTATCTACTTTCATACCTGCCTACATTGATGCCAATTCGGACTGAACTTAATGCGGTTTGTAAGTCTTTTTGTCTGTTTAAAAATACAAAACGTAATTTTTGCTAACGTACATTCTAAGTTTTTATTTTAAACAACAAATTATTATTGCATTACTTAACAACAATTTGTCTTAGTTGGCGCACCGATTCCAATAGACAAAGTAGATAACCCTAGCCGGGAATTGATCGATGAGCTCCACGAGTTGTACAAGGCAAAGTTGGTGGAGCTGTTTGAGAGTCATAAAACCAAGTACGGTGTTCCAGAAAATGCGCATCTTGAGCTGTACTAAGTTTTTTATGTTGTTTGTATAAACAGAACACGTTACACTAACAATTAGCATAATATCGTCACTTTTTAAAATTTATTTAATACAATTAATAAAAAATTAGGATTGCAGCCTGAGATTCACTAGAAAAGTTGTAGGTTTGGTTTCTTGCAAACGTAAAATAATTAAAATAGACCCGCATAATGAGACCAAATACAATTTTGAATAGAAATAACAATACTAATTGGCAATTGATTGTATTCATGGGTATAGTATCTTCCAAAGCAAAATGAAGCCGTACTTTAAAGTCACTTGGTTACAGCATGTAATTTATAAAGAGACAACCAAAACGCACATTAAAAAGTACCTTTTATAACTACATTATTAAAAAAACAATTGCACCAGACGTGATACAACCATGACCTAAGCGCGTCTGATTTTAAAGCGTATAATCGCTCAATTACATCAAAGAGCACGCAGAAAAAATTATATTGTACAACTAAGAATAAAAATACATTAGACACCAGCTTGAAAAGAATAATTAATTTAAAATAAATTTTTTACCCTATTATAGGATTAAATTAAATGTTATATCCTAATGAAGGCTTACGATGTTACGCGTAAGATTCCGTGTCGATTTGAAGATTGATTACCACGGCGCTCCAACGGCGGCGGTACTGGCAAGCGATTAGAGAAGTCACGCGGAGTTAACTAAAAAAACGCCGTCAATATTAAAAAACGCACAAAACTAATTTAAAATATACAACATTCCTATAATAAACTAAAATTGCTAAAAATTAGATCTTGTAACAAAAAGTTTTTAAGTAAGTCAACTTTACCTCGCAAGCTGGTCCAATAATGGATAACAACACCGGCAGTAACATTAAGCCGTTAATCAACCCGAGTATGATTAAGGCGTTCATTACTAAAAAGAAGTACTTGACCACAAATTCAAATTCGCTGAAACCCAACATCAGAATGCCAAGCAACGTGGACAACGCGCCGTGAATGACTGGCACGAAGACTTGATCAATCGCCGAAGCCATTCGTTCATTTCGAGTTCCCAACGACGTCAAGAAGGCAAACACCACATGTGCTGTAAACTCAACACCAATTCCAACAGCAGTAATCAAACTGACCGCCGACACCGGATTCAATTTGATATTGTAGAAACCCAGGAAGCCTGCCAACTCCACTGTCATCAAAAAGAGAATGATTACAATGCAGAACGCGGCCCATGGGTTGAACAACAGAATCGACACAACAATAAAAACGGCAATAGAGATGATGGTGATGGCCTTAACGAGATTGTAGTTCAGGTCCAGATATTGTTCCCAAAAAGTAAACGCAATTCCGGACGGATGATTCGGTAGACCAGAGTGCGTGTAATTGTCCGAGATCGCGCGGATCTCCTAAAAAAAGGTTAGTGTAATTCGTAAAATCGAATTCTACAAATTGTCAAAGCGTTTTTAATTACGTTAAATTTTTTAACTTTTCTTTAACCTGAAATTAACTTACTTTAATCATATTAACAATCGTCGTCGTATCCTTCAAACCGTTTAGGTAGAACGGTATTTGCGAGTACACCGGCTTTGGTGCTGGTGGCACAAAGTATCGGTATCTGTTGTTGTTTGGGCCTTGCTTCAGCTTCCTCAACGGCGGATAGAAGCTGGCCTGACTCACGGTGTAGAACATTTGTTCGTATTCGTGCCAACCGTACAAATAATTGTAGAACCCTTCAGTATTAATGGTGTCTGAATCATCAATCAGCCTAATTCTATCCACGCGACTACAGTCGTAATGTTTTCCGTAGCTGCATGCCAATGAGTAAGCAATTTTAAGTTCGGGCGATTTTGTAGCATTATTTTTGTCGAAGTCCTTCAAAATTCCTTGTTCTCGGGCTTCGTCAAGCTTTTGCTGAAGCCCACGCAGCCATTGTCTGAACATGCCCAACCAGTAGCGTTCAGACGGTTCTCCGTTCTCCAGTTTGACGACATATTGTGACTTAGCAATCTCGTTTCGTAGTTGCTCGATTTGTGTTTGTTTCTCCGCAAAGTCAACGTTCTCACCGCGTATGATCACATTCATAGGATAAAACGAAAAATACGAATCCCTTGCCTTTAAAAACGCTGCCGGAGCCGTGTTTTCTGGTAAAACATCGCCGAGTTCCAGTCCCATTGTGGAACGGTTGATTCCAGCAACACCAGCAACAAACAAACTAGCACATAAGACAATTATTCCAAACTGAAAATATTACAAATAAACAAAAATGACAATTACAAATGTAGTTAAAATAATCCTACATTTTTTAAAAATTAAACGTAACATAAAAGGTTTCAAAAATGAAAAAAACATACTTTGACGCAGTTGTTGGACAAAAACGGTACGTAATAATTCCTCAAAAAAGCCCTCAAACTCCAAGGCTGAATTTCCTCGGCTTCTTCGTCGTCCCCTTTACCGACTGATATTAATCCATGATAATGTGACTTTGTCGTGAGTACAGTAGGTACCCCTCCAGTCAAATCATACCCATACGGCGGATCGTCGTACATGTCCTGTTCGGCCGAATTTGAAGACTGCAGACAACAACACACATCTCTTCGGCCGGATTTACGTCTTCGTATGTCGATCGCAATGATTGCTGGATACACTGTCAAGATAGCAATCAAATTGAAGAACAAAAGGACGGAAGACTAAAAAATTATGTTTTAAATCCTGAATTCGATATATTTTTTCACGTAACAAGCTTTAAACTAAAAAACTTAATTTTCACAAAGACTTACTTGTGTACAAAACGATCTTAAAGCTGGAATAGGTAGAATAGTGCCAGTCAAAAAACTCAAAATATTGTTTGACGACGTCATAAGAATTGACATTCCGGTTTCTTTCAACAATAATCCCAACTCATTCTTTTTCACGTCGGCAAAAACTCTGTGGTAGTTGTGAAGTAGCATGAACATATTGTCGACACCAATGCCGAGAGTCAAAAATGGCACAATTTGTGTTGTTGCGGCGTTAAATTCGACACCAAACCAAGTGACAAGACCCAATCCGGCAACAGAAGCAAAAGTCACAGTCAAAACACCGGCAAATGCCAATCCAACGGCAGATTCAGCGGCCAACAAACAACATGATTCACGGCGAATTTGAGAATAAAGGGCGTACAGCAGCTAAAAATATTATGTACGGTTTAAAAAATCAAACACCTTTTGTTCAAAGATTTACCATATTTAAAATGGTTTTTTAAAATTTTAAGCGAAACCAATAATTGATAATAAGAACCCTTAAAAAATCCTTACCATTAAAACATAACCAATAACAATAACGCCGTAATTGAAATCACAAAACTCCGCCAACATGTCACTAATGCTCGTAGCCGCCAGTGGATGGACAACTCGATGCTCCACCTTGTCGGTCGAACCGTTTACAACTTTAAAGTTCAGCGGATGATTGTAAATCGTATCGGTAAACGCGCGCTGCCATGCTGTAACCACATCCTTGGCCAACAACGGACTCCATTCGCCAGTAGCATTTCTTAATAGGCCTGAAGATTCGTTCAAATATCGGAGCTGATCAATCTTGTCTTTTCCACTAAATCTTTTGTACACTTCTGTCGCTGACGCAACCAAAATGACGGATTGAAGAGCTTCAGCTTGAAAATTGTTGCCATCGTCCTCGGCTTTCCCTAGAATCATGTCGACGGGCCAGTTCATCACACCTCGAGCAAATCCGTTGCATCCTTTGCGCATTATTTGGCCGTAATCGGGTTCTTTCGGAAGGTTCTAAAAACATAAGGCCTCAATTACCACTCATAAATTTGTAAAACTGTAGCAATAAAACAAATTAGAATACACTTTTTAATGTATTCAACTGTAACTTATGAAAACTAAAATAGTGTAGCTCTTAAAAAATCTGCTTCCAATGGTCATACCTGTTCTCCCAATATTCTTTTAGCTCTAGATTGATCAGCTTGAATCCATTTTAGAAAAGCAGCTCGATTTTCATTGCAAAGTTCAGCGTCCGTCATATTTTCAGTCTTCTTTTTCTCAGGTTGAGCCATAAAAATTCCGAAAATATCCCCAATTCCTAAACTACTGTCACTCGCAGATACTGTGGCTTCCTTAAAAGGCTCCAACTCTTGTTCCAAGGTTTTGTTTTGATCTTTAAGATAAAGCTGAAGCATTTTCATAGGCGTACACGTTTTGTAAAAGTTTGGGGCTTTTTCAGGACAAGCTTGATCCAAGGGATCAATACAAGGCCGGTCGAGGTATCCTTTGCCAATTCCAGTCTAAAAAGAGCTTTATTAAACTTCAATAAAATTTTTTAACTTTTTCCTAAATAATACATAATTTTTCGGAAACCTTAAAAACCACTACTGTTTTAAAGCAAATCTTACTCTCGAAAAAAAATTAGCCATCGTGCCCAAGTCAAATGTATCCTTAAGTCTTCTCACGACCAATTCTGGATTGATATTACCCCATGTCGTCTCGTCTTGCAGCTCAGGTACCGCTAACTTTAGCAATGGAGCCAAAAACATATCGTCCATTCGAATCGGTGGATTTGGACCGATTGGCTGTGATCCTTCGAAAAAACAGTCGATCGGAGTAATCCAAATACAAGGAATCAAACGTTCCAGCACTGGCTTCATTTGATAGGCTACCGAGTCTTCATTAATATCCAAAGCACCAGGTTTAAAACAAATGTCCGACAAAGTCCAATTCCTAAATCCAAAATCTTACAAATGGCTAATAATGTAACTTAAAAAAAATAAAAAAAGACTAAAATTTAAAAAAAATCATCTGAAAATAATAAAAAATACTTACACTCCAAGATGAGTGACCTGTAAGTTAACAATTGTGTTCAAAAGGTCAACGTGTGTTTTAAGTCCGTTTTTGGTCAATAAATTCTGCCCTGGTTGATCGACGGTCTGAATCAAGACTTGATAGTCACTGGTTTTGATCTCATCTTCTTTTATTTGTTTTAGCAACGGATCATTCGACTCGCGCACAAAATGTTGTTCATCATATTCAGTCCAGCTCAAGTTAGCGTATCGATCCTGAACCCTTTCAAAGAATTTGAGTTCTTCATTCAGTCTGCCGCCTTCTAAAAAACCCATGAATCTTATAGTTTGTTCACAACCTTGAAAAAAAACTAATATAGTAATCGCTTACCCGACACCCACAGCTTAACAATGTCCGTTTCAATTCGTACGTACTGTAATCCAATCGAGCATATTGAAAATACCGAAAAGACAGTGAGGATGACCAACAAAGAATGTGATTGAGCAAATTCACCCAAATTGAACAACAACTTTTGTACAAGACATCTGGCATACAAGGCAATCACATTACCCTTTGCATTTCCCTGAAAAAAAACTTTAAAAATTCACTTCAAAAACGTAACAAAAGATAAAATCCATATTTTATATGTAATAGTTAATCAAAAACCTGAATCTTACCCTGAGAATTTGTTGTAAGCTAAGATCTGCGTCACAAAAGGTAGGCCGTTGCGAAAAGTCTCGTTTCCATTTTGTAGAAAAGTCGGCCGAACTTGTGCCACCAACTAGTTTTTCTTCAATCCACTGAAATTTGATATATTACAGTAGTTTTTGTTTAGTAGCTATAAATCTATAAAAACTGGCAGTAAAATGTTCTTAAAATATTCCTAACTCTGGCTGAATGCATTCTCATCAAGATCTAAAAACCAACAAAAAACATAGAAAACTCACACTGTTAGCCACAAACGGTTCCGAATGCACGGTTTCAAACTCCTCTTCAAAGTCATCATCATTAGGAGCTCCAAAATTTAGCAAATGTTGTCCAGATCGATTGTTAGCCCTTGAATGGCCACGTTTCTTTCCTGGAGGCTCGATCAATGTGAGCATTTTGGATTTATTCAAAGTTTTCTGAATTTTTAACGTCTCTCACATCCACATTTCCAAAATAAAAAATATAATGTGTGTGGTACTTAGTTCAATCTTATTCGTTCTAAAATTGTAAATATTAAAAGATAAAGAAAAACAGCGCAATAATAAAAAAACACGATATTTCAATAAAAAAGGTAATAAAATACAACAAAAACATTAGAATTATGCAATTGGAGTGTATTACTTCTATTTTCGCTTCATTTGAAATCAGAAAAAAAATAAAAATTCGAACCTCTCAGAAATTTACAGGTTGCCATGGTAAAAAATTGTGAAAACTGCCAAATAAATGCAGATCTCTTCCGAAAAAATGTTCAAACATTTTGCAGTTTTTCGGAAATTTTGGAGTTTTAAACGCGGAATAAACGTCGAAAAACAAATTCTCTATCAAAAAATAAATGTTGCTCTCATAATTTAGTATTAAATAACACTCGTTAACCATATTTTGTCGAAAATTGTTATTGAAACAACTCTGTTACCTAAATTTAAAAATTTGTTAGCGAAAAACACAAAATAATTACAGTTTATCACTTCAACTGTGAGAAAGTCTGAGATAAAAGCAAAAAAGGAACCAACATATTTTTCTAAATTTATCTGAAAAATTGATAAAAAACAATAAAACCGCAGAATTCTAATTCGAATAAAAATCGCGCGCGCAAAATAACAAATCTTGGAATTTCGAACTGGTTTGCCACAATCAAGGCTATTTATATAAGTCATTGTGTGAATTACAAAAGCTTCATAACTCTTAAAAAGTATAAAAAAGTATTTAAGTCAGACGGACTTCAATTTACGTCATTTTAAATCTTTGCAGAATTTTCTACGAGTAAGATATAACACAAAATTATGTGTAATAGGTGCGTAATTTAACAAAAAATATTTCGAAAAGTCGTTTTCAAGGCACATTCGGCCATAAATTTTCGGCCTTGGTAATAAAAACGGCTATTGAGTGAATTCGTTTCGTCAAAAAGACTGGAATATTCAAGTTTAAGAATTAGAAACAGCGCGCCATGGTCTGTAGGGAAAAGCTGTCATAAAGCGAAATGTCATTTAAAACAGTTGGAAAAGAACGGTATTTTACGAAAACTTACATTAATTTTATTTCATAAGTTTTAAGGTGTTTTAAAAGTATACAAGAACAAATTTTATACTTCTATTTTACACGCTTAAAATTTTTTACAGGACAAAAAGAATTTAAAAAATAACCAGTAATGTCCAAAAATTTAAAATATCTTTAGAATTGATGCGAAAAATGATTCATTTGGCGATCTAAATCGGCCACATCTATTGTTTTCTAGTCTGCAGAAGTTGCCAGACTTTTGATAGAAAAAAAATTTCAATAAAATTTTGTCTTTTCAGATTCGTGTTTTTTAAAATGTAGTTTTTTAAACATTTTTTTTGTAATCTTAAACCCCTTGTATAAATAAGACAAAAAGTCAAACATATTATCACGAGAGTATTTCATGACTCAAATAATAATACAAAAATAATAAAAAATAGTGTCGTATAATCCAAAACATATACAAAGTATAGCAGCTTTGCGTATTTCGAAATACAATTTTAGAACGCGGTATCATCTATTACTAAGGTAGGGGTCCTAATGACAAGCTTTTAAACATCTTTTTTAATCATCATGTATATTGATCTATTAATGACTCATTAAATTAAAACACTCGTTGTTTCTACATTACTATTCATTTTATTATTTAAACCGGCAGTCATAGCAAAAGAATTTTATTGTACATGTCATTGAAGACAATGACTAAACACGAGAAGGAGCGGGGGGTGAGGGGGAATTATATCAACGTTTAAAATTTCATTACAGTAAAAAACAAAACGTTTTTGCCCACACAGTTCTCAAAAATTTCCTTTGTTACATCTCGTTTCCATAAAACAACTTAAGCAATGTTTAGGTTTAATTCTGTTTAAGCTCAACTTAAACCTGATCTCTGGTCTAGACCGTTGAGCATGTTATTCAACTCTTTTCCAGCTGTTTAAAAAAACAACCAAATCATTAACATAATCTTCCCGAAGACGTATTCCCCAAAGAAATATCCAATAATGCCTGCACCTCGAATAAAAAACAATTTAAAAATGTTGAAGTGCAACAACAGCCGGTATTACCATTATTATTCGAAGTTTTAGTACAAACACATAAGAATGTATTAAAGTTTTCGATTAAGATCCATTCGGTATAGAAATTCATAGTAGTTGAGTATCAAAAAAGAATTCAAAAAACAGTTGAATCTCTAAAAAACTTTTCCAATATTCTTTTTGTCCGAGAAGTCTTGCCGAAGAAAGCGCGCAAGCTTTTTTTGAGGAACCGCTCGAGGAAGAACGGATGACGGAAGGATTGGAGAGAGGATTGTAGAAAGACGAGTAAGAGCGAACGAGTTGTAGCAAGACAGAATGAAGGACGAGAGAATTTCAGGAAGATAGAATGAAAGCAGAGAGAAATGTCGGAAGATAGTAGTAACAGGATGGCTCGAGAAAAATAGTAGCAATAGTGCGAGCGTGCGAGTGCTGTAGCATGCTGACATTACCAAAAACAAGGACTAATAAAGCATCGCCAAAGAATTATAGAACAATAATAGTAAGAAATATAAAGAGAGTTATGGAAAACGAGACGAACGATATACAAGTATAACACAAAACAATCCACATAGATTATTTTCTCTTTAAAAAGACCGGGTTTAAAAAATAAAAGGAAAAAAAGAGTAGCGAGAGTTTTAGAGAGCAGTATTCTGAGATATGAGGCTCATAGTAAACAGCCTATTATGAAGTAATGTTAAATAGGCAAAAACACAAAGAAACAGAGAATTAGAGATTATATTATACATTCAGTAATAAGAATAATATCAAATGGTATAATGTCCCGTGTAAACAGTAAACTACTAAGAAAAACGGAGAGCATAGGTGAAAACAGCAAAAACAAATTATAGAAAAGAGAGGGTAAGCACGTATGACTAAACTAAGAAACGTCAATAGCTCATAGTTTGAAGGCAATGTTAAATATACAGTATCATCGAAGGAGGAGTTAAGTAAAGAAAGGATGAATATCAAAGTTTAACAAAAAAGCACTTTTTTCTACCTCTCTTTCCCGTTCCCCCTCGGTACCTCCTTCTATATCTATTCTTACCAAAAAATTGTCAAAAAGAACTGTGTTAAAAACCGTTTAACAGCATGAAAACAATAAAAAGGCGCAAACTTTAAGGCTACTCAACTCCCCGCCATATTATTTAAAATAACTGAGAAATACACATAAAAAATAAGTACAAGCTCTTTACAGTTCGGAAAAAATCAACTTTAAATTCGCTTTGATGTGAAAAAATTCACCAAAAAAGCGTGTTTTTCATAAAACGCATTTAAAAATATTTTCATAAAGTGTGTTAGGACCAAAGAAGCACAGAATATAAGAATAGTGTCTGCTTACCATAAAAAATATTGTTAAAGCTAAACAAAATAGATAACTGAAAAGTGTTCGACTATGACCGAAAAGGTTTCTCAATAAAAACACAGCATGAAGCCCTCAGGGTATTGTGAAACGTATGATGGAAAGTAACGTTCGTTGCCTTATAAGTATAACGTTTTAATTTAAAATTAGAACACAAAAAAGCCTGACGAAGGGGGGGGGGGTTTAAAAAACTTTTCTACCCCTCCCTTTAAAACAATCTGAAAGAGCGACACTGCCTCCCTGGTATGCGTTTAAGTACACTTGCCCTCAATTAAGCTGCCGCAATTTCCGCTGAGTAATCTGACAAAAAGAACTTGCCCACATTTTATTTGATCGAAAACACAGCTGACTCAAATAAACAAACTTGCCGACTCACCGCAATACAATCAAGTTAAGGATGTCGAAAACGTTCCAAATACGTAACGATAAAAAGTTTATGTGAAGATGCATAAATCTTTTGTTAAACATACAGAAATTACTATTCACTTTATTAGAAAGTGAACCCAGGTATAAAAAAACTAATATAAACCCAAAACCTAAACAAAACAAAAAATAATATATTCCGGAATAAATGGAAGACAACAGAACAGATGAGTTCGGCGCCGTCTTCTAAAGTCTTAGAAAACGTTCCCTTTAAGTGAGCCGACATTTTCGACGTTCTTGCTAAAAATAAAACGAATTTCTTGTACACCACTTCTTACTCTAATACAACTTTATTACTTTACTATAAAAGTTTTGCACGACTTTTCTGTCTGAACGCCATCCCCCGCCATAAATTTTTGTAACAACCCCAGTATACATGCTGATTGCCCCTTTCCCAGCATGACTTCAGACATATAACAAAATATTTTAAAATAGGCTCCCTGCAATACTTAACGGAAAAAACAAAATATGAAAATCAAAACTTGGTTTTTATTCCCCGAACGGCGGTTTTAATATTAAAGGGACCAAAAGTAAATTGCCGGAAACAAACAGAGTTAGAATCAAGATAAAAGAATAGTGCGGCACGGTGTCAGTCAACTTTTAAATTCCAAAAAAAGTTGGTTAGAATGATTATTTCTAAAGAATACGTTAGTTCGGAACAGAAATTTTCCTTTTAACTAAAACCAAAACATTCCACTAAGGTCAGAATATTAATTTTTAATTCGCATCCAACTTCGGAAAAAATCCGCAGCAACGTTCCCGAGTATCAGTTAAACTCAACGCACAAATATATAGTACCACATATCTATAAGAAAGGCTTCGTGTTGCGACAAGACATGCCACGTATACAAACTATACGAACATTGAAAACCCTTTTCCCTCCGGGCTAGAGCCCGCTTTTAAGTACAACCGTCTTTCGAGAAAAACGTGGATTGAGTGAAAAACGTGATGGCGATCCACTTCACCCTTCCACCTCTTCTCATAAAGTCAATCAATCCCACCGGATAGTATTTCAATTTTGCGCATTTGCGTCTGGCTTCAATGCGTTTTCGTTGTTGCACATTGGTTCAAAAAATACAACTCT